GTAAACTATAAATACCGGCCCTCCCTGGGCCTGGATAGATGATAGAGTTCGTCACAAACTCTTGTAGTAGCCACTAGTTAGCCTCACACAACTCTCTACCTGGTAAGTCTTAGAGTAGACCACCTTAGCTAGATAGTGTTTGCTCGACAACCGACACCATGCCAGAAGAATACACGGGCGGCTATCGAATGGAGCTTCTGAAGGCCAGCAATTGGTTACCGTGGAAGCAACGGATGCTTGCGGTATTGCGTGACCTTGGACTGGAGAAGTACGTCTTGGAAGACGCTCCGGGATCAGAGAAGGTAGCAGCTGGGAAATCGGACGAACTCACGACGGAGGAGCGAGTGTCGAGAACTGCATGGGAGCAAGGCGATGCCAAGGCTAGGACAAGGATCGAGCTCGCTGTGGGAGACAGCGAAATGATTCATATCAGTGGAGCAACATCGGCACGCCAAATGTGGAAACAACTCACCCAAGTCAAGGAATCCAAAGGGAAGATTGGAATTCTGGCCTTACGACGGCAACTATTTCGAGCGATGGCGGAAGAAGGTTTTGATATGGTGGAGCACGTCTCCCATCTTCGACAGCTACAGGCTCAACTCCACAACCTCGGAAACCTCATCTCGGACGACGATTTCCTCATGATTCTGATCACATCACTGCCGGAATCCTGGGATTCTTACACATCTGCCTATTTGGGCGCTAACGGAAACTCGCCGACAATTTCCTCTTTCGAACTCGTTGCTATTCTGATCGAAGAAGAACGAAGAAGGAAAGGGAGGTCAGATGGTGTGGGTACGACTCTCCAGGCTGGGAGAGGTCGTGGCGGAAATGGAAAAGCCGGGAAGTCAGATAAGGAATGTTACAACTGCAAGAAGAAGGGCCACATCAAGTCGGAATGTTGGGCTAAAGGTGGCGGAAGGGAAGGACAAGGTCCAAGGGGTCGACGAGGTCCAAACCGGGCAAATCTAGTGAAGGACATGGGTCACCCATGGCTCACTCAGGTCTGACCCTCACCCATACCCACCAAAACCCATACCCATGAGTGTGGGTGTGGGTTTCCATGGGTTTATGTGGGTGTGGGTGTGGGTCTGAAACCCATGGGTTTTGGAAGCATGGGTAGAGTGGAATTGTGAGTGATTGGAGTACAAATAGATATTGGACATAAATATTTAACTTAATAGAGTAGATAGCATTAATACAAGAGCAATTGAGGTCAAAATAGTTGCATACAGAAGCATTTTTCCCATTGGCACTTGAGACTCCAGTAACCCGTGGGTCAGGTGGGTTAGGTGTGGGTGCCGCAGAAGTGANCCACACCCACACCCACCTGACCCATACCCACCAACCCACAGGGTCAGCCCAACCCATGTCCTTCACTAGGCAAATCAAGCATCGGAAATCAACAGCACGCTTAACGAAGTCGCGTACATTGCCCAATTTAGAGCTTTAAGCTCCAGGGACTTCTCCAAATCAGACTGGTACCTCGATTCCGGCACTACCTCACACATATGCACCATCCGAAACGCCTTTATCGATTATCAACCCCTCACCAATGCCACTCTCGATGGCGTAGGACCTACCCCAGCAATCGTCGAAGGGCGCGGAACTATTGCCCTGAATTTCGAGTTAGACGGAGGCTTGATGCGCCATCAGCTTAGTAATGTGCTGTATGTGCCACAAGCGCCTAACTGTCTACTCTCGGCTACTCGCTTAGATGCAGCTGGAGGAACTGTCGAGATAGGAGGAGGGAAATGTACCATGCGGAATAAGGATGGAAGGATCATCGGATTTGGGGTAAAGGAGAATGGACTATACAAGCTGAAAGCCCGCGCCGAAGAATCCAGGAAAGGAAAGGCCCACCTCGCATCAGCCCCAAAACTCACTTGGGATCAATGGCATCGACGTTACGGCCATATCTCTGTCACAGCACTCGAACGCCTAAACCGGGAACAGCTCGTACACGGTCTGGATATAGATGGAGCATCAATTCCATCACGCTCATGTGAAGCTTGCATCGAAGCCAAGCAGAATCACAAGCCTTTTCCAAAAGAGGCTGAGCACAGATCCAAGATACCCGGAGAACGCTTTATGGGGGATATTTGGGGCCCAGCGCGAACGATTTCGGCAGGAAAATTCAAATACTATATCGCCTTCACGGATGACGCAACACGCTATACGACTACGTTATTTATACGCGAAAAATCGGAGGCATTTGATCGAATCAAAGGGCACATTGCATGGCTGAAGAAGATGGGCCGTTCCCCACGATTTGTCAGGTTCGATAATGCGAAGGACTTGATTAATTCGAAGCTGGAGGCACTCTGTCGAGAGGAGGGAATCGAAATCGAGCCAACAGCACCATATTCGTCATCCCAGAATGGAGTTGCAGAGAGATTCAATCGGACTGTGTTGGAGCTAGCACGAGCTATGCTCATAGACTCCGAACTGCCTGCTTTCCTTAGGGATGAAGCTGTAGCTCACGCCACCTACCTCCGAAATCGATCTCCAACTCGCGCACTCAATGACATGACCCCTTACGAAGCATGGCATGGAAAGAAGCCTGGAGTCGCCCACTTACGGCCATTTGGATGTAATGTTTGGGTATTGGATGAATCAGAGAATAGATCAAAATTAGCACCAAAATCGAAGCAGATGAAGCTGGTTGGCTTTAACGACGGCTCAAAATCGATCCGCTATTACGACCCGCAAAAGAGGAACGTCAAAGTGTCAAGAAATTTCGCATTCAACGAAAACGACGAGCTAAAGGAGCTCGAAGTGGTAGAAATCCCGGGTATGCGGACTGAGGGGGAGAGCACATCGGATTCTCCAGTCTCGCAAACCCAGGAGCAACCGAAAACTGAACCATCGAGCCCTATCTTACCTCTCATCGAAACAACACCATCTCCTTCGATCTCGGGCAGTGCAAACACGACAGACGACGAAGACAAGACGATTAGACGCCCATTACGTGCTAGAAGGAACGAAACAGACTACAAGAAACTTGGGAACCCGGACGCACGCACTCCAGGACTGCGATTCACTCCTACGCCTATGCGATCGGTCTCTCCATCCCCTACCATCTCCAGGCCTACAGAATCGTCAAAAGCGAAGGCAAAGTCGAAGGAAACGGCAAACATCGCACTGGCAGCAATCGGCGAACCATCTGAACGGGAAACCGCTTTTATTTCGCAATTTTCGGAGCCGGACTTACCTCAGAACGTCGAAGAAGCGTTGCAGGGACCAGAATCGGGACGATGGAAGGAAGCTATGGACGAAGAATTGAAAACATTGAAGGAAATGGGTACTTGGGAGCTGGGAGAGCTTCCAGAGGGGCGAACAACGGTTGGGAGCAAGTGGGTGTTCACAAAGAAGAGGAACGAGAAGGGGGAGGTCACAAAGCACAAGGCGAGACTTGTAGCTCAAGGTTTCTCTCAGAAACCCGGCCAGGACTATCAGTACGACGGCACCTTCGCACCAGTAATGCGATTCGAGACGCTTCGGACTGTCCTGGGTACGTCTGCCATCCGAAACCTCAAACTTCGTCAATTTGACGTCAAGGGCGCTTATTTACACGGAAGATTGAAGGAATCGATCTTCATGCGCCAGCCCCCTGGATTTGACGACGGTACTGGTCGAGTATGCGTCCTCAAGCGTTCCCTTTACGGCCTGAAGCAGGCTGGCAACGTCTGGAACCATGAACTCAACTCCAAACTCGAAGATTTCGACTTTAAACAACTCAAGAGCGATTACTGCTGCTATATTCGATACCAGGACGACGACTTCACGATTCTACTCGTCTGGGTCGACGATATCATCGCTGCTTCAACCACAGACGCCTTAAACGACCGGATCGAGTCGGAACTCGCGCAGCACTTCGAAATCAAGTCATTGGGCCAGCCCTCACTTATCCTAGGTCTCCAAATTCAGCAGGACGACCACCACATCTCGCTTTCACAATCCCATTACATCGACACACTCTTAAAGCGATTTGGGCTAGAAAATGCGAACCCAGTATCAATCACCCATCGATCCTAACGTCAAACTCGACGCATTCGACAGCAAGGACGGAAACTCGCTCGGAGAGGAGGTAGACCCCCGAATTTCGTCGGGATATGCGACGATGATTGGTTCTCTGATGTATCTGGCGCTTGGAACGCGTCCAGAGATCTGCTATGCGGTCAATCGACTTGCACAGTATACTTCTCGCCCCAGAGGTGTTCATTTCACTGCCCTAAAGCGAATCTTTCGTTACCTGAAGGGTACCAAGGATTTTGCACTCACCTTTGGAGGATTAGATGACGAAGATATGACGGAAGACCTCCACATCTACACCGATGCCGACTGGGCGAATGGACCGGACAGAAAATCGATTTCCGGCTATGTTATCACATTGGCAGGTGGAGCAGTAGCTTGGAGTTCAAAGAAGCAAAACACCGTCGCTCTATCAACTGCAGAAGCCGAATATATCGCCACCACACACGTCGCAAAGCAAGTCTTATGGCACCGGCACCTACTCGAAGAACTGGAATTCTTTCCCCCCAAAACATCGACCATCTTCAGTGACAACCAGGCCGCTATTGCGATCAGTCGACACCCCGAATTTCATCCCAGAACGAAGCACATCGACCTCGCATATCATTTCCTACGCGATCTTGTCGCAAACGGCACCCTCGAGATTGTTTACGTCCACACCGACTTAAATCTCGCTGATTTATTCACCAAGGGACTACCTAGGTCACGTCATCAAGACCTTACCTACGAAATCGGTGTTATCTCGAGAAAGGGGGAGTGTTGAGAATGTTCTCGTCGATACACGATGACTCGTTACTCACTAGATTAGTTATTTCATTCTTATGTTTCCACTTTATTAGAAATTCCCCGAGCGCTTATACACGCGCTTATCGAGCGCTCCAATGACTTACCAATCACGTCTCGTAGCTACTATAAATACTGTTCTGTAGAACACGAAAATCCATCGTTTTTTATTCCTCTATTTACAACAAGATCCCTTCACATATCCCTAGCATTGCTTTAAAATATCTTCTGAATCTATCTCCGGAATAATGGCATTCATGCCCCCAGTGATAGGGGCGTGAGAATTAGTTTCGCGCAGTGCCGAACCTGGTCTTGGCTTGAGTCGCCGCCACTCAGACTCGATCTCATTAAAGAACGCGTGGTTGTCCTCGACGTCCTCAAACGACCTGGGCGCGCTACTTTTGGGTAGAATTTGGAACGGCGTGCTTTTCAAGGCCTTTAACGACAAGAGACGCTGTCCAACGTCGTGTACTTGGAACAAGCAGGTATGTGTTAATTGATTCAAATTCGACATCGATATCGAGCGCGATCTGGGTGGGTTGTGGTGTGCCCTGCGAACGGGGATGTGTGGGCAGCTTGTTTTGGATAGCCGCTATAGTGCTTCATAGGAAGAATTGGGCTCTGATCATCTTCAATAATCCAGGCGCGAACACTCGCACAGCTTGTGGACTCTTCTCCCGTACCAACAGCCATAATCTCTTCAAACTCATCGTAGCCGCCTTTATACATATTCCCAGACATAGGACTTCAAAATGGCACCCTCGCAAGACCCCCTCCAAGTGATGGACGGCATATTCCAGACTATAACCTCCCAATCCGCTTCACCCTCCAACGTCGTCTCGCATATCAAGAGTATTACTCCAAAAGAGCTGCGAGACGCGGCGCTTGCTAGTCCGCTATCGAGTGGTCAGGATCCGCTGAGTGTGGTGGCAGGGGCGGGGTATGGATCGGCGAGTTGGACTGTTGGAGCTTTGTATATCTTGTGCGTGGTATCTTCTTAATCTCCTTTAGTTCTCACTGGGACTTGATGGGAGAAAGGATTGTTGACTGGTGCGAATTACAGGGTTGCAAGGTTGACGGTGCAGAATGCGCAAGCACCGCCGTTGGATGTTATCACCGACTTTTGCAAACATTTTGATCCTGTGCAGGCGAGGCATGTGCCTGATAGAGGTGAGTTGTTCGTATTTGTTGGAGTGGTTGCCCCTCTACGGTCCCTACCATCTCACTCGAATCATCTATGTATTCACTTCACTCTTTCCGTCATTCGTGATGATGCAAGGTCTAACGATTTGTGATCCATTCAGTGACAGCCCTGGCTCGCGCGATTCAACGATTAGCAGTGGCTGCTAACAACGTACGTTTACCCGCATCTTGGGGATTCAAAGCCCTTGCTAACCATATCATTCCCTGCAGCCTAGATGGGCGATCGAACCGCTGTACCTGCTTCTGACACGGTACCCACCTCACCTCTCATTCTTGACGACTATCCATCCCATCTTCACCCTGGTACGTACGACGTGTATACCAAGGCGCCCTTTTTCTAACTCTCCTTCTCGCTTCACGCGTCCTTTATCGTTTAGACATGCCTACAAGCCAAGCATCCAACGGCGGCGCTACCCATCTTGGAGGTGCCCATCTCAAACATCGACACCAACCTCTCCGAGCTGACTTACAATGACAACCTAACATACCACTACACAGGTCCGCACATCCTGCTTCCTTCCCTCCCTCTCCTAACGTCACTCTCTTTCCCACAGGTGGTATCATCTTCGCGATGCTCAAGCGCTGGAAAGAAGCCGAAGAGTTCTTCGAGATTGTCGTCACGGCTCCTTCGACCTATCCTAGTAGTCTGCAGATGGAGGCTTTGAAGAAGATGTCCATCGGACAGCTGATTTGGAAGGGCAAGGTGTCGCCGTTGCCCAAGTACACCCACCCGCTTTTGGTCAGGCAGTTCAAGTCGACGCCGTATCAGGCTTTCATCAATGCGTACCCTCATAATTCGGAGAGTTTGAAGGAGCTCTTGAATAAGGAGAAGAATTTGTTCCAGGGTGTGAGTTCGTCATCGGATTGGGTGGGTGTTTGTGCATGCTGATATGTTGGGTGCTTGTAGGAGAAGAATATGGGGCTGTTGCGTCAAGCTGTTGACCGTGCGCCGCGTTGGGTCCTGAAGAAGCTCACCGCGACATATCTATCTTTGAACCTTACGGAGATCGCAAAGGCGGTCAAGATCGAGGATGTGAATGAGGTTCGAGGGATCTTGCTAAGCATGGTGCGTCTCCGTCCTCACTTGGGCCCACTCCATCACCTAACCAGCAACCTGCAAAATTAGATCGAAGACGGCGACCTCTCCGCAACCCTGTCCTCCACAGAAACGGAAACAACAGTCACCTTCTCCGATCCTTCACCGCGGTACAATAAATCCCAAATCGATGCTCTGCTTCTCAATGCCCAGGCGCAATCTGAGTACCTTTTGGGACTGGACAGGGAGCTGGGGAAGAGTAAGGAGTATTTGAGCAAGGCTGTGAAGGGCAAGGGCGGGGATGATGGGTTCAGTGTTGGAGGGATGGGTGGTGCTATGGGCGCAGGTATGGGAGGGTGGCCTGGTGGTGTTGAGGAAGAGTTGTTTGCGGCTGGTGGGGCCAGTTGGGAAGATGGATTCGCCTAGTTAGTTGGGGTGCTGCGTTGAGGATGTGGAAGAAGTTTTGTGAATGAAGATTTGTACATTTGTCCTTCTTTTCGAGTATGAATTGTGATTCTTCGACTCTTTGAGGGGATTCGCCAATGCCGAGATGCCCCAATTTGACGTCTTATTCTGTGCGTATTATGTATTGTCCTCTTTGGTTGTCTTATCGAGTCTTACATGCTATGTAGTAATCTTCTTCATCCAGTTACCGACTTTCTCCCGTACACGCTTCTGCTCCGCCGCTTCAGCTCTCTCGTTTGCCTCTCTAAATACTGCCCGCAGCTGGTCCGGCGGCACCAGGATAAATGGCACAGCCATGATCTCCAATCTGTCTGGACCTCCGCGAGCTCTGTGCCGTGTTCCACGTTCCATTGCTTGGTTCTGCTCTCTTATCTTGGTAGCAGCCCTTTCCTCTGTCATCACCTTGTAATCTCGGCTTACTGTGGTCGTGATTCCATCTGGGTAGAAAATGTTGCTCCAAGCCGCCGAAGTCATTTCCTGTTTCAGTTCCGCGGTACCGAAACTCTCAAGTACGGCGTCAGCATATACGATGTCGAAGAGAATGGCTGGCGGCCAATCAATATCGGAAATCCGTAGTGCGGAGCCCGAAGAGATGGTGTTATCGTGGCCAAACCAAGCGCCCGGAGCGCCAAGCTGGAAAGCATGTACCGTGCACCTTTTCTCTGTTGGTGACGCAGTGGGATCGATGTCCTCAGTGGTCATGGCGAAGTTGGGAGTCTGCCCATTGAGATGATCGTTAGTGTAACGATTGCTCAATGACGGTACTGGTGTACTATACATACCGGCAAGAACGCAATATGAGTACCCAGAACGGCGTGTGTGAATTTGTTGAGAAAGAGACCGTTCCGGACACTGTCGATCTCCTCTACGATATCGCCTCCAGTGGGGTCTCGATTGCGGTGTTGAGTATACATTGCAATGTACTTTCACCATTTGGAATAAGACTGGGTTTCTGATACTAAGCAGAAATAATGACGCACGGTATCGCCTTTGCTATGGGCCACAAGATGCACCGCATCGCACACTTCGTCAGGATGGTCCGTTGACAACACGCACGTCCCACCATCTCGCCTTGCAACATCTTCACGAAAGGCAGATCTCCAAGGGGTAGCAGCGCTGGAGGTGATCCTCGTTCCCCGGAATCTAGGTTCGAGCGGAGAGAATCTTTTTTTCTCCTCGTTGTCTCTATGATAGTAAAGGTCGGTGGACTCGGAGGGGAGGAGGAGGGCATTGTAGTCAATGGTAATATTGGGCGTGGAGGGGCTGAGAGAAAGGTGGCCCTCCGCTCCCATAACGACACCGATGGCGTAGCGGATCCATTTGTAGGGTCTATGTGCGAGCTGGAGCGATGAGAGGGTTTTCGATGGGAAGGTGAGCCAGTGCAACCAGCGCCAGTTGGAAGTGTCGAGACTGAGATCGGGCCCAAGGCCCACTGTGCAAGGAAACATTGCGAAGACTCGTATTTCTGTGGGAGCCATAGCTGTGGGAGGGATCCTAGAAGTAGAAGCCCCACCTGCCTTTCAAAAGCAAATGTAAAGTTTCATCTTTGTCAGAGACGGTCATCCTCCTGCCTTATCCAGTTCGCCTCCGATCAAGCCCCCACCTCAGTCACCGCCTTTCCACGGTTTCAGGCCTAACGCCTTTTCGCCTTATACCATATATTGTCCATATTTTTTTTAAAAAAACCCCTACAGGTAGGACGAAGTCCCACCTACTAGGTACTCAGTGTATCGGCACTTGCTACACCAACGGTCGTATCATGAAATAACAAGGGATGCCTGTGTGGTCCACCTTCACGCCAGGTAGCAGCCATGTCGTCGAACGGAGGCCTACCTCCAGACCTCACTCACTACCATACGTGAACATTCCCACTGGCCCCTGCACTTTGAAATGACCACGGTCGAGGTCTTCACCGTGTAAAAACACAACAGGTTCCCCAAATCGAAGGGCCGGGTACGACGACAGGTGAGGAGTAGGTGAGGAGCTAGTCGTTTTATTGGACAACAACTATTGCAGTTACAATCCCACAGGTAGGTAGGATATTGAACGGCCTGGGTGTGGTTTGGATTTCCCCAACCGTACCCCGAGAGTTATCTCTAAAGGGACCGATAACCATTCCTGATGCCACGCTCGTTTAGTGTGACCACGGGTGATATAAGTAGTTTGTGGTGCAGGTGCCAGCATGGCTATCAGGTGGCTTTAGAGCCTATCGTAAGCGACCTTGTTTTTCCCCGTCTCCATCCCACTTAACGAGCGGTTTCCCACTAGAACGACCTGGACGACCAACCCTCCCATTTGCAACAGGGGTTTCTAGGTTCCTGGCTGAGGCCGACCGTTTACCGAGTGTCGCCCTGCCACGTCGCTGCAGAATTACGCACCCTCCGTCGAGGACTGGCCAGCGCCGGAGCCGTTGAAGGTGGGAACCCCGACTGGGTATGATCATGGGTCGCTCATCGATCTTCGTCCCTGTACTGCTAACCATGGCCTTCTTCACTGGAGGAACACATGGTTATGTTACGAGGCTTGAAGGAAGACAAGGTTCGTCCCTTTCCACACCTTCCAGATTCACCATCGCTTACCTCAATCGAACCCGCGCTCTGCAACTATACTACTTGCTACAACCATCGGACGTCTTCGAACTCAATCGTGAACTTCTGCAGGCCCCGACGAACCTACTTTATTCTTCAATTCGATTCAAAATCTGACGACATGCACGTCGACTACGTTCACTTGGTTCTACGACGGTCCTCCCAACCCCGCGACACCGTTCCTCACCCTTTCTGTCGTCGGTGTCCCTACTGGCGGCGCGGAGCTTTTCACTCGGACGCTCAGTGAATCGATAATCCCGTTTGCTGAAGAGTTTGATTGGTTGAGCGTCAACGTCCCACCTGGGAACTACGTTCTCTCAGCGACGATTCCTTCTCTGGATTTCAGTGAAGAGTCGGCGATGTTCGAAGTCCATGCGGGGAGCGATACGTCTTGTGTTGTGGGACCTAGTCCTACTGCTCCTCCGTCCACGCCGCGACCCTCGGATAGCAGTACACCGCCTCCAGCGTCTGGAACCTCGGGCACGCAGTCCCGTCCTACGGAGACACCTCCTCTCACGTCCCCCGATCCTTCGCCCTCAGCGTCGGAATCAGCAGACCCTGTTGGGGGAGTTACAAAACCGAGAATTAATACTGGGACGATCGTCGGTATCGTCCTCGGCGTTCTCGCAGTCCTCATCGCCTTTGTGGGCGTCTTCTTCCTTCTCCGACGCAGGAGCAACCGTAAAGGATCGAAGAAGGGAGGTGGTAATAAGAAGGGATGGAATGGGTTGTCGTCTACGGACTCGAGGGCTGGGCTTAATATGATTGGTGGAGGTGGGGGGAAGGCTTCGGATGGGAGCGGCAAGAAGAGGAGTAGGAGGTTGTCGAGGTCGACGAACCCACATCCACACCCACAGTACTCGCACTCGCACTCGCGCTCTCATTCACATTCAACGCACCCGCATGGCCATTCTAAAAGTGGGTCGACAGGCCCCATGTTGATGACCCCGGACCCTTCTGGCGGCTCCACCGAAGAAGGGTTCAGGGATTTCGGGGTCCTAGTAGGAGGTGCCACTGCCTCATCGTCCGAAGAAAAGTTTGGCGGCGGTAGAAGTTCGAGTCGGAAGAACAGCGCTGCGACGACGTATGAAGACCACGATGCTATGGCTTTGGCTAATCTCCCGACTTTGCACCATCGGGCACGAGATGATGGAGGGTTGGGGTTGCCTGCGGAGGATGGGTTTGGGCATGGATATGGGTATGGGTATAATTCTGGATATGGAGGAGGGGCTGGTGCGAACGTATTTGGTAGTGGTGGGATCACGAATCAGCGCAGGCCGTCCTATCCTGATTCGACAGGTGTGTCAAGGTCGTCATCTGTTGCTGCAACATCTGCTACGCACCCCGCGGGGTATAACCTGAGCCCTGCGGCGGGATCTTCGCCCCCGACGTCGCCTGATGTTGGGAGTAGGACGACGTCGCCAGAGGTGAATGCGAAGAAGGCGAATAGGAATTCGTTTGGAGGGAGGAAGAGGAAGCCTGTGCCGGCGTATGACCCGGAGGAGATTATGGCTTCGATGCCCACGACGACGGCGACTGGAAATGCAACAGCCTCGCCCAAGATTGCCTCAACGTCTTCGCTGGGTGTTCATTCTACTACCCCTTCCCCGCTTGAACGCGATAGCAGCCAGAGTTCGAGGGCGCAAGGACATTATACGACGCGAGCGAATGGCTCGAGGCCGGGTACGGCGGATGGTGGGGAGACGTTGGCACATAAGAGTAGTTTCGGGCCTGGGGGAGTTGTGACGGAGGGGAAGCAGTTGCATTATCTGATGCCTGATTTGCCGCCTGGTGTTGACCCGCAGCAGCAGGGATCGAGGAGTGGTAGACGATGACCGATGGTCTCGGCCCAGCGTTCTTGTCTATCTTTATTCCTGAATCGGCGGAGGAGGTATCATCGGTATTTTCTACTACTAGTTTACCACGTCCATCTATGACTTGACCTATTCTTTCTTTCTTGCACCTGCACTTGCATTGTCTACTGCTGCTCCGACTACTCATTGTCACTCCTTTATACCGCTATTTTTGACATGGATTTCGGGCTGGTATCGCTATCATTTGCGTTAATGTTTTTGTACATGTACATCTTTATCTCTTGCAGGAATGTTCTTTGCTGTACCAGCTGTGTATTATTATTGCCTTTTCTTCTGCGTTGATTCGAGTCTAAGTCTCCCAGGCGAACTCAGACTTGGACGAGTAATACTTTCCCTTGGAGGGTCCCCTTGCCTCTTTGCCACGTACTTACTACTTACCAATGCCGAGGCCCGAAGGTCGTACAATGTATCGCCCGACACTGCTAGTATCGAGACCACCAAGAGTCTTCGGAGTCAGCCTACAACGTTAACCCAACTCGCGAAGCACGTCGGTTTATCCGAGGTTGTCATAAGCTATGGTGCTTCCTTCATCCTTGGTTACAGTACAACAGTTCCTAGTGTGGAAGATGCGGCTCCTCTGAATCCTCCCGCCGGAACAAACGACGCTGCCAAGAGGTAGGGAAATGGGGCTCAAAGCCCATCCTCATACTGTTAGCCGCCCGTTGCATCATGAGCCGCATCTCTGTGACCGCCTTCATCTGTTTCTCCAGCGCTTGTACCCCCTCTAACTGCTCTGCGCCTGGAGGTAAAGTGTAAGCCAGTGGGTCATAGGGATCCAAGCTGCGCGACGATGCAAGCAGGTCGCCGTAGTTCACGGCATCTTCACTGGTCACGCATCCAAAGGTTGAAGGACCAGCTCCGGCGAACCAGAAGTCGTACGAGGTGAATTGGGATGCTTTTGCCCGAGGAGACCGTCGCGTAGGGGGGGCTAAAAGCGTCACTCCGGGCTTCTCTGAGGCCAGTGCGAACACCATCCGGATAACAGGAATCGACCTGTTAGGATCGCAGATACGCAGGTTGATGGGATCCATAGTGTCCAGGACGACACGATCTGGGTTGGCAGTGAAGCATCGGTCATTTTTGGCCTGGCCTAGGATCAGCACAAGGTTGTCTTCCCGTATTTCATCGCCTCGCAGCCCGATCCAGAGCATGTCGATTCCAGGCTGCCCACGTGCGCAGAGCACGCCGATTCCATTTGAGAGGAGTGCACATAGGAATCGGGTGTTGAGGATGCTGAAGCTTTGGACCTGGATGAAGTGGTTGCACCAGATGCGGCATTCTGCGAAAGCTTGGGTGAATGGGGCGCCTTCGCCGATGGAGGGGAGCATGTCGTCGAGGTCTGAGTGGTGCATGGCAGGGAGGAGTTGCTTCATCCAATCGCTGACGGTGACGACGCTGTGTCCGTATGGATTCCAGGGCCGTCTGTCTAGAGTGTGGGCTTTCCTGACCACCAGATCATCCCTCGCTGCCATCCATATCATACTCATCACAAATTCTCCCATAACCCCCTTGTCGACTCCCCAACTGTTAATGTTATTTGCGACAACAGCTAGAACCTTGGCCCTCTTTTCGTAGTAACAGAGTTGCTCGAATGCAGCCTCGGCCAGTAGAGGTTCCGAAGGGGCGATGGTGATCATGCGAAGACGACTATCAGCCTTTACGCAGTACCGCATATGGTTCTCCACTAGAGTCCGTTCAATGTCCGCTTGCTTCTCGTCCAACGCGCTGGCACGGAACTCGACAGCAAAACGCACAGCGATGCACCCCAATACTTTGAGCTCGTCGTTTTCGCTGGTGGAGACCAATTTTTGGCGGGCGAACTCGAGAAGATTAGATCGAACTGTATCGTCTCCCGCATCATATCTGGTAGCGAAGCTGCAGAATACGGATTAGCTCAAACGTTTCGGTTAGGTTCGTTCCACACTTACAGAGGGCGACCAAGGTGAGCAACATACTCGAGGGTGGTGACTTCTTGCAAAGTGATGGGGCCATCTGAGGAAAGGGGGAGAGCCAGCTGGTTGAGCCCGAGCTCGGTGAAGGGAGGTAACAGGATCCTCTCTTCCTTCAGCACGCGCGAGGAGATATCCGGTTCTGGAACAATGCGCTTGTATTTGCCAGAGGTGGAAAGGTAAAGTCCAACCACGTTCAACTTCCTGACCGCGCGTAGCCCCTTTCTAATCTGCGCCCACATTGTGACACTCGATGGACCGGACAAATTTGGCAACGCAAGCTCATGGGCTTCGTCAAAGGATAAGACGGCGATTGCATCCTCTCCAAGAAGGGACAGCAAGGATACAGCTGCTTCGTTGACAGACGTGTTGTCTTCTAGATTGAAGCGTTCTGCGTCGCTGAATTCCGCTTTGTACTTCAAAGAAAAAAGGTTAGAGTTCGAATGCGTATAGAATTCAAGGGCGAACCTCTTCGGCTAAAGTGGTAACGCGTTCATAGAACTCCTCTCGATAACGCGGGTGAGTTCCGAAACAGGAACCATCGCTCATTTCTTGTGTGAACCGCGTATTGGCTGCTGCTCCGAGCGGAACCTCGGACAGGATAGCCTGTATGGCCTCCGTTGCGGTCTTGAGCAAAGCCCGGAGGAACGCTGCCGCAGCAATCCCAGCGGGTTGTGCAGTACTCCTCTCTGCACTAAGGAGCCAGTCCCGAATTTTAGAATCCGGGGGTGGATAGCCTACGTTGGAACGAGTTAATAAGGTCGAAGTATGCAACCCAGACAGACGACTTACCTTCATTTCCACGTCGAAGGCATAGTGGAATGACGAAGCAGGAACCACTCCTTCCCAGTTGGTCTACAACTCTAGACTTGCCCGTACCGGAGGAGTTGATGATGGGCACTAGGTTCGAATAAGGGGCACCGTTAATGCCTCGCAAGGTCTGCGTCCATTGAAGGTAGGCCTTGATGACGGCGAGCAAGGTAGCATCCGCTGAACCTCGGAAGGGGGTTTTCCACGAATGAAAAGTCGCTGTACAGGGCAGATTCATGAGCGATTCTGAAATCACAATCAGAACGAGGGAAACAGACCTGTGTAGCCAGGTGCCGAAGCGAACGTTGTCTCTACGCCGATGATAGGAGATCCCTGCTTTCTCAGGATTTCTGGCAGATTCGCAGGTATTAGGAAAAACGACCGAGCGTGGGTTTCAAATGAACCCACTGAGATTACGGATTTTCTTGAACGACCTGGTGCGCCATGCCTGTTGCAAAGCATCCTTCAATGGCGGGTGGTGGAGGAGAAGGTCCTCGGGTGTGCTGTTGATGGCTTTCTTAGTCCTATTTTTGATTTGGGTTAGGACATGCGCAAGGAGTCCGGCTAGGAAGGGAATTGGGTCGTCGTCTTCTAGCAAGTGCGGATCCAAGGCCATCGCGTTACATATGAGATTGTCGAACTGTTGGTGCTCTTCCTCGGTCCAGTGGTCGGGAAGTTGGTCTAAGTCCCCGGTGGTTTGGTCGGCAGCGTTGGGCGTGGTCGGGTTCATGATGATAGTCCGGGGAATCCAGGATGCGCGTCTGGGTACTACATACTTATGTAGAGGGCTAGCCGGCCAATTTTAGATGAAAAGGGGCCACCTGCCGCGACTGCCGGACCTTGCTGTTGCGCAAATGTTGCCGCCGCTAGGCTCGTCGCTCATGCTGGTAGCTGGAAACTAATTAAATAAATAAAAAATAAAAGTTCCCAAAAAAGGAAGGAGGGAAGGAGGAGAGGGAAAGAGAGGAAGAGAGGGAGGGAGTTATGAGAGGGTCACAAGCAGTAGAGCTCGCAGGATCTGCCGTCTGAGCTCCCAATTGCGTGAGCGAAAAGCTGCGCTCATTTTGGCTATTTCTCGCTCATTATTAGCGAGTTTCCTTAATCGAGCCATCATGACCCGGTGATGCCTGCTACTGCACGGGATGGCCGGAAACTAATAGGAAAACCCGTAGGAAACTGCCTAAACGGGCTCTGCTACTGGCCGCTACACACCCAAGCATTCGTATGGCCCCAGCTCATCCGAGGCTCGGATGAGTTGGGTTTAAAGAGAGTTTAGGGCTGCTCAATTCTTAAAAAGCTCATCAGGCTCAAACGAGGCTCAAACTTTCAATGAGAGAAAAAGGGAATTCTGTGATGGGGAGAGCGTGGTGCCGCAGTGCCGACCAGCTTGGCGGATTCTGCGGCCTGTCCCTATCCTGAGCGTCTAACCAAGTATACACCTTTTCCTCTCTATCTATCGACATTTTAATCGTGGATATTCAATATTTCTAAGGTCTAAAACACCAACAACGCGTTATTGCTTAAATTCTGACCCTCTTCCTCTATGTAGACTCGACAATGGCCAGTCAGGCCAAGCAACATGACCGCGTCATTCCCATCACAGAATTCCCTTTTTCTCTCATTGAAAGTTTGAGCCTCGTTTGAGCCTGATGAGCTTTTTAGAATTGAGTCGCCCTTTTGACCCCCGGGATGTGATCGGGTTCAACCTCGTGCATCCAGCGATATTATAAGCGCGGGTGAACTTCCGTTACAACCCCTGTGCCAATTTCAATGGTTTGTCCCGAACATAATATTCGTTGAAAAAACCTGGGTTGACCATTCGTTGTCCCAAGGCCTGGGGGTGGGCGCTGTCGCTTAAAGTCTTGACCATTCGTTGTCCCAAGTTGAAGGCCCAATCTGACTTTTCACGATCACGTGCGCGAAGTTCGAAAACCAACATGTTCGACTTGTACTCAGAACTTGCGTTCTTCTGTTCTGAACCACCACCACCACCACCCACGCCGCGGCCCATCCGTTCACATATGAGCGTCCGCTCAGGCTTTTCTTATCGAATGAATATCTGGTTATGAGCGAAGGAGGTAAAGCGACGCATCTCGACAATCTGAATGTGCCCTTGCTGACGACTTTTTCGCGATCGCCACGTTCGCAGACTTTGGCACGGCGACGCCAGTGAGTTTTGCTCGGGTCTCAGGTGAGCCCTCTCTTAGTTTAAGTTCCAAGTCCGTACACTGAATTGACTGTCTTGCAGTAGTTCCTCGTCTATTCTCCGTGCTCGATTATCGCCTAAGGATTGCTGGGAAGAGAGTACTGTAGCCTGTCAACTCCAGGTATGTTTGTCTTCGCTTCTCTAAACCACCATTGCTGACGCGCTCACGGTTATTTCCAGGTATCGTGAGTTGCCAGGGCAGCCTGGTATGCAGCGCAATATTAGGTATGTTTGACGTTCGTCCAGGGCACACATGGATTGTCAGCGCTGACACATTTTTCTAGGTATCGTGGTTTGGATAGGCATCTGTGGACGATTCATACGATGTATTATGTAGCATGCTTATTTCATTCTTTTTCAAGTATATCCTTCTCGATCTAAGTATTTTCGTGGCATTCGAAACCTGCAGGAGCAACGGGGGGACCCGGCAAAAGGAAATTTTATTATGGTCTTGGCTGGACAAAGCTTGAACCTCTGGCTATGATGGGGTTAACTTCCGCACATGCGACGGCTGCATAAGCCTGGGATGAGTGTGCTGAAGTTAAGAAATGTGCATCCTGGGTTAAACCTGGGATCGCGACTGGTGGGTTATCCCGCGCTCAACCCTGTGTTCTGGCTGTGTACTCGGTTGCTGCTGAAGATACTCGGTCGGCGGCGAGAATATGATGCGATCAATCAACCCTGTCCGGTGGCATACCTGCAGCGAAAACACTCACTTTCAAGCTGTCCACTTCCTTGAAAGGAGCTCAGACTCCTCATAGACATCTGTATAATTAGCGGAGGTCATACTACTTAGGTTCTGGAACAGTTAGTACCATACAATTGACGTAGGAATGCAAATACCCATCGAAACTTTGGTGTGTGGTTATAGTCTTGATGAGGTAGCATTTAATCTTATTCTCCTGTAGAACGGGCTCCAAAACACTCGTTGGCTCTATGTACGTGGCTCTAGCTATTCAATCCTTGTGAATTCAGTTTGTAGAAAGCAAAGAACGTGTGGTAAGCGCGCGAGCGCGTCGATTCCGAAATGGCAGACGCAAACCTCACATGTGATCGCTTACATAATATTTCAGTATCAGAATCAGTATCTGCTACTAGTGTGACGCGCGGGAGCGGGGCTCGCCGCTCATGCTACTGTCCCTCACCAGGACATCGTTTTCACCATCCTTTCGGTTTGATGTTGATATTCATCAAAATTTCTCAACTCCGCTGCGTACGAGCCTATGAGGACACGCCATTCGCTGATGGCGGGTGATGGTACTGATGGGCGCGATTTTTCCTCCTCGTTCGGTTTCACTTGTTCCCCTTCGTTTTCCTTCGTTTAAAGTACATATCCATACTCAGAGTTGCAGAAAACACCTATATACCAAATTTCATGACGATCAGAGGAGTGGAAGGGGGGCAAACCGAAAAGGTGGTGAAACCGATGTCCTGGTGAGGGACAGTAGCATGAGCGGCGAGCCCCGCTCCCGCGCGTCACACTTTTTTTACAGATCCTTGAATTTCTGGGTCTTCGTCCCGGAACGCCTCTGGCACGAAGCTACCTTCCTATTTCGCTGGAATTTTTGCACCATTCGATAGTGCTGACACGAGCGCACTGAAAGGTATAATTTTTACTGCCGAACTTGGGGTGTATAGGCTCGTGCTCTATGCTGTCAGCCCAGAAACCTGTTGCATCCTACCCTCCACCGCATCGGGGAGTGGAAGAGTAGGTTGGGTAATAATGGGTTCGATATGTTTCGAGATAGCAGTTTGGGTATCTTGATCCTGATCTTGGTCTTGAATGGCATCGGACTTGGAGTCTTGAACGGTGCCAGGCGCGGTGGAGGTATGCGACGGCTGCTGGTCGAATGGTCCTCCCAGCCGCTCGAGGAACGATTTGGCGAGGTAGTGGAGGGACCAGACTGTCGGTGTCCAGTATCTGAAATTGGAGTAGTAGAAGGAGCGCGGGTGGGTGGAGAGGTGGGCTTCGTAGTCCGCTGGTGGAAGGAGCAGTGGAAGGTCAGTACTTGAGTAAAAATGTGGAATACGGGGCGATCGAGGCGAAAGGACGGATGAAGGGTACGTACATCGCAGACGTTCACGGAGTTCTAACCAGTCCTTTGTGAAGTCTGTTAGGATGACGTCGACGCCCCATCGACATGCCTGAATTGAAAGCGTGTGAGATGGAGTGGTGGAGGCAAGGGAAGGGGGAAGTACCTCGACCATCTCCTCTGGGGTGTTGACAGTCCACACCATCACTTCCTTGCCATGTTTCTTACAGTCCTCGATGAACCTATGCAAAACCGTCATTTCTCCAACAAGGATTCCGCATAATAGGGACGTACCTCTGCCCATCCCTAGTGCCCAACACCGTCATCTTCATCGAGAAGCTCTCACAATCGTCCCAGAAATACTCCCTCGCAAGCCACGTACTGAACCCTATATGCCCCCTCCTGCAGTATGGCAAAAGTGTCTTGGCGTAGTGCAGGAACTTGGGGTGCCAGAGGCCGAGGAGGATGCGCGGGGCGAGGAGGGTTTCCCAGTTTGGTTGGGCGGTGATAATCTCGTTCATTAGTGTGAAGAGGTGCTGGGCGTCGTTGAGGGCTTTGACGTCGATGTTGAGGGAGACGTGGTGGTTTTGGGGCTGGGGGGCGGGGGTGAGTTTGGGTTGGGGGTGAGGAAGATAGTGGGGAGGATGGACGTACTTGCATAAGGAATTCGACGGTCTCTGCGAACGTGGGGATAGATTGTGCTGGTTCTTTGCGTGTTTTGAGGTGTTGCATTCCGTTTGGGCCGTACCAGTCTCGTTCTTTGATCTTGCCTGTGGTGAGGAATGAATTGAGTGCTTCAACTTCCTCCAGAGGGCTATAGGGCGACTAACCAGTTGAATGGGTAGTACGTGACAAGTCTGGGTCGTGGAACATAATGATAACATTATCCCTGGATACGTGGACGTCTGATAAAGGTCAGTGGTCGGTCTATTGGTTTCAGGAGTTTGAAGGGCGCACCTGTCTCGATGCCTTCAGCGCCGTCTGCTACGGCTTTCTCGAAGCTTGCGAGGGTGTTCTCTGGGAACGCAGCCGACGCCTAGGAGGTAGCATAGACCGGTCAAGGTGCGGTACAGGCAGGAGTGCATGGCAAAGGGGACGATAGAGAGTGAGCCTGTGAACGAAGAAGAGAGAGTCCAGGGGTGGATGGTGAACATACCCCGCGATGACCCCAACATTCTGTTATCGACTGTCAGGACGAGTACCGTCAAACAGGATGTAGAGGACCCCAACCTGGCAGCTTGGGTCTGGTCATTGAGACGTTGTTTGCGGTTGGCTTCATGGTTGAATAGTCGTAGCTGTCTGCTGGTGCTTGTGCCAGCGAGTCTAGATAGGTTGTCCTGAGGCTATTGGAAGTAGAAGCAGGGCCGTCGCAGCACGATAGTATAAGCGAGGGACTGTGAGAGATCTCGCAGGGTTACGCGATGGACACAGCCTGTGGGGTGCCGCCTCGACGCGTTACTTATTATGATTCCGGCCGCCGAGATTGAGAGCAGATTATGACATCGTTAGTAACATATCCAGTTGAACGTTGAACCAAAGCGTTGATTCTCGTTGGATTTTCGAAACAGAGGATGAAGGTGGTGGAGATTAGTAATCTGGCGGAAAGGGATCTGTGGGCCCGGCAGATCGGGGTGACACCAAGTCAAGTAACGAAAGGTCTCTCAGTTGGTGTCCGTCCGTATCGATTAGGGGTTAAATCACTTCGTTGTGGAGAGCCTTTGGGCGATCAATTCCGAAGAGCCGCTGGTTCGATTCCAGCTACGGACAATGCATGTATAGTCAGGCGTATTTGTTCTTTTTCCCCCGCTGCCTCCACGGATCACACTTTATTTTTGTCTCTTCGTGGTGAGATACGTCTAGGAACTAGCCCTAACATAGAGGTTAAAGTTCACCTTCCGGGATGGGCGTCACAAATTGGCCTGAACGTCATGTTAGCATTGGGCAGAGTTGTGCTCTCCAGGTTGCGAGTTGACCGAGTACTAGTAAAGCTGGGGACTCCTGAGTCCTGGCAACTTGAGACTTCCGGATCAACCGGCAACCAACCTGATTGAAGCCAGATGGACTTCAGAATCAGAGCCATTGTCATGTAAATTGTATGTGCGCCACCAACCTGCGAAGCCAAAATGCTGGCGAAGCCAGAAGACCAGTATCAAGCCTTGGAGACCCTGCACGTCGCTCGGCAACGACTTTGGGGTCCGTTTACATACATGAAATCATTGGACAAGCCTCGTGTGACCACCACACGCCGACCTTTGGATCCTCCCAGCTCTCTCCAGGACTCCTTTAGATTGTTCTTCTGCCGGCGAAAATGACAAAACCACCAAGTCGTGACGCAGATGTCGCGTATTGTCCAATTTGTCGACGCACGATCGGGTTTAGCAGCTGGTACCACCATACGGCCAGCAAGAAACACCTCGAATGTGCTGCGAGACAGAATGTGTCGCCGGATATTGGGCCATATGCTGATTCGCCTGGTTTTATACCACTTGGCGATTCATCCGCATCCTCCTCGCAGGCCCGGGAATGGAGTTCTGCACCACACCAAGCGGACTGTGCAGCCGATTCGAGCGACGATGCGACAGGCAAGGCTCGGGAACAACCACACTACTGTGTTCCGTGCAACGCTACGATCCATACTGCGACCTCTTGGACACGACACCTTTCGTCGAAGCTCCACAAGGATGCGACGAGGCGGTACGAGTTGCGTCAGACGATTATGGAGGCTGAAGCGGACAAGCATGGGTTGACTGTCCATGGGGTTATCGATTTGGGTTGCCTGGAGCTTCAAAAAGCTGAGCGGGGTGTGACAAGGGAGGTTGTTGTCAGGTCGAAGGATCGGGAGGGAGAGGAAAGGGCTATGCTTGTGCACGCATATTTTGTGAGTTGGAGGGCTGGGCGGGCTTATAGGTCTGGGTGCGTTGTTTCTCCTCGCCATGGGTAGAGTTCGAAGTTGATTGGAATATGACTGTAGGTTCAGCGTGAAGGCGGCGGATTTTGATGCGCCCATCTCGTCCTCCAATCCCGCTATTGTGGAATATACGTTCCAGCGGTTCCATATCGGGCGATACGAAGATACCATCGAGTTGTTATTCCAACTCCTCCGTTCCTCGTCCTCCCAGCCTCCCGGCAAGTTCATCATCCGACGTACGATTACAACGACCCTTCTCCCTTCGGAGTCGTCTTCGTTGACGTTGTACAAGTCCCTTCTCCCCTCGTCTGCGTATGTGCCTCGGAATACGCGCCGGGGTGGACTTGGACAGGTGGAGGTGGTAGGGGGTGTGCCTCCTCCCGCGCTCAAGGCGATTCGATATGTTGTGCCGCTTGGCGAGGCGGAGGTTCCGCAGCTTGTTAGGGCCATACTTGACGACTCTTTATCAACGACCTTGGACGACGACACTGACAGTGTTGTCGAAGATGGAGAGGTGCCTCACGATCGGCCTAGAGGGTTCAAAACGACCACCCAGAAGCTCGCTCAGATACGCAAGTTTCACCCACCGACCTTCGATATTCAGAGCTATACGAAGCATTTTAAGAGTTTGTTGTGGTATGAGGAGGTTAAATCTGAGTACGTTTAACCGATTTGCTTTTTGGTTCTTCTGCCCTTGGTGCTGATGCCGGTTATACCAGGACCGACCTGTCGAGATATGATATGTCGGGCGTGACGCTCGAGAGGTTTAATGAATTTTACTAGTGGGTACCGATTTGCTCGTAATGGGATATACGCCGTATTAATTGACGTGGATGTAGTTTGGCGATTCCTGGATTAGCGGAGAAGAGGCCTAGTGTGCTTGTCGGTGCGTGGCTTTCCCTTTTCTACCATGCCGTCAGCACTAATTATTCGCAGGCGACAAGCTCCTCGTCCAACCAGCCTCTGGAAACTCTAAGCAGTGGTGGGAGGGCTACGTCTACGTTGTGCGACAGAATGAGGTTGGGATGAAGTTCCATTCGTCCTTCCCCGCCGATAGGAAAGGGAATGGGAAGACGGATACGACGTATAATGTCCGATTCAAGCTTAACCGTACGGTTTTGAGGAGGCAGCATCAGATGTTGGATTGTGTGGCTTCCCTGTGGCTTGCTATGCATCGGGTGAGTGGTGGGGAGGAAGGGAAGGGGCTGGGTTTGGATCGGGTGTTGTTCCCTGCACTTCCCTCGCAGGTCAAACTCAATGCGGAGGCTGGCTCGACAAGGACGGTGGCAAAGAAGAAAAGGGCTACACCTCTTGGACCCAGGTTGACGTTCTTCAACCCGAAGATTGCTTCGAATGAGCGGCAGGTGGAAGCTGTGAATCGGATTGTGTACAGGCCTTTGGGGACTGAAGTGCCTTTTATCATTTTTGGACCGTACGTCCTCTCTTTCTTCAGGACTTTGGCTTCGCACTGACCGACATTCACTCTCTGGCCTATTCGCCTACCACGTGTGAATTCGTGACATGCGCGAATAGTCCAGGAACGGGCAAAACTTTGACGCTTGTTGAGTCTATCTTGCAGATCCTCTTCTTGGATCCGACAGCCAAGGTTCTGGTGTGCGCGCCGAGTAATAGCGCAGCGGATGTGCTTGCGCTGAGGATACTTGCTGCCTCCGGGACGTCTTTGTCGTCGTCTTCTGCGAAGCTGTCCCGTTCGGCCTTTGATTCACGGGTTAGGATCACGCCTAAAGACTTGTTCAGACTATATGCACCTTCCCGGTCTAAGCGGGATGTCCCTGACTCCCTCTTGCCTTATACCTACAGCACAGCTATGCGAGAGGACCGCTCGCATAACCAGTCTAGATACAATGCCTATGCAAGCCGGGATACTAGACATCGTTCCTCCACCACCTCCAAGTCCAGCAACACTCACTCGACAACTGTGGAGGAAACATTCACCATCCCTCCACGGCATACCCTGCTTTCTTACCGGGTCGTAGTGACGACCTGTTTGTCGTCTTGTATTCTTTATGGGACGGGTGGAGTCCCGAGGGGCCATTTTACGCATGTTGTGGTTGATGAGGCTGGCCAGGGGACGGAGGTGGAGAGTTTGGTGCCCTTTGTGGTTGGTGCTGTCGGGTTGGTTGGTGGTTTGGAGCGGGAGAGGGAGGGTACTAGTGGAAATAAAAAGTCTGTTGGTGGAGATGAGGGTCGGGATAGTGAGGAGGTTTTCCCGAATTGGGTGCTATGTGGCGACCCCAATCAGTTGGGGCCTATCATTCGTTCTGGGATTGCTCGACATTTTGGGTTTGAGAAGAGTTTGTTGGAGAGGTTGATGAGTGCTGGGGGAGGTGGAGGAGGATGTTATCATTGGGAGAGTGGGGAGAGCGAAAAGTAAGTTTTGGTTTTTAAGCTATAGTGGTTATCTCGGGCTTTGAGTCCGAGGTGGGCTGGGTTCTAGTTGTGATGCTGACTGATGTTGTGTTTTCGTTCCTAGTATCGTGAAGTTGACGAAGAACTTCCGGAGTCATGAGGGGATTTTGCGGTACCCGAATGAGAGGTTTTATGGTGGTGAACTTGAAGCATGTGCTTCGCATGAACTAGCGGGGTTCTGTTTGACATCTTCGATTCTCCCTCGTTCCGGATCCCATTCCCAATCCAACGCCAACTCGGACGCTGGCTCGAAATTCCCCGTTATTTTTCATTCGATATCGGGCAAAGATTCTCGGGAGGCTTCGTCGCCTTCTTTCTTCAATGTGGAGGAGGTACTGCAGGTCAAGGAGTATGTTGTGAGGTTGAAAGGGGATAGGAATGTTCGAATTAGTGAGTCCTTCTTTACACCCTCGTTCCATTGACTTCTTGGAGACTGACAACCCTCCTCTCACCTCCTCGAATTTACTACATGACAGCCGACCACGACATTGGAATCATCTCCCCTTACCACGCGCAATGTCTTAAACTCCGTACGGCTCTCCGACCTATTGCGGAGAGTGTGAAGATTGGAAGTGTGGAAGAGTTCCAGGGTCAAGAGCGGAAAGTGATTATTATCTCTACTGTGCGAAGTAGTAGGGAGTTTTTGGAGTATGATTTGCATCATACGTTGGGGTTTGTTGCTAATCCTAGGAGGTTCAATGGTGCGTAACCTTTGCTTCTGGTCACAGTTGATCTTCAACTTGGAGCTTGGTAGACTGACGCGTCTTTCTGCAGTGGCGATAACTCGCGCGCAATCCCTCCTCGTTGTTGTTGGCGACCCGAATGTGTTGGGTCTGGACCCGCTTTGGCGCGGGTTTTTGAATTATGTTGAGAGGAATGGTGGATGGGTCGGGCCTGAGATTCCATGGGACTCTTCTGTCGAGGTTCCGTTGCCCCCTCTCGCTGCGGCCTCGGGGCCTTCTCGTACTACTAGTGGCGAGCCGAATGTTGAAGGTCCTGAGAACCTCGGTACCTTCAGATATGATGTGGCGATTCGGAAAGCTGTCGAGGCGGATATGGATGACTTGCAGAGGAGGATTGAGAGGTTGGCGATGGAGGTTGTGGAGGATGTGGATGCGAATGTTGATCGGCCTTGGAGGGATTATGAGTAGTGGGTTTGAGTTTGTTAGGGCTGCGTTGTTGCTGTTGGTTGTACTGTGTACTGATGTATATGGTTCATACAGAGATTCGATTATTGGGCCGGTTGTGTAAGCTGCGCGGCGAGTGAGAAGGCTGGGAAAGAGATGGGACAGTTCGGCCTCTATTTCTGTAGCCCCGGAAAACCGGACAGGTGGCATGGCGGGCTCTGCATGAATCGTGAAAACATAGAGCGTTGGCTCTTTACGTCCGCGCAGTTGCCTCCAGGTATACCAGCGGCTTCCAAGTGCTGGTATCTGAAAATACCAGGCCTCACATCTCGTACTGCGCGAGTTACGCTGCCAAACTTACACTGCCGGGCAGTGCAGGCTCATGATCACGGTCACAACTACCCGTTCTCGACATCCCTTTGTCTCGCTCTTGTCCACCGCCTTTCTGTATCAGGTTACAGGAGCGATCTGCGCCTTCTCAGCTCCCAAATTTATCCCTCCCAACTCGCGACGGAAGCGAGTTATGGTAGGGTATGGGTGGCGGAGCATAGCCTTGCCCTGAAAGGCTATGCTTGTGCCTTCCATAAACACCCCAGTATTGTCCTAGTTCAGTTTCCGCAAGAGGGACTGTCTGGCGGGGTCCTTTGGTCTCCAGGGCGGTGCGCTGCTTTTTATGACGAGTGTGCCCACTGACTGTCAGTCTGGGGAACGTGAAGTTCATCGAGCGTGGCGGAGGGATCGCGATTGGAGGCTTGAAAGACACACGCGCACAGCTTTTTATTTTTTCGATTCGGTTGTGTACCTGGGTTTTCATCGTTATGTCCGGAGCGTGGACCATTGGGTGTATATAAGGTGTGGTGGCTGGCAGAGGGATGGTAGTAATACCCCTCGTCTTCGCCTTCACCGTCGTCGTTGTCTTCCGCTTCTATTCGCTTCTCACTCAAGGCATTCGCCCCGTTCGATCGTCAATATGGATTTCCTCAAGAAGAAAGTTATGAACGAGGCTTTGAAGGTTGCGACTGGGAAGGACAACAAGCAGTCGTCTTCGTCGTCGACTGTGCCTGGTCAACCTAAGAAAGAGGGTACGTTGCTGGAATTATCGGACGGGTATGTAGGAATTCGAAACTAACGCGTCTCTGTATTCTAGACCATCTTGACAAAGGTTAGAAGACCATCATCCCAGTTTTTGCCGGCCCCTGGCATCATACCTGTACGGGTGCTAACCCTTATCTCCTGTCAGCCATCGACCTTGTCCAAGAACACATTTTCAAGCAGGGCTCGCAGAAGAACGAGTCTGCGGCTGAACAGGCTAAAGACGAGAAGATCAAGAAGGGGATTACGACCATGTACAAGATGGCTACGGGGAAGAAATTCCCTGGTACCAAGTAATGGTGGTCGTGTTGGATGTTGTTGTTGTCGTCATCATCGTCGCGAGTGCTGGAGATTTAAACTTCAAGATACCCCTGTTGTATTTACTATAATGTATTTTGCTTTTCTTGCTTTCTTTGTGTTTGTGGTGTTGTCAGATTTAATGATGAAATGCCATTCGCGAGTGCTCGCCTAGGAAGGCCTTCTCCCGGGTCGCCTCCAGAATCCAAAACACAAGTCGAGAAATGGCACTCAGAAACGAGGCGCCCAAGCAGCCATATTGGTCTTCTTCTCGTATTCCTTAAGCAAGTTGGCGACTTCCTTGGCGTTTAGGAATCTATTCGCCATGAGCAGCTGGGGGCGTTCAGACATGAATCAGCCGAAGGAGCTGGGATGAGATAGAAGACACGTACGAGCAACCAATACCGCAACGCATCCCACCCAGCCGCACGGTGGATCATCCGCCAATAGTAGTCGATGAATGCCAGGGTTCCTTTGTAGTAGTTTGCGATGAATTTTTGTCTGTATGTACCCTTGTGTATGAGCAAAAAAAAAAAAAAAAAAAAAAAAAAAAAAGAAAAGTGTTTGTTGCAGGACACCCACCGGTTCAAGAAAATCCACCTCGCCCAGAGAGCATGCATCACCTTCTGTTCGTCAGTCACGTCGTCGCTTTCCCAGATCTCCTCCTCCTTATCTAGGATGGCCCAGTCCATTAAACCGTAGTCGTCCAGTGGGAGTGTACCCAGCCAATCGAAGACGGTTGGTTCGTTATCGGTTGGTTCGTCGTCGTTTTCCCTACGACTGTGGTTTGAAGGGTTGATGCGGCAGGAGTAGTAGATGGTGGGACCGTCGTATTCGGATACGAGGGGGAATTTGGGGCGACGGGAGACGGGTCCGAGAGGGTCGTCTGGGGGAGGGGGCGTTGGGTACCTCCGGGAAGAGGGTGTTCCGGTGGTCGCGGTGCGGGTTGTGGATGTGGCTGTTGCGGTACTCAGGACCGAGCTTCGATAGGAGGACGACGAGGCGAGGGTGGTAGCGGCTGTGGTGGATCGGCCGGTGGTCGTTGCCGTGGAAGAACGGAATGTGGTTGACCTGTCGGAGAGGCCTGTGGTTGTGCTGGGTGTGCGGAATGGTTTCACGTCTTCGTCTTCTTCGTCCTCCATCTTGAAGGGTGTGGAGCGGAGGGTGGAAGAACTGGCGGGGGTAAAGCTGACGCGGGTGTGGGATCGGTTGCTGGATAGAGAGGGAGAGAGTGTGGTTCTAGATAGGCTTGGGCTCGGGGAGGTTGGGGGTGACATTGTGACGGACGGGAAGAGGCTTTCGTCTCCGGGATGTAGTCCTTCTGTTTCGTGATCATCGAGTACAGGAGATTGAAGGGGATGTTCTTCACTAGCTCTCCGAGCTACGACCTCGTCAACGAAGGGTCCTGTTTCTTCTTCCGGAGGCGGAGGAGGAAGTATCAGACGCAATAGCCACTGGGAATAGGTGAGCCAAGAATACATGGTGGAGTAAGTTTTTCAATCTCACCGTGTCGTCGTGCTGTAGGTCCCATTTAACCCGGATTTCTTCGTGGTCCGACTTTAAATGGAAATCCAGAGGCTTTTTGAGGGCAAAGGTACCATGCAAGGAACATAGAGGGCATCTCCACCCTTCCATACTCGTCTCGTATACACTCCCGCTCCCGCCTCCCTCCACCTCGTACTTCAGGTATACAGTCAGAGACTTGTGCTTTCCTTTACGCGAACCGACTGGTATGCCTAGTTCGGAGCAACGGCCCAGAAATCCTTTGCGAAGGTTTCGAAGCAGGAAGGGGAGTTGTCGGGTTTCTTGCATGCGGTTGGTGGGGAGTAATAGGTGTTCAAGAGCTCTCCAAACGAGTTTTGGGCATTGGGAACTCTTGTGTCGAGTTTCTTCCTCTAGGGCAGTGTCGATTTGTGGGAGGGGTATAGTGATTTTTGGTGGTGTGTCTAGGATGATAAGTTCGGCGGGGCCATGCCAGGGGCCGTCCATGGCAGTGTCCCCATCCTCTTGCTTCACCGTGGGCTCGCGTTTGAAGGCGGGGGCAGCTTCGTTGTCTTCTTCGTCACTCTCTGATTCGGAAGATGATTCGAGTTCAGAATCTGAGGATGGCAGTCCTACAGAGGTATCGGTGTGCTGGCTCGCATCGTCTTCAGAGGCACTTTCTTCGCTTGATGAAGGGTCGGGTGTGAGGGATACGCTGGTCTTTCGTGCTGCCCGTACGGGCCCTGTCTTCCTTCCAGTGGGGAGCCTGTCATTGCAATGCTTAGACACAATCCGGGTGAATTGTAGACGAAGGCACGCACTCGGAATTGAAACTTGTCATTGCTGCGGGTACTGCAATGTCTACTCCCTTTGAGTTGACACCAGAGAGCGGGCGACGCGGCATGCTTTTAAGAGCAGGGCGTGGAACAAGCCCCCTATCGTCATCAGAGTCATCGAGGGGTGGATTTTGGTGGATTTTATCTGGAAGTGGTCTAATCGCCTTCCTTTGGTAGGGCTTGGTACGACGCCAGCGAGGCATGGTTTTACGAGCAACAGGGAGCTCAACGGGCCCTCCATCGTTGTCAGAGTCCCCCATATCCACGTCAGGGTCATCTAGCCTTTGTCCATCGCTGATGAGGGATAGGTTAGGACCTAGGTATGTCTTCTTGGGGACGCGACCTGGTTCATCTGTTGTAGCCGTCTTCGTTTGGACGCGCCTGGTTCCTGCAGTGATCCTGCCAACTGTGTGGCCAAACTCGTCTCTACTTCGCTTGCGTCTCTGTTCTTCCAGGAGTTGATCCTGTTCTTGCCATGGCTGAAGTATGGGTTTGGTATTCTTGAGTCGGGATGGGATTGGCTCAGGTCGGTTGCGAGCTGGTGTAGTCTGCGGGCGTCCTGGTTGGGGGAACAGAAGGGCGTTTCTGACAGATATGGCTTTCTGCGCTGGGAGGTTGTTAGAATGTTTCAGAATTTGGCGCGTTCAACGACGTCCTTACCCAGAATTTGACCCAGGTCCCTTCTTGAGAGCGATGGTGCTCCCAAGGGCCTTGTATTCGAGGGTCCAAATTCATTGAGAATCTGTGGAAAGGGTATAAGGAGATGTTTCGGGTCAATAGCTGTTTACTTACTTCTCTAGGGTTTGGACGTTTTGGGAAGGCACGAGTTCCTTGTTTTAATATTCGGGGAGCTGTTGGTGACGGTCGATGGTGATTATCTGGATCATCTGGTCTATGTCTTGACGACTAAGAACACAGTTCATCCCTATTTAGCTTCATAAGGGCTTAAAACCGTACGCTTGGTCCAGGATCCATAGCCAGCTCCGGTGTATATTGCGTCGAGTTCAAGGCAGACGTCTAAGTGGATGTTGAAGTCAAGCGCAGTTGGCGATAGACGCCCGGAGGCTAGGATTGGACCGTGGGACACTATTACTAAGACCCATCTGAATTTATGACATCGTCGAAAGGCGAGTTGTCCACCGTCAACGACGACGACCACACTGCCATGAAGCGTCAGGCGTCCGCCTCACCCCAGAGGGACAGGTCCTCAAAGCGAGCGACGACGTCGTCGCCACCGGAAGAAGGCGAACTTGATGACGGCGCACCCGTTAGCCAGCAACCTTCGACCAGCCTTCCGCCACCACCTGCAACTCTTCCTTCAAAGCCAGTGAAACCGGTTCCTTTTCCTTTCAAGAAAAAGGCGGAAACGACTACATCCAATGTGAAGCCTATAAATGTCTTTGGCACCCCGTCTGGCTCCGGCTCCCGCCCTGAACCACCCAGAAATACGAAGGACGACGACTCGCGACGGAATCGAGGCCCTCCAGAGCCTAAATCGAGGATTGGTGACCACTGGGAGCCAACCTATGACCACCATAATCGCGGGAGGTCTTGGGGAGACGGCGGGAGAGATTATAGAGATAGAGATTTTCGCAACAGATCCCCAAGACGGTCAATGGAACGCTCAAGGTCGCCACGACGAGACAGGCACCGTCTTCCCCTCCGCCATTCTCCTTCCAGAAGTTCAGAACGGGGTTATACACCACCACGCTCCCGTTCACGATCTCGAGATAGAGGCTATGACCGCTATAGAGACAGAGACGACCGGTGGCGCCCAGACTTTGACAGAGACAGAGACAGGCATTATAGGCCTCACGACCATTACCGTCCCGACGACCGTGAATGGTCGAGAAGAGGCGACGCGGATCGTCGTCGAGTCGATTCCTATCGTCCACAATCTCCTGGTTCGAAGCCTCCGAGCTCGCCGCCGCCTCCACGCTCCCCGGAACTCCCTCCTGTCGCTGCTCCCGCGCCGCCCCCACCTCCACAGCCTTCCCAACCTCCGCCTCCACCTGCCGCCCCGCCGTCTGAGCCAATAGAACCCAGACCACCTTCTGATACTCCACCCCCGCCCCCTCCTCCAGATCCACGCCTTATGAATAACCCTCCCCCACCGCCCACTGGTGCGGTGAAACGTCCAAGCCTGCCGCCAACTCTTCCGAACAAACCTGTATTTTCCTCCGTTCCACCGCCGTCACTGAAGCCGAAACCACCAGCCCCACCTCCAGCCCCACCAAAAATCCGAGTTGTCAAACGGCGGACTGCGTCCAAGCGGACGGACAAGCAAGACATGGAGGCTTATGGCCGAGTCTTTGTTGGCTGCGGACAGCAATCCGATTATGAAGTCACTACAAAGTTGGGAGAGGGTACTTTCGGGTAAGAACTAAGCTCATCCCTTTTGTGTTGCTGGAAATTTAACCTTTTGAACAGAGAGGTTCACAAAGCCATCCAAAAGGCCACTGGAGCATCCGTCGCACTCAAGCGCATTTTGATGCACCATGAAAAGGAAGGCATGCCCGTCACCGCCTTGCGTGAAATCAAGATTCTCAAAGCCCTGAAACACCCGTGTATTGTGAATATCCTTGACATGTTCGTCGTCAGAAGTAGGTTCTCTCGCAGCTCGTGCTCTACAGAATCAATGACATCGTGTTCCCAGGTAGCGAGAAAGATCCGTTATCTGTCTATATGGTCTTCCCCTACATGGATCATGATCTCGCCGGTTTACTGGAGAACGAACGTGTGAAGCTGCAGCCCAGCCAGATTAAGCTGTACATGAAGCAGCTGCTGGAAGGCACTGAATACATGCATCGGGTGGGCAATGAAAACGCCTATCTCCCCTTCAGTTTTCTCATCACCATCGTTTTGTCCTTTTACAGAATCACATCCTTCACCGTGACATGAAAGCCGCCAACTTGCTGATTTCGAACACTGGCAACCTTCGAATTGCCGATTTCGGTTTGGCCCGTAGCTTTGATACCAACATCACCAAAGGGGGATCGACCAGAAAGTATACGAACTGTGTCGTCACGCGGTGGTATCGTCCCCCCGAACTCTTGCTCGGTGCCAGACAGTACGGCGGTGAGGTGGACATTTGGGGCATTGGGTGAGTGGTTTTTGGTTCTCCTATTACACCTTGACTGAAGGGGTTTTAGCTGCGTGTTAGGAGAGATGTTCAACCGCCGCCCTATTCTCCCCGGATCTTCGGATTTGGATCAACTAGAGAAGATTTGGTACCTGTGTGGAACACCGACTCAGCACTCTTGGCCTAATTTCGACGCCTTGCCCGGATGCGACGGCGTTAAGCACTTCAAGAGTAATCATATCCGCAGGGTCAAGATGACATATGAAAGGTTGGCTTGTCCATTGTGTTACTCTTGGCTGGCATGTTGACTTTCCTCGCTCAGTGTTGGCGCTGAAACGGCCGATCTGTTGGATAAACTCTTGGTTTGTAATCCGAAGGAAAGGATCACGGCTGCTCAAGCTCTCGAGCACGAGTACTTCTGGACCGACCCCTTACCTGCTGATCCCAAGACGTAAGAGCCTTTTTACACTTCCGTTGGAATCATGTCTGACTCTGAATGCTTTAGACTGCCCGTCTATGAAGCGTCCCACGAGTTTGATAAACGCGGTCAACGGAACCACCAACCAATGATGGGACACCACCAACCTTCCAAATACCAAGATCCCTCTCACCGCCTTCCTCCCCCCGCTGGCAATCCGCAGAGACGACAAGGCAATCACCGAGGTCCTCCGGGTCCCTGGCCTGGCGCACCTCCTCTTTCACATGGTCCTCACGCTCACCCTCCAGGGCCCGGTTCGTACAACATGAACCAAGGACCACCACCGGGGATGTCTGGACCTCCTCCTCCTGGATTCCGCCCTGGGCCTCCGGGAGGTATTCCGATGAATCCCAACATGGGTCCTGGACCCTATCCTGGAGGACGGCCTCAATTCAACGGGCCCGGTGGACCACGACCTCCTGGACCTGGTGCATACAGTCTCCCGCCCAACCCAGGTGGTCGACCACCCTTCCGCGGCCCCCATAATGGGCCTCCTGGTCCACCTGGAGGGCCAGGAAGGATGGGAGGACCAGGACTTCCCCCTCGTCCCAGCGTTAGCCTTCCACCGAAGCCCGCTGCTCCGTTGGGCGGTGGTGTGGCTCTGGGGACTGTACCTCGCTCGAATGTACCCATGCCTGGTCGACGGCCTCAGCCACCACAACCACATCCACCACCTCCAAGCACTGGCTCTGGAAACGGCTACGCACCTAACGGAGGCTTAAACTATGGATAGCATTTCCCAAAGTCTTCTACTGGCTCTCCTGTCGCTGGCTTTACTTATGGTTTTGTCATACGGTTCTTTTGGGACCAGGTTTCCACGTACATCCTTATCGGTCCACATTCACTTGGGACACCGCTTCTTGCATTTTTCTTTTTTGACCCATGTTCAAAGTTCAACTTCTTTTGCTTTCATACAATCATATCCCATCGTTAACATTCGTATAGTAGTAGTACCATCCAGCCCATCGACCCAACCCACCCCGCAATGCAATCGCAACTTACATGGCAATCATGATGCACATATACACCTTTCACGGTTATCCTTACTTAGTTCCTAGTTCCACGCCTCAATTTCATACAATTTGTTGTCGCTTTCTCCTGTTGTTACCCCCCGTCCTGTCCTGTCTTGTCTCCCCGCTATGTCTTTTCCCCCTGTTTTTAGTTTTGTCTTGCTCTCTGTGGTTCGATCGTGCCTTCTCTCTGGTGTATGAACATGTTCTTTGGTTGTCTCGAAATAGGGCTCGTAGTCACCGTTGTATATTTTGTTGTTGTTAATAATATATATAGGAGGTTGAAGGCTTTGGATATATCGCCTGCACGTTCCGACGATTCTGCTGCGAGAGCGACAGTGGAGCATGCGGGCGCTTACATGTGGCTGTTCAAAAGTTAGTCAGCGCCCTTCCATGCTAACATACGCAAACAGAATTGCTCATAAATTTGCGCTGACCGACTCTTGTTCATGCAACGACGACAGCAATGCCTTGCTGAGTTGCCTCGCGCGCAGAAAGGCATTCTTTCAGCTTTTTCTGAAGTCGTCGCAGAGTAAACCAACGCTTCATTTTCGCTAGCAGCGTGATGGCCTGCGGGCTCTGACCGATTTCTAGATAGTAGTGAAAGCGACAGACCATATTCTCTAATTTCGCAATACAAATCATGTTTTCCCTCCCTCCATAAAGTGCAAGTTTGTCCTGTTGAGCGAGAGTTGTGTCGGCGGGATCTTCCTTTCAATCTGACGTGCCAAGTATCCATAATCCAAGGAGATAAGGTCGCTATTCCTTCAAGCCTAAATCGACGAGATGGTCTTTGCAGGTTCGAGCAGACGAGTCCCGATGTTCTTGAGTTCAATATTCCAACTGAGATGTGCGATTTTCAGAGGAGTTGCAATTGATTGCGAGTGCGATAGTACAGAATGAATGAAATATAGAAAGCCTATGCCTTGTTCTTTGCCTCCTCTGCAGCAGCGACGGCGGGGTTGACCTTCTTGCCATCCTTCCACCTGATACGAGGGGGAGGTGCACGGTTGCGGCGACCCTCTCGGGATCGGACACGGACGACTGGATGGCCGATTCATCAGGAAATCTCTTTTCATAGGGAGATCTGGGTGCATACCGTGCGAGTGGATGGCGCAGGAGACGCAGTATGCGATTTTGATGTACAGCTTGGGGATAACGTACTCTGAGAGCGTAAAAAAGTCAGTCTTTTTAGTCATAAGCAAAATGCATAGCAGACGCACCAGAGTAGACGCTAGCCTCGCTGAGATCTCGAACAGCAGCACTCTCGACCATGTTCCTCACGGTGAATCGCTTGATGGCCTTGTCCTTGGGCACGCATCGCGAGCAGTTGGAGCATCGGACAAATTTAACGTGGCCACGTCCCTTCTTGTTGCGACCGCCGGATCGTCGTTTCTTGGTCTGCAGAACGTTGTCGTTAGCAATGCCGTCCCGCAGAGCATCCAAACCCTCCCTATGCGCATCCAACCCAAATCCACCGAATCGACGCCCCCGAACGGCGTCAACGAGTCCAACACACCCCCTCCAGCATCCAGAAAGACAGAATGCGGCTCACCATTTTGAGTGTTGTGTCGTGAGCGTTGGAGGACGATGCGAGTGGGTAAGTTGTGTTGATGCTTGCGTGTGGCTGGCGAGTCTCCGATTTCGGATCAACGGCTTGAATTGCTGCCGAGAACAATGGCCGATCGTGAGTTTGGCTGTTGCTTGCTACCAGCCTTTTGTTCTTCTGTTATAAAAAGAATAGAGGCCATGGGGATTGCTCGTCATTATCTTCCTTTTCGCTACTCTAACTCTGCAAGCCAGGTGCTTGCAATACGACATCCGAATGCGTCCACGACTTGCTCTCGCTCTCGCTCTTGCGGCGCTTCCTGTCGTCTTCAGCGCGCCAACGACTAACTCTGAAATATTTGCGCAAGATGCACGGGATGCACAGAAGCTGAATACCTCCTACCGAACCATCAAGGCTGATGACCCCTGCCCTAGTAAGTCCAACATACGTATCCCCCGGACCTGTTACTCATTGATTTCTAGGCGGTGAAGCTGCTTGCGTCGATAACGCTATTGCTAGGTGTATTAAGGGAAGGTGGGATACTTCCCAAACATGCGGACTCGAAGAGAAGTGCTTTGCAGTCCCTTCTCTTAAGAATGGCCTGGTGCGTGCGCCCTTTTTTGCGACTGTAACTGGTGTTCATCGTCCCTCTAGCTTCTTGCTTGCACGACCGAATCCAATGCTTTGAAAGCTTTCGAGGAAGCGAATGTTGAAGGCGGGATTTTTGGACCCGAAGACACGAACTCTACCGTCTCCTCCAGTCCGAGTGAAACACCTACCTCCCCTTGCCATACTCCGATTGTCGAAAAGACTACTACCGTTACTGTCGAAGAGAAGACTGTTACAGTTACTGCCCAGGCCACCGTCACAACGACCGTCCTCCCCCCTCTCGTCACCTCCCAAACCACAGTAACTAGCACCATCCCACTACAAGAAGCTTCGAGTATCCTCTCCAGTATCCGCGCTACTTACACCGGTGTCGAACCTACCGCTTTCTCCAGCATCGGCGTCAGCTCCGAAGCGGCGAGTTCATCACCGACTGCTTCGCAATCCATCATCTTACTCACTGCTGCACCTGCAAGTGCAACTGCCAGCGTCAGCGCCTCGGCGGTCCCTGCTGTGAATTCAGTCAAGGGCCCTGGATACGGTTACTGAACGCACACACCAAGGTCAATATGTTATTGTGTAAATTATCGCCGCGTAATGACCCCCACACGACCTACGACGGAAGCAACTTGCTGGACTTGTTGCTTTCGTTGACGCCATTCTTTACGACAACCACGGCTACGCAATTGTACTTGTAGGGCTTGGAGCATTAATCTGTTGTATCTGTAGGGATTCGGATGTGTTTTTATGCTGTTGTAGATAAGGACTATATAGTTAATGTGTCGTTCGGAGCCTTACCTCCCTCTGTTCAGGCCGTACCAAACGCGGTTAAGTCCAAAGTCCTTCGCGCAGAGAAATATGGCCCCCAAGTCCTTTCGACCCCTCCCTCATCCCAACACTGTCCGAGGGCACCCTATAGTTCGTCTTGTTCTGGTCTTCTGTGCTACCACGCTGACGCCAGCTCCTATTACACCCACAAGTACCATGACTATGTCATCGATACCTCCACTGGCCCTCCATAGAAGCAGTACGCTTCGTTCCAGCATTTCTTCAGTTAAGCGCTCTGGCGCTTCGGTATTTGGTGGCTATGCTGCTCCCGTGAGAACAATCGCGGCGAAAGCCGGTCACAATCCTGCTGGACCCTTCGCGGCCAGGGACCCTCGCTTTGTTCTGTTCTGGAAATATTGTTTCTGAATTCTTTTGTATTTTCTGCACCCGTGAAAGGGCTTCTGAATGCGGTCCTTGGTACGCTGCTGTAGAGATACACAGAGAGTAAGTTCTAGAAGCCTTTCTGCTTGACGATTTCTGACGGCACTTCTCACATATCCAGGTTCGTTTAAAGCCGTTCGAACTACTATGAAATAGATTTCATACGACTTGGAAAACTCCTGCTCGAGGAGGAGCCGTAGAAATGGGTCTTTAAATCTCCATTTTCTACACACTGAGCAACCATGGCCCTTGGTCATCTTTTCCAACAATTACAGTGCGCTTTTCCTTGTTGCTAGCCACTGCCTGCAATTGTTAACATCTTTTCCCTGCTAGCACAGTGACGCTGTGCACCCTTAGGAATGCTGTGGCCATTAGATGCTAATACATCTGGTTCCTGGGCCGGTCTCCGGTAGCCACTCTGATTGTCTGCGAGATAAAAAATGATTAAGGCCGCCCGGTCCTTTATCTCTTTGCAGTTCTCCATTCTTGTTAACTCGTCCTTTCACCCTTCAACTTCCTCTCATATCTCTCATCCTTATACCCCTCTGAAACTAACTCCTGTCACGTCTTTTCGCCATGCAACCCAACCCCAAGCGTACCAAAGTCGGCATGGGGCTCTTCTCGACCCGCAAGACTCACGAATCTGACGACGAAGACCCAGACCAATTAATCGCAGAGCTGTTGCAAAAGGGGAAACCGAAAACGCGACCAGCTCCTTTCTTTGATGACGACCCGCGATTCCATGGGGAGCGCACGCCTTCCAACCCTCCAGAGGCAATGCAGGACGACACGCCGAGGCCCCAATTTGTTCGCTCTGAGGGCAAGACGCCGTACCTTCAGCCTTTGGAGGACGATGAAGAGACTAAAGGTGGATTTATTGCCGAGTTCCTTTCAAAATCGAAAGAGAAGGGAAAGGCCAAAGAGCAGCCAGAACAACCGATAGCCGACGTTAGCCTGCTTGTTAAGCCTTTCCGAACGGCCTCCACCTCCACCCCAACTCAGGCATCACGGTCTCCGCAGCCGTCGAAAACTACTCGTCCTGACGAGGCATCATCACGGCCTTCCAATCGAGCAAGAACACCCGCTCCTGAAGCAGGACCTTCAAGCGGAGTCGCGTCTTCGACGAACACCACCTCTTCCAGTCCCCAGCCGGCTCCAAATTCGGATCGGCAGATCAAAGCACTTCCAACCAGGAAGCTTCAGCAGCCTCCTCCCGCTGCCCCCCTCGTTGCTTCTACCCAGCCAACGACCAGCAACCCTGTCCCTACGGCCACCCCGGCTCAAGCTGCAGCGAGATCAGAATCACCAGAGGGGGAACATGGAACCTATGAAGAAACCGAGGACCCCGTTCCTTTTGGTATATATACTTTGGTGCAGCAATTTCGAGCGCGCTTCCCCGACCCATCTTATTTGTGGGGCCCAAACTCGATCATATTCAAAGTGCGGTCCATCTCTAGCGCCATCGCCGATTGGAAAGGGTCTAGGGATCCCGACCTTTCGTTCCTGCAGGTTCAGGAATATCTTAAGCAGGCTTCGCCTCAGGAGGTCAAACGTGCGAGGGAGTGCGTTTATCGGGCGCGGACTCAATCGCATTGGCTGGACGAGCCTCGCCTCTCTACCGTTAAAGACCAACTCGACGAGGAAGAAGAGTCGGGCACAGAGGACTTCCTCTTACCTATTCTTGAAGCCAAAGAGGACGAGGGTAGTAGCTCCCAGACATCCAGCGATGGATCAGAGGAGGAGGAGGACGACGACATGGAGCAAGTCGCCAGCATTTACGAATCTCCTGCAACGTATGTGGTTAACTTGTCAAGGCTGGATATGCACTCACCTCTGTTGCGCCGGATAGAATGGCTGGCGACGGGGATACTCGCGTACCTCGTGTTCCTTCTCCATCGAACATCCCCTCTCCTCTCTTCACCCAAGCTACACTGATCGACAGTTCCGCTCTCCCAATTGGGCTTGCAATTCCTCCTATCGACACCTCAACCCACAGCCTACCTCTATTGCTCCAGTCTGAGTCAGATCCGTCTTCGCAAGGGAGCCCTCCATCGACTGAGTCGACACCTCTCGTAGAGACGCCACCCCTGCATCCCGAGCTGGATCAAGCGCAGATTGCAGATGCAGATAATTCAACGGGAGATGTATCGGATTACGAGTCCCAGCAGCTTCAGGTGCCACCCCCTTCTATGCAGCCGCCGGATAGTATGTCGAACGAGGACAAGGACAAGTCTGGATCCCACGCGGCAGAGGGGGACGGTCTTTTGCTCCGTAAATCGAGCTTGGAGCCTGCGCAGAGTGAATCCCTTCCCGAATTTGTGGGGGAGGGGAGTCTGCCCAGTTCAAAGGAGAGTAATAGCGGCAGCGTGACCCCGAAGGCGATGGTGATAACTGGCGATGCTGAGAACGGTGCCTCCTCCGCTTTTTTGGAAGGATCGCCGAGAGGCACCGCCAGTGGCGCTTCTCCCGACCCTGGATTGCAGCCTCGGCAAATGGATGAGTCGCCAGATGAGATATTAGGTTCTGAGAACGCTTCTTTCCACGAGGGATATACGCTTGCCCAGACTGAAGACGACACTCAGATGGTCCAGTCTCCGACTGACTCCATCCCGATGTCCACGTCTGTGTCCATGGACGACGACGGCTCGGACATCTTGCCCCAGACGATACCTCGACCCACATTCGATTTCCCTCCATCTCAGATTCGTCAGCCTGCTTGGGATCTTGGAAATAATGACGAAGATGAACTTATGGATACCCTTTCGACGTCAAGGTGGGTGCTCTCTTTTTTCTCTTGCATATCCGACCTTCCTGACAGGGGTTATCCCGCATCTTTAGACATCGCTTCCGGTATCCCGGTGACTCGGACGATGAGGATTCCGAGGGAGACTTTGTAATGTCGGCTGGACAACCTAGCGCGGTCGCTACAACAGTTGAGGACGAATACGACACCTTTCTGAATGATGGTGCCAATGAAGATTCTGAATCCCTTCCAGCCAGCCCCATGGATAGTGTTCATGAAACCGGAACGGAAGCCTCAGACCCCCTCTGCGAGACAGAAGAAGCCTCAGCCGAACATGATAATTCCGCAGCCACAATTCCAAGTTTCCCGCCAGGAATCTCGGATACCACCACCATGAACGAAGCTAAACCCCTTGGACACTGGCTGTCTGGACAGTCGGTGAAGATGTGTTTAGATGGGGAGAGCGAAGGCAAGGAAGACGGAAGGCAAGTCCCACTTTCCCGACTCGCATATTTCTACAGGCTTGCTTATTGTCTTGTTTAGTGTCGATGCTGCGAATGCAGGGGTGGACGTGGAGGACGATGAGCAAGCGCCTAAAAATGATTCAGGAACGGGCGAAGTTAGCCCAAATGATGATGGTGAAGAGGAAGGGGAAGTAGTGGAACAGGTGGAACAGGTGGAACAGGTGGAACAGGTGGAGAATACGAGAGAGGAAGAGAAGAGGGAAGTGGAGAGTGGAAAGGAAGATGAGAAGGAAGAGCAGAAACAAGAAGAGAGGCTGGATCAAGGTGCGGAGAAGGCGGAGGATAGCGCGCCCCAGCCGGAGTCCGAAGATGGGCCTCCTTTACCCATTGCAGTCAATCTCTCCTCGCGACACTCCTCACCGCGGCGACGTCTCGCAGGTCAATTCCTTCCTGTCTCAAAGCAATTCCTTGGTCATGTACCAGAATCGCGGGGCAAGATTCAAGCTCAAGCACCAATTCCCGATCGCGACGGCCACTCGAGAAGCCCCAACCTCAATGTCTCCCCGCAGACACACCAACCCCGCAATTGAGGTCGCTTCGCTCACAGGCGTCTCAAACACGGCGAAGCTCGAAACGACTTCCAGACGCGCCCCGGGTTTCCAAGATGGATGCACCTCAAAACACCGTCCAGTGCGTACTGGTTGTCGAAGGAAGCCCAAGCATCTGGATTCTGTCGGCTCAACACAAGCCAGTCTGGGGTCACGAAGCCATCCCGCTGTTCTACCTCGTCTGGGCGGACTTTATCCCAAAGGAAATTGTCGACAGCTTTGGTGGGGGAGTCATGGGACTCTATTGCAGGATGGCACTTCTGGTGGGCGTCGTGTCAGAGTGGCTTTTGTTCATCCACGGACTGGCGCGAAGTTCAGGCATCGCCGCGACTTTGGCGCCCTACCCGCTTTGGGCTTTGTTCGACCTCGAAACGGTAGCGAGGGGGCTGATCACGGTCCTTGTGGTTCCGTTGTGGTCTCTCGCGCTTGCGGTTAGGACGGTGTGGGATTCTGGCGTGAGCGATTTTGTGTCGGCCTCGAGGGAGTTCTGGCAACTGGGTATGGGTTGGCAGGTGCACTTGAACCAGCAACTTCGTCTTGGGCTCATTCTGGGCGTTGTTGCGAGCCTTATGTGGTGATGATAGACGTGAGCTTCGGACTTTAATCTACCGACATGTATTTTTCTCTTGCGTTCAACCATACCTTCTCTGTCGCATATCAATTATTATGTATCATTCGTATAGGAACAGTAACCCAAGTTATTGGGGGATAGTTCGGAGCCAGGTCGTCGGAGCTCGTACAAGTGGGCGCAGAGAGTCTCCAAATGTTTTTATCGCCTCTTCCATTCCCTAAGACTGTTTCAGCAGCGCACAATCGTTCCTTGGACCAGCACCGAAAGAGAAAAAGAATGCAAAAACGACTCCGAATCTTGTGTCCGACTCGGTCAGACATGAAGCCGCGAGAAAGTATCGGGACATTCCGACCGTCGGCATGACGGCAACGGTCGGCTCCAGTTGGACCAGTTGGTTCCGCGTTGTTCATTGACCTTTGGCCACCAGCTGTGGTTTCGCTTTTACACCGACTGCCGATGACAAGATAACGCCATGGGGACTCTGGAATACCCCAAGCTCTTATCTCTGGCGCTTTGCGCGCTCTCTGGCCTGATTTGGGTCAAGAAGAAACCACGATTCTCCCATATACTTCTCCTGGCGCATACGGCGTATATTGTCTACCAGCTGCTCATTGCGTTCCCGATGAACGTGTTTACAGACTTGGGCGTACCATTGAACGGATCTGCGGAACTGTTGAGGATGCGAATGGCCCGGCGGAGGCCACTGGATCCTGAATTGGAGGGGTTGTTCAAGCGGTTGGGGTCGTTGGACCATAGACTGCTTTATGTTCGGTTCGTGTCACTTGATTTAGCTGGTTGTGGAGGACTAACGAACGTGGATTAGATTTGGACATGATATTATTGCGGGGTGTGACTATTGCCAGTCGTTTGGTGATTATGCGTTGTTGGCGCTACCCCGGCCACTGCTAGCTTATATTCGTGAAATGGCGTTCGTTGGGGTGAGTTGTTCACTCAGCTGCTGAGACAACCATTGAGCTAAAGGTTTTAACCAGGTTCTGACGCTTCCTGGGTCCCCGAAATCACACCTTCGACCTCTGGGGCTTGCAACTCTGATGCTCTCAGCGCTTGCAGAAGCTTATTTCATCCTGTCAGCTACCATTTCTATCAAACCGCAAGAAGAGCCTCTCATTACGATGGTGAGACTCAACTAACTACCTACCTGATACTACATAGAGCTTACCCGACCATGCGTCAATTCCAGTGGCACGATACCTTTCTCCGCGCACGGCTAGCCCTGTTTTTGCTGCTTCCTTTCCTGCTCCACCTACCCCGGATACCATTCATTCACCGAATACCGATCATCTCCACTTTCCTGCCCATACCCGACCCCCGAGCCTCGCAGAACCGGATACCAACAGGGCGCGTGCTGCAGCGCCTTCAGAGCACGCTCGACCATCTCGTCCCCGGACTCCACCTTCTCAAATACACACGGGCGGCGGTGATGCGTGTGCCTGCGATGCGGGACCGCGCTGGGGCGTGGTGGGAGGGGGAGAAGAAGGAAGGAGATGCGGTGCTCGCTGATGAGGGGTTCAAGAGGACGGCGAAGGGGATGCAGCTGGCGTATGATGAGAAGGATGGAGTGTTGAGGGAGAGCACGAAGGCTGCGTTGAACTCTTTGATGCCTGGAATGGTGCCCAGCGAGCATTGGAGGAGGGAGGGGACGTGAGTTTCATTGGTTAGAGAGATCGTATTCCATTTCGCTGCATTCGCACACAACTCGCTGGAGAGAAGGTTGAAGGACTGATCCATGACCGTAGGGGTGATTCTGGGTTCGTTTGGCCCGCCATTTTTCGTTTGATCTTTTGTGCGTCCATCGTGGTGCCTTCCCCCTTTCAGTCCACTGCCTGCCCTTATCATTCATTCACAACGTCCATGTCGATTCATTCCAGTTCGTACCAAGCTGTTTGTGGATGGATTTGGGAACGCAACCCGATCCGGTATCCGAGCAAAGAATTTATTCTGTCCGGGTACGTCCAGGGATATTGAAGGCATATAACAACGTCCGTGTCGGTTCATTCCATTTGTGGATGGATTTGGGAACGTAACCCGATCCGGTATCCGAGCAGTGAATTTATTCTGTCCGGGTACGTCCAGGGATATTGAAGGCATATAAGGACTGAGATGCTGGAAATGCAACTCGAATCCTCCCGACCTGACCACCATGGCCAGCTTAGCGATCGCCGCTGGCTGTCTCGCTTTCTCTTTCTGGCTCTATATCTGGCTGAACGACCATCGGGTGAATAAGCTCCCCGACCCCATTCGGTCCATGTCGCTTCAGCACCTCACACCGCAAGAGGTCCGCGACGAACTTCGAACAGGAGGCTCCAAAGAAAGGGAGCTCGAAGTCCAATTGCCTCCCAGCACTGGTCGAAAATACATTGTTGTCGGAGGAGTAAGTCCTACCCATTCTCAGGAATGGCCTCTGTTCCAGTTTCCGATCAGCTAACCAGATCTCGATCATCAGGGTGGCTTCTTGGGCGGGTGGATTGTTGCCCACTTGCTGAGGCGAGGAGAAGATCCAAAGCGCATCCGAGTTGTAGACCTCGCTCCAAAGCCAACGCACCCTGCCGTGCTGGACGCAATGGAGACTCGGGGTCTCCAATACATCACCGGTGATATCACAAGCGCCAAATCCATTGAGAGCGCCTTCTCCGCCTCGTGGAAGGACGGGGCCGAAGTCCAAGGCGCCGGAATTACGGTATTTAACACCGCTGCCTCAATTCGGTTCTTTGAACGCCATACCGCATTCCTTTCTCGATCGACACCGGTGAACGTTTTGGGTACTCGCAACGTGCTCAATGCGTGCAGGACGGTTGGCGCGGATGTGCTCATCTACACTAGCTCTGCCGGTGTTGGAACCAAATCCGTCAGCCTGCTGCAATGGCCCTGGAAGACATCCCCGCCGAAAGATCTCTGTCAGTTCGTCAACGAAGACCCAGCGCGGGGGCCCAGGACTCTGGACGAATACCCTTCCAATTATTCCATTACCAAAGGCATTGCCGATAACCTCGTCCGCGACTTTGACAGGACCCCTCTCGACAATGGGAAGATGATCAGAACGGGCTGCATTCGTGCAGGGAATGGAATATACGGCGTCTGCGGGTCATTCGCTGAGGCCCACCTGTCCAGATCTTGGACACCTCAGTGGTTGCACAACGTGGTTCACTCGTTTGTGCACGTCGAAAACTGTTCCCTAGCTCATCTGCTTTACGAACGACGTCTACTCGACGTGATGAATCAGGCCGCTGTTCCCTCCGACGATCCAGCATCTGCTTCAAAACCTCTCTTACCCGACATTGGCGGACAGGCATTCTGCATCACTGATCCCGGTCCTCCAATCTACTGGAACGACATGTACACTATCTTCGAAACTCTTACCGCCGGCCGATGCTACTTCCCTTACGTCTCCCCAACTTTCGTCTTTCTAGTCGCCCACCTCATCGAGCTCTATTACCTCACCCACTACTTTGCCACTACCTCGTTCCCCGTTCTCAAGTCATTCCTTCCCCCCATTACCGGAGAGATCTCCTATCTTCAACCGGCAGCCTTGGGGTCGAGCAATGTTCATATCATTGTCGATGATTCGAAGGCAAGGAAGAGTCCTGAAGAGGGTGGACTGGGATACAAGGGTGTTTGGACCACACGGGAAGGATTTAGAAGAATGTGGGAGCAGTACGAGAAGATGGATAGGAAGGCGTCCAATTCACGGTGGAATGGAAAAGTAACCGAGCTCGAGCCTGTCGGGTATGGGACCAAACATTAAGCGGTGATGTGGCTGGTTCAAGCTGAAGATGGCTGCTCGGAATTTTCCTGACAGGGTTCTGTCACTTAGATTTACTACACACTGTTTTCTCGCCTTTTTTCTTTCTTGCACCAATTCCTTTTCACCTTGCATTGATTTTCACATTCGCTGTACACCTCAACATGTGTATGAACCAAAAAGCAAATTCTGTGGCTGTACTTCATGTATACAATAGCCTGCCGCCCCGACGCCCGTGCGGTAATGATGATCGAAATGGTGATTTGAGATCCTGCACACGTGAAGAAGAAACGCCCGAAGCGCCCGCGCCTTGCACCAGGCGCGCTTGTTTCGGATGGCCAGATTTGGGCTCTGGTCGCACGGGCGCTTGACAACCCCACCGAAATAAATAGGCAAAGTTGAACAAACACGTCACCATCGTACCTGAAACTCCCTGGGCGCATCACAAACCCAATTGAATCCGGTGCGGTCGCGTTCAATAAGTCTGTACCATGCCCACTTTCTGTCTGGTTCCTATCTCCCACCCATGACGCTTTCCGACACGCTGGCAGCCGCGGCCACTGCTTCGCTCGCCACCCTCGGGCTACTCTCCTCGTACACATGGCTGAACGATAGGAAAATTGTACCACGCCCACCACCTATCAATCAGTTGGGCCTACAACCAATCACGAAGGAGGGGGTAGAGGACGCTCTTAGAAGGATGGATGAACGAGAAGAGGAAATGAGGCGACAGATGCCTCCGAAGACTGGCAGGAGGTACATCGTCGTCGGAGGGGTAAGAAACCGTCATTTTACTTCAGACGATCAAAATAAGCTAACATTGTTGATGGTTGAATCCTTTTTGCGCAATAGGGCGGATCCCTTGGAGGTTGGATTGTCGTGCACCTCTTACAGCGAGGCGAAGACCCAAAAAGTATACGGGTTATCGACCTTGCACCCACACCGATGAACGACACCATTAGCGAGGCTATCAAGAACGATGGACTCGACTACATCTCAACGAGTATCACCGACCCCGAAGCCACCCGAGAAGCATTCTGCGCTCCTTGGAAAGACGGTAAACCTGGAGGTGCGACAGGCATCACAGTCTTCCATACAGCCGCAGCAATCAGGTTTTTTGAACAACATCCGGTGTTCTTGCGCCGCTCATCTATCGTCAACGTGGATGGGACACGAAATGTCCTCGAGGCTTCGAAGATCGCTGGTGTCGATGTTCTTGTTTACACAAGTTCGGCTGGCGTCAGCTACAAGAACTTCTCCTCACTCCGTTGGCCTTGGGAAGGCCCTCCAAGAGAGCTCTACCAACACATCAACGAGGACACAGTTGGTCCCAGAAACCCCGCCGAGCACACCTCGAACTACAGCATCACAAAAACCGCGGCGGAGAGAATGGTACGAGGCTGGGATCGAACACCGGTCACGGATGGTTCTAGCGGTACCAAACTGCTGAGAACGGGTTGCATCCGGGCTGGCAACGCCGTCTTTGGACCCAGAGGCGGAACCTTCGTTGAAGGCTATCTGGATAGGGAATCGACGCCGACCTGGACTTCAAACGTCGTCTCGTCGTTCCTCTACGTGGAGAATGGAGCACTCGCTCACCTTCTATACGAGCGTCGTTTGCTGGACTTGAAGGAGCCAACACCCGCTGGAAGAGCACGCACCCTACCAGATATAGGTGGAAAATCGTTCTGCATCACCGATCCGGGACCGCCTGCATGCTACAGCGACCTGTACATCACCTTCAATACCCTGACCAAAGGAAGAGTGAAGTTCGGTCATACATCTCCAACGCTGATGCTTCTCCTTGCCCACCTCATTCGTTTCTATGTCCTTTTCCAATACTTCGTAACCGCCTTTATTCCCTTCCTCAAAGGTGTCCTTCGACCCCTACAAGGAGATATCGCTTTCCTGCAACCTTCAGCATTCACTGCGAGCCTCGGCCACATCATTATCGATGATTCACGAGCAAGAAAATCCCCAGAGGAAGGAGGGCTGGGATATGAAGGCGTCTGGACGACTTGGCAAGGATTCGTGAAGACGTGGAAGGACCACGAGGACCGAAAACAACTGAAGACCGGTGGGAAGAAAGCTTCGCAGGCAAGCGGTTGGCTTGGGTCGGGCGCTTCCTGGGAGAAGTGAGACAAATAGAATAGAACGGGTATACGATTTCGTCGTAGCGGTTAATTCAAATTCAAGATCGTTTCTTCACAGGACACTCCTCTTGGGGGACAGCACACTAGCAGCTAGAACATGGCGCGTATATCCAGGGCGATCGTCCCAACGACGTGCAATTTGGAACCTTCTCGGGGCGTCCAGAATCCACAGTGGTGTATTCAATAACTGCGTCATCTATGTGTCTTCTCGTGATGGTAGTGAGTTACTTTTCGATCGAGATAAACGGTGGTCGGGGATCTACTACAGTCGACCACCATCCAGTGGACAGGTTCAACCCGGGCCTTGCACCGTCATGGGTCGTCAGTCGACGCAGGGATTTGCGAGTGAACGGACTCTAGTCACGGTTCACTTGCGAGAGGCTTCTGCATTTAAATTCCCGCTGCAGTCATCAAGTCCGTCACTTGCTAAAAAGAGTTTCAGATATCCTTTCACGCAAAGATGGAACGTGATAGCAACATACCGATAAATGCGTCTAAAGAGTCAATGACAGATTGGATGTCAACTTCCCATAAGGGAGTGCAACATTGTCCAGTGGGGTCTGGCAGCCAAAGACACTTGTAAAGCGCGGTGATAAACTTGTCCCACGACCTTCTCCTCAAACTTTGCTCAGGCCAGTTTCGCGAAAAGATTTCAGCCTTCGAGTCTGTCAGAGATAAGTGTTCTGGCCGCCAAAGTTGCGCGTACTGAAAAAAGAAATCCTTCTTTGCTCCAAGTCCCTCTGGAGTATCACCTTCAGTCCACTGGAGAACGGCCCTTGGCCAGCCTCTGCCTGGCATACTACGGGGCGCCACCGATTTGGGGTAAAAGGCACCTACTTCACTACAGACCGGAGGCTCATTGTCAAACGGAAACAGATAGGCAACAAAGAAGAGACTTTGTGCCTGTATGACCGCATGTCAGAAGCCTTTCTGAGAAGCGAGATGAAGCACTCACGTCATCGGAACCGGCACGCGGACCACCGAGTGCCCAAAGGATTCGCAAGGGGATGTACGGTGCAGTTCCCTGATCGAAGAGGTCAGCAAGAACAAGGGATTAACAACGACCATTCCTACCGTTGGATTATTCTTGTCAAGAGGGCTAGGGTCATTGACTACGCCAGACGTGTCAAAGTCGTGCAGGAGACCATAAACATTGGCTGGATTCGATGGGAGACGACGGCATAGTAAAATGTTAGGATGGGGAGAAAATGGCTCTGAAAAGGAGGAGGGTTCCTCGTTTGCCAACAGTAAATTCCCGTTGCTGATGTCCCGATGAAGCCACCCCTTCGATTCCATCCACTTTATTGCTTAATAGGATTCAGGCAAGGAGACGGACACAGGAACGGCAGCACTTACCACGGTATCCATCTGCAATTGCTCTGGCAACTTCGCCAAAGGATTTGTATTGAGACAATGTCCGCTTGAAGAGCGAGACGGTTATAATCTCCTCTCTCTGCGAACACCCGCGAGCGGCCAAAGGGGTTTCACAGGTTTCAAAACCCCGCACGAGTTTGGTGATATTACCGTTGTTGTAGGTCCTAGCAAAACATTCGGAGTGAATAAATGGACAGTCATCGGAATTGAGAGAAAGTCACCCACTGCTCTGGGGCCAGGATGAACATTGCACCAGTCCCTTCCTTCGCTTCCTTGTCAACCGCCTCTTTGATCTTCGCGACAAGCTTCTCGCGGGAGGCGACCGAATCGACACTGTCGTTCTGAATTTTGAGCGCATATGGTCCACAGTAGACTTCCTTCCCCGATTTCAGTTCGGCCTCCGCCTTCCCTCTGTCTCGCTCGTCGACTAACTCTGCAATTTGGTCGTGGCGACTGAGCTGACGATAAGCGCACCATACCCTCGTCATCCGACCGAAGGCACCGTGGATGTGTATAGGGAAATCAAGATAATAGCGATCCCCGCTTCTCGACACGGTGAAGAAAAGGGGAACACGGGCACATTTCATGTCTTCACGAGCGTTCTCTTCGAAGTCGTTTGGTTTTTCTTGTTCCGCGTCGTCTTCCAGGTTATCCGCATCCTCGTCTTCCCCAGTCAGCTCTGCAATCGACCAAGAGGTCTTTGTTGCAACGCCGATAGAAGTGGGGGAGAAGATAGGTCCCCTATTCTTCATGAACTGGGACTTTGCCGGGGGATCAACATATCGTAAGCACCGTTGTTCCTGCAACTCGAAGCCAGGCAGGTGACCTAGAGTTTCATCATCCGCGATGGCAAAGCCTAGCGCCAGTCTCACAGTTTCCACCACTCCCCATCCTGACCGGACGTCAAAGGTGCCGTGCTCGACGCCCATGGCGTCCGCGCGAGTCAAAGTGATGCGGTCGGGCGACTTGGTGAGCCCGAGGACAGAGCGCAGGTGGGGCTGAGCGAGACACTGCTGTTGCATGTAGATCATGGATTGAGAGAGGGAGGCCCGAAAGTCATCGGACTTGCCGATTTCCGCTGTCGTCGCGAAACTCTTCCAACAGATGTAGTCAGTGTCAATGCAGGTGAAGTCGAAGCCATCCACGTCAGGGAGATGCGGCAATGGGGAGAGAAGCTGCTGCTGTAGCTGCCGCTGTAAGGTAAGCAAAGTACAGTCGCAGGTCACGCGCTCTGGTTCTGGTTCCATCTCCGTCACATTGCTGGGGAAGGAGCCGATTTGTTTTTTGAGTCGTATAGGTGACAAGGGCGACTGAATCTTGCTGACGCAGGGTTCAAGCGAGTGGAAGTGGGGTGGAAGTGCTGGCGGAGAGCGCTTGCCGAAGGCATGAATAGGGACGCTGACAATTGCCGGTCTACACCGTTCGCCTCAAGGTCCAATGAATGGCTTATTCGGCTTGTATAGTGGGAGGCTCCACCAGTGGCGGATGTCTTTCTTGTCCAAGCTTGGGCTGTTCAAAGCAAGTTGAAAGGCTGTTAAGGCGATGGTGTTGAAGAAAAGGACAGCGCCGTCCGCACCCTCCTTTCATAGCGCCGGGCACCATGCCCATTCGAACATCCGCGACTGAGAAACCTCTCGCTTGGATGCAGTGGTAGCAGCATCAAGACAGGCGTCAATCCATAGTGACTCTGGGGAGGCTGGAGCCATCTTTCGACATACATGGAGCTGCATCCTCGTTTAGGGACACTGACAGCATCTGCAACCTGAGGAGGTCGAGGAGGATACTTGTGACCAGTGGTATGGGTAGTATTCTCCCAAAGACATGCTCCACCAGGTCAAGGCTCTGCCACGTTCGGCCAGAAACCAAGGTGTTTATCCGGGAGTGGGCGGCCATTCGGATGGCGGTGGATTCGCTGACCCAGTATGGTCGTTCAATGGGTTCCTCGTCCTCTGCCATGATTATTGGACTTTGAGCATCGCGGACATATGGCTTGCAGATATCTGGGTCCTAAGGCATAAACCTATGAGCCTTCATGTAGGTGGGGCATTAGAAAAGCCATCAAGTCAAACATACGGCGTCGAGACGTGTCGAAACAGCTTCATAACCATGAGCGCGATGACGTTTGGCTGAAGGGGCCGCTTTTACCGTTGAAGACGAGCGTTTGCCCATCATGAAATTGATGTTTGTCAAGGAGCCTCAAGTCAACTATGAGGTAGAGCCAGTGGACCTCAACTTTCAGAAATTCCGTGGTTTGGTGTTGGATCAACGTGGGATGTACTGAGGGTCGCGAGATCACAACGGCGGTCACAAGGTGTAAGGGTTGTGTGAGCCTCGAGTGCCTTATCCCCAGTTCACACCCGTACTAAGCACGACCAAGATATATATTGGAGCTACGTGTGTACGAGTGGGTGGTATAGGCAAGGCCGAAGGTACGAAGAAGGGCCGAGGGTAGACTCGTGAACCAGTCGGTTCGGTCCCCTCAGTCCGAATGATGGTGGTGTTGATTGATGATGTCGGAGAATCAAAAAGGTGAGGGTACCGAACCGACTGGTCAGAACGGGGACAGTTTTGGCGGGAGGGGCCCGTGCGAAAATCGACTTGTCCAAATTTCGCGCTTTCCGCCCTTGCTTCGTCTTTGCCTCCCAGGTACCGGCGGAGATGCCGTCCTCAAACTCGCAGGTACAGTAAGTTTGAGCTCTTCTATTGCAGATAACCCCTAAACTGTAATAAATCCTCGCAGAAACACTCTGGTGCAGACCGAATGCTCGATTTCTTCCAACAACGGTCAGCCAGACGCGTTCGATGCACGACACGCCATTCCACCGGCCTCATCCAAATGGCTATTGCTATCTAGGGGCACCTTCGCTAAATTCCTGAAGCAATGCGACGTTGCGCTTTCACAACAGGCAGTTGGTTGGATGTCGTCAATGGCTTCGATTGGAATGTGCCAGCGTAACCGCCGTAACGATATCGCTGGACCACTTTGACACCCCTGGGGCCTGATCCCTGATCCATCTCCACAATTCACACCACAACTGTCGACGGCTGATTACTCCCCTTTGCACACCATTGCAACACGGAACGAGGAAGATGACGACGGCTATGCTACGAGGACCAGGAGACTGGGTCTCCGTTTGCCGTCCGTTGACGGTTCGACGATCCATACTGTTCTCTCTGTTCCCTCCAGCGATTCTACCACCTCATCACTTGGCGGTCGACATAATTGACCGCCCACCTCGAACGCTGTGTCTTCAAATCTGGCCCCTCACACACCTCCGCAGAGCTTACTCGTCTGTTCTTCGTGTGCGCTGTGGACCTTGTTTGTCCATGTTTGCTAAAGGCCCCCGAGGTCAGAAAACGCAAAATTCGTTCTCCTCATCGCTTCTGTGCGCCTATGCCTTGTATCATGCATGGAAACGACTGTCTGACATTCTCTCAATCGTTATCTCTGTTCTCCTCTCATTTCATGACCTTTCTCTGTCGCAATCGCGATTATTCTTGCTTTTACCCCCTTCATCATCTGAATTTCGTAGTTTTCTTCTCTCAAGTACTCTTATTATTCGTCTTTTTGTGCCATTTCCAATGTATCCCATTGCCCCAGCTAGGTTTACAATTTGTGGGATGAAATGTGAAGATGAGATGGAGGGACAGCTAAAGTTACTTTCGAGATTGCCAAAGAAACACGTTATTTTCCTAAGTCGATTTTCGCACGGGCCCCTCCCGCCAAAACTGTCCCCGTTCTGACCAGCCGGTTCTGACGAACCTATCCACCATCAGTGGATAAGTGATCCCATCACCCTCTTTCGTCAGAACCGAGCTGGTTCACGAGCCTAGGCCGAGGGGCGCGGTAATGGGCCCTCGGGACCCTGATGGGCAAACTAAACATAGGCAAACAGATAGGGGCGGGCGTCTCCCTTACACAAGGCGGTCACCGTAAAAAAGACGGTGAATGACAAAGCTGAGAGTGCGCCTAGTGACTTTAGACTTTCCATCCCCTTGTCACCTGGTAGGGGTCTTCTTTCAAAAGCATAGAAAATCAGGCAATGATGATTCATTCATTGGATCTTCGAGCCAGTCAAGTTGGTTAGAAAACAGGGGACGCATTCCAGAATAGTAAGCAAACAGTTACACCTTTCCTACATCGTCGAACTTCAGTACCCCCTGTCCAGAACAACCTCTTATTTTTCTCCACCGTCTAATCCTCCTTCCATGCCTCATCCCATCCCAACGCACTCCGATCCCAATCCTCCCTCGGATCTTGCCCATGCGTGACCCACCCCATATAATTCATAAGCACACCAGCCGCACGAGTGTACACCGTACCATCGACAGAAACCCCTCCCTTCGTCGACGAGCCAGGGGAGGGAGTAATCCTGAAGCCAGCCGGAAGCTCAACAGGATCTCTTCCGCCATACTCCCCATTCGCCAAAAACAGCGTCCTAAACGTCTTGACGTGGTGCGTGTCAGGGTGGTACAGCACATCCGCATGCATCGCGTGCCATGGGTTATAGTCCCCATCTTCCTCTGGGCTGCCAATCACCTCCCTCCCCAACTTTCTAACTTTATCGCCCGGGACGGGCGGCCTCGGCACCCCCGTATACCCCTCCAGAACCCCAACGTCGATCCTCGGCCTTCCCCGACTCAACACATGCAAAACCAGTGTCGGCACAAACGCCCGCAGTAAGTTCAGCTTATCCTCCTCCCGCCTTAGCGCGCCCTTAATCGGGGTCAAAAACAGGCTCGACGTGACCAAGTGCATCAGGAAGAAGTCGAGGCGGGGTGGTCGGTTTGGTTTCGACACGGCAAAGGTGAGGAGTGTGGCAGCTAGTACGAGGTCGTGAATGGTCGAGTCGACTTGGGCATCAAAGTTAACGTTGTCGGATTCCGAGGAAGTGGGCAGCGCAAATCTCGCACACAGCTCCCGAACCTTCTTCACCACCTCCTCTTTCCCCAGAATCCCTTTCAACCTCGCGCTGTGCAGTGCATCAGGTTCGTAGGGGCCTGGTTTAAGTTCTGGTGCCGCATAGACTTCTTCGATGAGTTGGAAGATCGACAACTGGTTGTCAGACGCAGCGGAGCCGGAAGAGCCCCAGTGGAAGTCGTAAATTTGAGGGCCTGTAGGAGTATGCACAGCCGTCTGCGCAAGAGCAGGAGCGACCATCGCCTCGTTCCCAAACTCCAAAGCATACCCGAGCTGGATGAACGGGTGGACACTACAAAGCGAGTCCGAGTCCATTAATGAGTCCATATTCGAGTTTCGAGATAATAATAATACGTACGCTCCGCTAATAAGCCGGACCAGCATAACCTTTTCACTTGTATTCGCCTCCTTGGAAAAGAGGTATTCTTCAAGTGTAGCAGCTACACCATTCTTCTGAATCCTATCCGCAAAGAATGTTACGAAAGCTGCGTAAGCCCTATATCATCACCGTACGCATGAGTGAACCTTGTTTCTACAGACTAAAGGACAGGACACGTACGATGTATTCCCTAAATACTGCACCCAGTTCCCATCATCCACCACAATCTCTCTATCCCCCTCCTCCCTAAAAATAGATTTCTGACTCTTCGCTTCATCCTCGTACATCTTCTGCAAATGGTCCGCAGTAGCACCAAGGTCATACGCCGCTAACAGGCTACCCAATAATTCAGTAACCACAGATCCTCTTCGTGCATCAAGGCCAGAATGCCAGTACTATAATACTCACCGGTGACTGAGATGATTATGAAAAATCGAGCCTTTAAAATAACAATGGTGCTCCTCCGCATCCTTCAACAGCAACTCCTCAACCTTCCTCTTCGACGCCAGACTAACCCCAGGAGAGTTAACTTGCCCATTCTTCGACAACCTATGCGAAAGCTTGCTCAAATCAACTCTGGCGCTCGTGTTCGTCCTCGTCGACATCTTGCTTGTCAACCAGTGAGTGGGGGAAGAGAACCTAAGGGCTCCAAAGAGGGGTGAAGAAAGGGAAGAACGTCGAAACATACATATGAGTAAGTCCAGAGTAGATTTATACCCTAGGAAGCCATGTCATGACTAAGGGCATACGGCACTTGTCTACGATTTCGCTGTCTCTCATTGGCTGGCTTGGCGCTGCCACAAGGGAAACGGTAAATCAAAATAATGACGTCATCAATCGACCATCGTAGCGGAATCAAAATACGAATAGGGGCACTTGAAGCAAGCTTGAACGTTTGAACCTTGCGAGGCCTGATGGATGTGTTGAATAATAACTGAACACAATGCCCTGACCGCGCATCCACCGATGTATTCCTGTTGTTACGTGAATGATGCTTTCTTTCCCGTCTTGACCAACGCCTCGACTTCAGGCTTGATACTATCCAACATGTCCTGTGTCATATACTTTGGCTTCCAACCAATGGCTCTGGACCTATTCGCCTTGCACTGTGAGTTCGAGCCGAGGTAGTAAGAGCCCTGAAACGCCAGATCTATCAATTCGAGGAAGTGTAGATTCAGAGTTCTCCCAACTCACATCAAGGTACTTGTCGAGTTCTTCTTCCGCGAACGCGGTAGGCTCGGAGCTGTTCGAAAGACCAAGGGCGACCATCGCGTCCCCAATGGCCCGCCCGATCTGGTAAAGCGTGTGTTGCCCGTTCTCGCCAAAGTAGAACCCTTCGCGCCCGTGCCCGGCCGAGGGGTGGTTGGATTGGATCGCGTCGAAGAGGGTAACGTAGAGATCGGCCACTGAGGGTCGGTAAAGTCACGTTAGAACTTTGGATACTTGGTGGGGAGGGGAAAGTGGTAACCCACCATCGTCGATGTGAACGTTAGGCCAGCGGTTTACTCCCTTTCCCACCATGCCTGCTTGGCCGCGGCCCAAGCTCGCCTTGATCAAGCTTGGGATCTGGATGGAGTGAGGGTTGGAAATTCCGAGTTGGACGAGTTTGTGGTCGGCGATGCCGTAGATCGTGGAGGGGAGGATAATGTAGGTCTTCACGTATCCTGTACACCAACGGTGAATGGTTGATTATGAGCTTAGGGCAGGGAGAAGAGACGGTGGTTTACCTTCTTTATCGGCTTGGACCAATTCCAGGTCGACGTTCCGGTGAAGCTGGGTAGGTGCAAGTGTTTCGATTTGGTCAGGGTCGGAGTCGTCGTAGACTATGTCGGTCGTTTGCATCCCTCTCGCGTCATCTGCCAAAACACCTGGTTGGTGGAAAGCGTGAGTCGATTAAGCTCTTGCTGCCGCCCGTATGAGACGGGGCATTTAGGCTGGCTGGTACTAACCAGTTCCTGACTATAGACTCAGATCCCAGCACGTCCGTCTCGGGATTGTTCAGAAATGACATCACTCACAGTGTGAATGAACGTCGGCGGCACCTTGGTTTCTTCGTACCGCTTCTTCAGACCACGCAGAGTTGCTTTAGCAGCGCCAAGGTCGTCAGCGTCGGCCTAGTAGCATCATATAGGTTCAGCAAAAGATTCTTAAACTCGAAAGCCCGAAGTGAACTACCAGAGCAAAGACGATATCTGAGCCCGACGCCAACTTCTCCACCAACGCTTCGTCCGAGTGGGAGCCGACGACAAACGTTCACGCCGAGTTGCTTTAGCTTTCCAGCTTTATCTGGGGAACGGACGATGGCGGTAATGGTGGATTTGGAAGCGATGGGGTGGTTCAGGAGGCGGGCGAGGACTGAGCCTCCGATGTAGCCTGTTGTTTGGGACCATTGATGAGGATTGGTACTGAAGGATGGCAGTGGACTGGGTAGGGATGTGGCTGACCGGTGGCACCTGTGAAGAGGATTTGGGTAGACTTGGACATTGCTGGGAAGGAGTATGTTATTGAGATATGGGATGGATTCACGGGTCCTTATACTAACACTGAGATCACGTGTCCATGAATCCAAACACGAGCAAATATGTCCGATGATCGTGCACGACTCTTGAGAAAGTGCCGCCCAACTCTGTTTTTCGGTATTCATTTTGCAAATTGAAATACTGTAGAATAAATATGGTCACTCGAGTCGACCTCTTAGGCTCTCTCAAGGCTATAAGCTCAATAGTAGAAGGCGGAACGACTGGCGTCTTGGGAAGGTCTTGGGAAGGTCTTGGGCGTCTTGAGACTGATCTGGGAATCCGCGCGCGCGTCTTGATGAACTTGGCCCAAGCCATCAAGCCCGTCAAGACGCGTCAGACGCGTGTAGGTTTCCTGATGTATCCTCAAGCTTAATGGACGACGTCATTGCTCATCGCAGAATCCTGTTCGAATTCGTGGAGGTCAGTTACGAAGGATAGAGAAAGCGCAAGGGACGAACCTGTCGCGCCGGTGAAGAAGATTTTGGTGGTAGGTGACATGGTGTATCGCCGTCGGACGAGAACTGGAAGGACCGGCAGGTATGTTGTAGCCAAAGGTGGCTCCTCGCAGTGACATTATATTTAACGACAAAATGACGTTTTAGGGGTCTCCGCTCCGACCCAGAAGAACTCGTGGCGTAGCCAGGATCCAAGCGCTGTTCTCAAACGCGGATGACGCGAGCCATTGAGTCGTCTTACGATTTCAAGTTATAGCGGCTGTTGATTACTTTCGCAAACCCGGATCGCGAGACTCTCCCAGTTATATGGTCAGGAAAGAGAACGACAAATGCAGGTGCTACGACTTGTTTTAGAATCAGCCAACAGAACTGCCAATGTACGCCCACAACTCACCTAGCGGCTTGGGCAGCCATGAGCGTTGCCATCAATTCACCACCAAACACATCCAGTGCGTTCAAAGAAACCAATACGGCATCTCGCCCATCTCTACCTGATATTGTGGACAGTAAGATACCCGGAGACAAACCTAGAATATAAAATCCAATGTTCTGGACCTGTAGAGACTTCGAATTGGCCCAAAACGCTATCTGACCACGTCAAACTTCCCAGCTCAGTAGCCTCACGGAAAAGACGTTTAGAGCGGTCTTTCTCGAGGACAAACCAAGCTGTTGTTGTAACAATATCGCCGGAATTGGATGGAAGAGCCAAGGCGATGCAGAATGTGGCATGGGGGATGGATGATGGTGGTCAATGCGCAAGGAGCGGGCGGACTTTCAAAGGCGAATATAGCCCAGCCTTGTTGACGCAGATTAGGCGCGGCCGGTGAATATCCTCCCCATTCTTCCCTCTTTCCCTCACACAACACTCCCTTCATCCCCTACAATGTCCGACAAACCTGGAGGATATCGTATTGAATATTCAGCAAATAACAGAGCTGGCTGCAAAGGTCTGTGTCCAACATTTTTGTTTGTGGGGTCACTCGTTGAGCGGTGTGCTGCAGGTCCAAAGCCATGTTCAGGTTCGTCCGTCGAATCCCGCGCGAGTTGTGAACTGATTTTTTTGTGGGTTTGTAGGAACTAAAATCACCAAGGGCACGATTCGTTTAGGATCAGTGGTGGACTTTCAAGGCCACACGTCCTTGTAAGCACGCGTCTAACTGCTTTTACCAACTCCGACGATGAGCTGACCTTGGAATGATGCTGTAGCGCCTGGAGGCATTGGGGTTGCACTACCAAGAAGTTGTTGGAGAATATCAAAAAGTCCATTGAGGACCCGGAGGATCTCGATGGCTTTGAAGAGTTGCAGCCTGAGGACCAGGCCAAGATACGCAAGGCGTGGCAGGACGGCCATGTAGACCCTGCCGACGTTCCCGAGTCTCAGGACGCAAAGATTGCATCGCTCGAAGAGCCAAAGAAGAAGCGCGCGCCGAAGAAGAAGAAGAAGGGAGATGACGAGGAGGATGGAGACGAAGATGAGGAGGCTGAGGCTGAGGAGAAACCGAAGAAGTCTCGGGCTAAGAAGGTTTGTCCCCGCCGTTGAGGTTTACCCGCCCCCGACTCACCGTAAAACAGAAGAAGGCAGATGAAGAGGAGGGTGAAGAGGAGGCGGAGGAAAAGCCTAAGAAGAAGGCACCAGCTAAGCCCCGTGCAAAGGTGTGCTTCCCAGTTGTCCTATCTACATTTCAGTTTATTCACTCTGTTGACAGAAGAAGGCTGAAGTTACAAGCGACGGTGAGGAGGAAGTTGAACCCGCCGAAGCTGCAAAGCCCAAGAAAGCACCCGCTAAACCTCGTGGCAAGGTGGGCTCCCTCACATCTCCTTACCAACAACGCGATTCTGATCGTTAATCATAGAAGAAAGCTGAACCTGCCAGTGGCGCCGAGGACGATGACGGTGCTGAGGAGGAGAAACCCAAGAAGAAGGCGCCTGCTAAGCCTCGTTCGAAGGTTTGTTCTCGGCCTAGTCTCTCGTATTGCCAAAGTACTCATCCAGATAAATACAGAAGGCGAAGGCCGAAGCCAGCGGCGCTGAAGATGAAGCCGAGGAAGAAGAGAAGCCCGCTAAGAAGGCGCCTGTTAAGCCTCGCTCAAAGGTATGTTCAGGACTCAGTATCCCGTCTCCCGCAGGAGGCTCATCGGATTTCTTCTGTAGAAGGCGAAGGCCGAGGCGAGCGGTGCTGAAGACGAAGGTGCGGAGGAAGAGAAACCTGCCAAGAAGGCGCCTGCTTCCAAGTCAAAGGCCAAAGCTCCCGCTAAAGAGAAAGCTGAGAAGCCTGCTCCCAAGAAGCGGGCACCAAAGAAGAAAGTTGTTAGTTACCAGTTTCTTTCCACTAGTCTTGCATTGCAGAAACTGACCCAGACTCGCTACAGGCTGAAGACTCGGAATCCGGGGAAGACTTCACTGCGGAGCTTGCCAACGTACAGGCCTCGGATGACGACGACGACGAACCTGAACCTGAGGAGGAGAAGCCTAAGAAGAAAGCCCCTGCTAGCAAGGGTGCAGCTGCTAAGAAGCCCGCTTCCAAGGCTAAGGCTGAGCCCAAGAAGAAGGCGCCTGCTAGCAAGAAGGCTACCGAGAAGAAGGTATGGGATCCTTATCCTTGAATATCAAAAAGGGATCGGGCGTTGATCATCTGATGCTGGTTTCTAGGACGAGGACGCTGAGATGGAAGATGCAACTGCGGATGCTGAACCTGGTGCGGGTGAGGCGGAGGCGTCTGAAGAGACTGGAAAGAAGCGCAAGGTATGTCTGGCCCGCTTTCCAATTGGCCCGCTAGTTCTGATTGCAATGGCGTTTGAACAGCGCACAGCACCTGCCTCTAAAACAGGTACCACCAAACCTCCTTCAAAGCGAGCGAAGCCTGCCTCGTCGAGGGCGAAGAAGGCTAAAGTGGAGGAGACTGTTGAGGAGGAAGACGAGGAGTAAAGGATTGGGGAGGATGATGAGAATTCGTGCCTCGGTGCATTGGAGCGTTTAGACGTTTGATCTGAACCCTGGTGTTATTTCTATACGTGGGGCTGGTATTTGTGTGAACGATGTGGAGATTCGAACTATGTACGTGGCCTGTAGGTCTCTCTTCCTTTCTTCTTATTATCTTTATTGTTTGGGGCTCGAACTTTTTGCTTTCTGGATGTGATACCTGCTTTGACCTATTTCGCTTTCGCTGTTAACCAACTTTTTTCTCTGGATACCATGTTTTCGACGTTTTCGTTCCTTGGGTGAATTTTATTTGTAATAGGAACAATTTACTGTTCCTTTCTTGTTTTAGCGCACTTGTTGCATAGTCCTTGTTTTCCTGTTTATCCTGAATGATGTTTGCATCTTGATTATAATTTAGAATGACAAGTTTGCTTGTTTCGAATGTCGGACGCGCGCGCTGCCCGGTTGCTTCATCCGGGCTTCCGGCCAGCCCGGGCTGGCTTTTCTAATTAAGCTGACAGGGTCGATATCCAAGCTCGCATACCTGGATATCGGAGGCTGCGAGAATGGAATGACCTGGTGAATGGCTCGTTACCTGAGCGTCATCAAGTCGAGTCTGTTGCAACTTGCAATAGCCGTTTGGGATCGAGTATAAGAACGGAGAGGTAAAAGAGTTGCAATGCTAGGTAGTACAATTACAAGAATATAGCAAATGAGAACAAGGTATCGATGTGCCATTTATGGCGACATGGCAAATGGGCAACACGTTAAAGCCGTAAAAGAAACTTTCTAATGGGCGAATCGGAAGTCGAGACGTCGGTTCCCCGTGTCTTTCGTGGTGGCTAGATAATTCGCTTTTTCCTGTTTCAAAGAGACGAACCCGTCAGATTATTGACGAAAGCCTCGACAATGGACAAATATCCCGTACCTCTGAGGTCATCTTATCCCAAATCTCATCCCTCTTCTTGTTACGCCAGACATAGTAGTACTTGACACCGGGATAGAGGATGAAGCAGTTGAAGGCGCAGATGGTGATGAGCACGGTGTTGCCCCGGCGGTAGTTGGGCGCGTCGTCTTGGCGGTAGATGTTGGCGGAGATGATGCCGGATGCTTGTACGAACATGTTGTAGAGTGAGGCGTTGACTGTGCGGCTTGCGACGCCTCCTGCGTTACGGGAGCACCAGCCGACTTGAATAGGGTGGGTGTAGGGGTAGGAGAGCAGGCCGGTGGCGAGACCCTTGATTAAACGATGCAGGTTAGCCTGATACTATTCGGTCAGCAACGGGAGACTTGGGACATACATAGAACAGCCATGGGTTGGGATCGTCGGGAAGTGCGCGGAGAGCGATGAGGAAAGGAAGAACCCAGACGTCCTCGATCATGGCAACGTATGCACGGTTGTGGACGGTTTCGGAGATGACGGCAAGGATGTACATCGTGACGATGGTCGCAAAGGTTGAAGGTATGGTTAGCAAGTTGCTTTGGAAAGTGCTGAACCCAAGGTTGCGGAGAGAGAGGGTAAGGTAGGTGGCTGGTGGCGAGGCTGGGATTCCGAACAGGATGCCGCTAACGGCGGAGAGGTTAGAGTCAAGAATGCAAGGGTTGAACGCGATCGGACGTACATGATGTATAGAGGCCAGAGATCGTAGTCGAGAAAAGCTTTCCACAGCAGCTTGAGAGTGAGCGCCTCGCGGTTGTGCATGTCTCCCTTGGTTGGGTCATCACGGAGGATACGAGTGACGGCAATGACCTCCTGGCGGTCCGTAAACCAGCCCTTGGGTCGGAACCAGGTCTTGGTCTGGGTGATACCTGGAGGCATCTTGAAGAAGGTCGCAATGCCAATAAGTAGCGTGATACCTCCCCTGTAGACCGATTAGAGGTGAGTCGATTTATGGGAAAGGCTGACTTACTCGATGAGGAACAGCCATCTCCAGCCCTCCTTTCCGAGGATGCCGCGCATGCGAAGGACACCGAATGCGATGAAGCTCGCAAGGATAGAGCAAACGTGCATGGACATCCAGAAGAGTGATAAGCGGATGGGTAACTCGTTCTTGGTGTAGAAATCTGAAGGCGGGCACTTAGTATTGGCACTATAGATGGCCGCGATGAGTTGGCCAACTTACACGATAGGTAAAGGATTAGATCGGGGATGAAACCGCCCTGAAGGAGACTATTCTCGGTGTCAGTTTAACTGAGTTATTTCAAGGTGAGAGCTGGAACGTACCCAAGAAGTGCGCGACAAACGAGGAAAGATGTGCGTCCGTTCAACCAGAACTGGACCATTGTCACGATCGACCAACCACACATTTGGATGGGAATCCAGACATCGGGACCAAGCCTCTTGGAGATAATTTGAGAGGGAAGTTCGGCAGACAGGAACGCCAATCGGAACACTGTGTTGCCCAAGTTAAAGTCTGTTTTAAGGCAGTCGTCAGAAACATGGGGGAGAAGTCACAGGGGAGGAGACTCGCCATTCGTCGTCATCCCAAGGTCTGGTAAGAAGTTGTCAGTGTTGGCTTGTGAAAGGTTTCCTCTGTCCAGGTTGAGGGCCGCAAACGAGATGGCAGCTATTATTCGGCGGAGACGGTCAGCTCGAATTGCCGAGGGTAAATCAAGGCAGTCTACTTACCCCACAACATGACTTTCCAGTCAATTTTCCGGACAAGCTCCTGCTCCTCCTTGTTCGTCCAACGAGCATCGATGTCGATGCGGTGATAGTTTTCGTACGTTGGCTTAGGCCAGTAATGAGGGGCCAAGATCGGATCGTCGTACACGGAGCGGCGGGTTGCGATGGCATTTGGATCGATGGGCTTGTATGGTCGGCGGAAGAACCAGTTCACCCATTGGAAGGGGACTGGCTCCTCGTCGACGAGGTCATCCCTGGAATAGGCTTTCTCGTCGACAACAACGTCCCCCTTCTTGTCGGAAAGGTCGCTCAGCGAAGAAGACTTGCTGCTGGCCTTGGTAGCCCTGCTCTCCGCTGGCTGCTCGCTAGCCTGGACATCGTGGCTGGCAGTGGTCTTTTGCTCGATCGCTGGAGTCGCCATGAGAAAATGAGCGGGGGGAGAGGTGGGACTCGGGGCGAGCGTTGTCCTCCCATTCGAAGCAGCGGTTTTTAAGGGACGTCTGACATTTAGAGTGTCGCCAGTCAACCAGAAAACAGGCACGGGAGCACACCATCTTCAATGAAGATTGCACGAATGAAGTTGAGCTTCTGAACCGCCCAGTCCCTGACGGTGTACAGGCCTCCGAATCTGGGGAGGGACCCAGCTCCATGATGCACAAGGAATTGAGGATGGCGCAAAGCACAGGTTTTGATGGACAATTCGCGTATCGGAGTCTCCATTGACACAGAGCTGAGTTTCCGTGTCACTCCAATGTAGCCATTCCAAGCCCTGTGGTGCAATAACCGCTGCCGCTCATACACTATTGTCACAGCAAGGGGCCCTGGATCGAGCTTGGTAAGAACCTGTACGCCCAAACAGCATTCAATTGGTTGTACAAACATTTTCAGGCCTGCAAATTTCACTGAAGTGACCTGCTTCGTTTATGGGTGTTAGGTGGGAGCAAGTCGCGATTTCTGATTTGATGACGAGCTGGCGACCCACCTTGACAGTAAATGCCGTGAATTCTGTGTCTGAGAAGCGGTTTCGGGAGTAGTCTTTGTGGAACCTATTTTAAGGCCTATTTGAATATAGCGATGGAAGCCTTGAATTGAAGAAAACCTGTATCGTCTTCAAGGAAAGAGCCCAACGGTCGTCGCGATGAAATTGATGGCCGCTGTCCATCTGATTCGGCTGATGGCCGATGCCGGCCTCTGAATCACTTCCATTCTGCCCTCAGGTTCTGGGCGCCACCCGGTAGCGAATGAAACTCGCAGTATTTCACGAAATGTGCCTGCGAAACAAACACCTACTGTACTGCTCTACATTACCAATCCGGATGCCATATTCTGCCGCACTCGGTCTCTGTCAGAAACCCTCCGGCGGCTTCAAAAGAAGCAACGGATGGATATCCGAAGGAAGGTCAAGTGTTATCTCCCGCTGTGCGCCTTCAAACACCTTTTAACTTCGATAAGCCCCATTTAGTACATGGATGATACCTTGTATATGTGTCTGCGCAAGCGATAAGGAGTCGGTGAATTCGGCAAAAGGATGACAACAAGATTGTGCCAGATGATGCATTCGACCAATGGTATGTCGCTCTCGGAACGGAGAGTTTTACATGCTGCAGCGCCTCCAGTAATCTCAGGTGTATTTTCATGAGCACCCTAACTCTACGAGTATGCTCCAAGTACCCCAGGGCTGACAAATCTCCCGACCCTTCCCTCGTGGCCCTGCCCGCACAAAGAGACAACTCGGCGGCCAGTGCGAGGTCCCCGCACAGAAGCCCTTATTCAAGGATACTTCGACTGAATCATCAACCAAGGCGGGACTGGTGCTACCGAAGAATCACTCCGACCCAAAGAAAGAGAAATCAATCAACGTTGTCCCACAGAAACAAGCTTTTAGACCTGGATTGGCGAGAAATAACCTTGTTCCACCAGAGAGAAACTTGGGCTGACGGTGGCGTACTGCATCGCCCCCCTTAGAAGAACTTGAAGTACCCTTTTGACTCCCACTCCCGACACTGAAAAGAGAGCGAATCCACAACGGTGACTGTGACGATTGTAATGCAGTCGCGACCAGACAAACAGGATTCTAAATTCTCGTGGGTGGAAGTCGGACAGTCAGTAACACGAGCTCGAGCGCCAGAAATCAAGTTAGAGTTGCCTGGGAGGACCATGGTGGCATCGGACAGAAGTAACAGAAGGTATGCAAAACGGACGCCAAACAAGGAAGCCCATGCGGCCTGCTTCAGAACCACGGCCGCTCTTCCAGTTGCTGTTGCTCCTCGAGTCGGACTGGAGTCCCCGCAAGGCAATAGAGGCGGAAACAAGGGAAGGACTTGGACAGGATCGTCGCTGGTTTCAATGGCTGAGGGAGGTTGTGTTTTGCTCAACCGGCCTGTGCAGCGTCGAGCGGCCTCTCAGGGCACTCCTGCGGCTCAAAATGCTAGCAGAAGAGCACAGGGCCCTCGGAGACGCGGGTGCTGACCGTCTGTATGTACAGGCGCTCGGCTTTTCCCGCCGTTTGATCTACATAAGTAATTCGGTGCGGGGGTAGGCACTTGATCAAGATTTTCATACCCCCGGAGTCATAAGTCTTTCAACTTGAAAGAGCTTGAAATAAAACAAGGGTCTGACCTTTCTACCGAGGTGTCTGCCCTGATCACGCTGTTCAGGGCCACTGGTCGCAAGTACCAGTCGAATCGCCAAGCCCTTCCAGAAATGGGATAATACTTGCCTCATGGCTTGAACGAGGCGCCAATGAGGCGCGGAGTGGAGGAGCTCGATGGTATTCTAGTATGGAATGCCCTTATAGACCTATAACTGTCGACATGACACTAGAGGTTCGTGGCCCTTCTAGTTTATTACCCATGTCGTCGTTAACATAAGCCCTCTTTCGGTCGCTTTCCCTAGGGTGTGTCTGATCACTGTCGGGCTGTGCTTGCAAATGCGAGCCTCTCCATCCATGTCCATCGAGGGTCGCACCTGTCTCATATTCTCTGAAAGATTTCTTTCACCCGGGAGAACTGACACATTAATCAATGCTTTCGCCTTTCATTTCTGCAGGTTTCTAGCTTCTCTGCGACATTTCCGCGCAGCGGCGTGGGTAGCCTCTGGCCTCCCGTCGTACGCATGACCATGGTGGAGAAGGATAGTATATAGGACTCAAAGGGGACATGCTATTTCTTTATCGTACACCCATTCGCTTTCTGACGACGTCATGCTCAGCGTTGCCTTTGTGCACCTGAGTCTTTTGCTGGCTCTGGCCAACGGCGTAGTCTGTTACCGCTCTGGGCAAGCTACCAACTGGCGCAACATTACCATAGATGACCACAATCCTTCCATCTTCTACTCTGGTCCATGGAAGAGGACGAGGGTATACGACGAGCTCTACTATGGAGGTGCTGTCACATTCTCCAGTTCTTCATTCGACTCGAAGGCGTCTGCCTCTTTCACGTTCAATGGTATGTCGGCCACTTGCCACAGCGTGTCTTGATCACTTATCTTATCTACTCACTAGGTACGGCTTACTACTTCATAAGTCCGAGATTCCCTTTGCCGATCACCATCTCCCTCTCCCTTGACGAGGGCACGCCTATTACCGTCAATCTCCAAGACCCGTACTTCGCGCGTACCACGCACTCCTTCGACAGTCATATTCCTCGCAGACTCGGAGGTGGGCACACACCGGCTCATGGACCCCCGGTATCCTATTACGGCTCCGGTGGAGACAACGACAGCGATCCTACCAGTCCCCCTGAGAAAGACGAAGTCATTCGCCCATCCGTTCCCGGCGGCGACGACAGAGATACCCGTCTCAGGAGCCCAACTGTTCCCTCCCATATCGTGGCCTTCCAGCATGGTCTCGATCCCACTGTTGAGCACACTCTTCGAGTCTTCTCGCCTTTGGATGGGCTAGTTGTTCTGGATGCGATAATGTGAGTTCTACCGGCTCCTCATCCTCAGCTAAGCCAGGTGTCTAACTATACATTACTAGGTATACCACGGCTGACCACGACCCCGGTGACGACCCCTCAACCCCACCATCTTCTTCCCCTGACTCTCCCGACGGCCAGTGCCACACCCAGACCATCGCCGAAGAGTGGCTGTCCATTGCAAAGACACTCGCTACCATACTCGCCTCCACGTCCGCTGGGTTCTACCTCAGAACCAAGGTGGACATCCGCATTGACATGGATCATTATAAGATCTATTTCTGGAGGAAGAATGTCGAGGATAGCGAATCGACGGGTAGCGAATCGACGAGTAGCCAATCGAGGGGTAGCCAATCGACGAGTAGCCAATCGCCGCCACAAACCAATGACGAGCTCGCCGGGTCACCGTTTCGAGTTCTTGGAGGGTTGCCTGACTCTGCAAATAATCACCCTCCCTCGTCGCAGGCAGACACTCTTCAGGGAACGCCCCTGAGCCAACCAGTACCACTGGTCCCAGAGTCACCATCGGTACACGTCCTCAGGCTGTCGCAACCTCATCGAAATTTGGAAGGCTTAGGAGATGATATACCAGCTCCCGAGCCATTTGGAAATCACGGTCCAAACGAGGAATCCGGCGCTACTGCTTTGCTTGTTTTAACTCCCTAACGCGTTGATGATGCGTCGAGGACTTTTGGACACCAGGTTTCCTTCCAACTTCATCCCCCCCCCCCCCTCCCCCCATTTACTTCGATGTAATCTCATTTTGTAACAATTACTTGACCGTGTCAACCCACCAATTCATAATTCGTTTGTCTTCCTTCGTCAACATCCATTTTTCAGCCTTCAGTTTTGAAAAAATCCCTGGTAAGCTGGAAATTACGCGTGATGGTGCTAAAGTACAGACAAGCCTAAAGAATACAACAGAACCGTACCAATACAGCGAGTCAAGAAAACGAATATCACAGTCCCGAGGGCCTCTACGTCTACAAGGCGTCTTCGCTATTAGCCCGTTTCAGGGTCTCCTGCCAATCTTGACCCAACTTTGTCAAGGTTTTACTTCGGACTAAAGTCACGTCAGACACGGTCAGAGGAGAGTTATCGACACAACGACGTACCGAAAATACCAAGGACGTCTTTCAGTAGGTCGCGTCGAGGTACACCGCAGATGGTAGGCGATACTGTCGCATCTTCCTTTCCAGGACGCCTAAATTCGTCTGTTGGCATCGTCATATTCAGTCAGAGTGAACAAAGTACTCACCAGTAAACTGGGCCATAGAGCTCTTTGATCAACTCTTCTGCCTTGCCTCTGAAACCTTCATCCGCCAACCTCTTTGCATACACCAATACCACATGTCTGTACTCCGCACCACTGTCAGCGAACAACTTCATCGCATGCAACCGGGTCTCCAAGTGTCCCAGCGTAATCGCAGTCTCCCACCACGCTGGTTTAGGCGTGTGGTCTGGTGCAGGTGTACCGTGGCCTGATCCGTTCAATGCGCGTTCGGCTTGAGTGACGGCTCCCTGGCTCCCGGCCTGGGGTGCACGAGCACGGCCTTGCCATGCATCGGAATGTTCAGCCCACCAGCGTTCCGTTACTTTGACGAAAGACAAGAGGTTGGCATCGTATGAGTAGATAACACTGTTGGAGATGTGGATAATGGGTGCGCCGGTTTGGGAGACTGTTGCACTAATGACGACGTGGTTGGGTGAGCTGGAGAGCACTGGTGCGAGTGAGGTGGGTGCAAAGAGAGCTTTTTGTTGTTTAACGTTCCTGAACATGAGAAGCGTGTTAGGTTTCGTTCACGAGTTGGGAAGGGGATTGAATTACCAGGCGTGGACTTGGCCGGTAGTCGTGATTGCAAGGAGAAAATGTTTGGAACCCTCCAGGATTGCCACCGGGTTGCCCAAAGATAGCGGTGGCATCAGCCTAGAAAGTTTCTTCAGCTACACTACCCCAATCCCTACATGATCAAAGCCGTACCTTCGTCCTGTATGTGAGTACACGTTTAAGCAACCATCTTGCATCGCGGCGGCGCAGAAGGAAGCTGTCGCTTTCAGAGTGATGACAGGGGAAGGTACATAGTCCAGCCATTGTACTTGTTTCCCAACGATAAACGCGACCTCGACGGTTCCTACAGGATGGTTCAGAAGCAGCGGACACGACAAAGGAATTCCAGTACTTACGATCAGAGTCGTTGTTCTTAGCCTCCAGAAGGCATTCCATCTCCTCCGCCTCCGTGCTCAGATAAGAAAGCAGCGGGGGTGACTGAATGAGAGTAGCACTGTACACCTGTTGCCTTGACGGTTCCCCGGTGGCACCTTCACCCCAGCCTGAGAGAGCCTTGGCCATACCAGGAGCTTCCACTTTCCTATCACCACCCAAGGTTCTGCCTCTTGGTTTTCCATCCTCTTCAGTAAGGTCAATGATAGCCCTCTTGCCCTTCTTGCCATTCCCGTCCAATGCGTCGATGGGAACATCGATGTCCATTGGTGCGCCAACATCGCCTGCGGGCCTTGATGCCCAGGACCTGGGAGCCTCAAAGGCCTGGTCAAAGGGGCTACCAAATCCATGGTCACCGCCAAAGTCGCTGATCTTTGCAGATGAAGAGAATGTCCGAGAGTCAGGAACTTGAGAGAGCATCGCACGTTTGGATACTGGGGCGCTGATAGAGCCGGGGTTTTGTGCTAGACCAGAGGTAGATGCCGAGGGGATAAGCGCAGCACGTTTCTTGGGCTTGCCTCGGCGCGCAACCAGCTGGTTGACTTGTTCTCCTCCAACAATTGTCTTTGGGACATCCATGGTTTGAGGTGCGGGCATCGGTGTTGCAGCGGCTGCTTCGTTGGCGTCGACGTGATCGTATCCGGGAGGCGGAGGGGGGAGGGAGAAATCGAACTTTTTCAAGTATTCCTGCTGGACAGAGTGGGGTGCGATGCCTTCGAGTTCTTCTGGCGTGAAGCCTAAAACGGCAATGGTTCCGTCCGAAGAGGCTGCGTACAGAGTCAGACCGTCCCAGGACCTATAAATGAAGTCAGTTCCCGTGCAAAAGCGAGTTAACCGTGGCACCTTACCAACTGAGGTCCATGATTTGGCGATCGAACACTTGCTTCGCAACAATGAGAGGGCGCGCTGACTTGGTCTGCCACACAGATACAGATCTGTCGTCGGCACCCAGAGCAACAACGGAGCAAATATTGGATGTTGACACCGGCTTTGAGGGGTCGCGCAAGAATATGTGGGGGTTGTAGCACTGGAACGAGATTAGTGATGGAATGGCATTGAAAAGTTTCCCCACTCACAGCTACTTCAACCGTATTCTCGTGTCCCACCAAGCTGATTTCCGACGTCCAGACATTGCGAGTGATGACAGCAGCGATGAACACGAATCCCTTGTTGTTCGTGGCATTGGACGCGGTAATGTGCGCTCCATCTGGCGACCAACTCAAACGGCGGAAGAAAGTGCTTCCCGGTGAATCTTCGAACGGTTTGGTGACTTCAGCCTCCAAAGACCAGTCTCTCGTTCTCCAGATCTTCACAGTTCTGTCATCGGACTGAGTGGCCAGGAACTCGCCAACGGGATCCCAACATACACCCTTGACGAAACCTTGATGCTGTTCCAGCTTTCGAACGCATTCTAGACAGTGTTCAGTTGAATTCTCGAACGATATGAATGGATCGTACCCAGGGTATAGCCGTCCCAGATGATAACTTTGGAGTCCAGCCCGACCGAAGCGAGATATCTGTCCTGAGGTGACCATGCCACGTCCGTAACGTCTACCATAGGTTCGTTGAGGGATCCGTCAAAGAGTTTGGGGGGCTATTCTCACCGCTGTCGTGTCCTGGCAGCCGTTTCAACGGTTTCCAGCCCTCCACGTTAACCTCATCCGATCCCCAAACCTTCCCTCCACCATGGCTGCGAATAGATGAGTAGCGTCCGGCAGAACTATCAGTTGAACATACGGGTCCAAATCCCAGATCATCACAATCTCGTCGTCACTCCCACTGGCTAGCCAACGACCATTGTGTGCCCAACGAACAACCAGAACAGGGCCGGTATGCATGGAGAGGGTACATAGCGACTTGGGTGGCTTTCCTGACTCTTCAGAGGCGGGATTCAAGATAGGTTTTGTACTCCAAATGCGAATTTTAGCGTCCAGGCCACCGGTAGCGATTCGCGAGCCGTCAGGGTGTACGTGAACCGAGAATATCGACAGCCGTTTCGCGTTTGCGTCGTTCTTGGACGAGTCCTTGTGCATCACCCATGCTGGCTTGGTGAAATGCATGTCGTCGATTTCCGCCGCGCGGACGTAGTTCCTTGTCGCCCCTGGTTTATCTGGACTTGTGTGCGAGAAATGTACGGAGGTATGGTGGTGGTAAGAGGCAAAAGTCAAGCGCTCGTCGGAGATGCAAACAGCGACCCCCCATCAACAAACTGGCCCCTATTAACGTGGGCCCATTGAGATTTCTATATAGCATTGTTCCTTCAGACTTCTACTGGCGGGAAGCACAAATTCGAGTAAGAATGTTCAATTTCAGTCCAAGGATGTAATGTACAAGGCAAAACAGCAGGTGTAATCTACAAAAGTTGGATGCACATAGCACAAGTTCAAAACGGTTCGAATTCTACGAATCTCCCCAAGGATAGTGTCGATTTCCACAAGATGGTGGGAGCTTCCACAGCCTAAGATCCTGTCTCCAAATCTAGACGGAAGAGACAGTACAAGAGGGTCGGTGTCGAGCAGAGGGGGCACCGAGAAGTTTTGATGACAGCGTTGACGATGCAACTAACAGGCACGGTTTAGAAAGTGTTCGATAAACAAAGCAGAAAAATAGAAACTTACCGGTTGCAGAAGATATGGCCACACATGGTGGCCGTGGTATCATCGCATGGGTCTGATTTACACTCCCTGCAGTGCAAGGGAGAGAGAGGCTGTTTAGCCTCGACCTGGACCGCAACCTCGACTCCTGGGTCCTTGGTATGCAGATCCGAAGACTTTTCCAAGAGGTCCTGCACCAATGTGTCGTCGGTGTCTGGTAGTGGATCTTCCCGCTTTGTTTCCGGCGTTTCAAAGTCGATGTTGTGGTTCTCAGGTTGGAGTTCCTGCGGCGAGGTGACGAAACTCTCGTTTCCTGGAGAAGAGAAGCTGGATGTTTGGAGGCTGGGAGGCGAGATTTCGAGGGTGTCGTCAATGATGGAGGGGTCCGCAAGGAGAGTGGGTGAAGACGGTGTCGATTCAGGGAGCGGATACTTTGTCTCGGGCCAGTCAAAGGTCGAGAGGTCGATGGTTGTTTCGAGGAGAGGCGAAATGGCGGGCAGTCCTGTCGCCAGGCCGATTGGGGAGCTACCCTCGGGAGAGCGATAGACAAAACTATCCCTGTATGATGGTGGTTAGAGTGAAGATCCTGGTTCGGACAATGAAGCCACACACCTGCTCGTGGTCAAAGAGAACGAATCCAGATCTGCAGGTAGGCCCTCGTCTTCCGCGCTTGAGTCGCTCGTCTAAGGAGTCCACTTGAGTACTGGGAGCATCTCGCAAGATCTCAAAAAACCCTTACCAAAAGGTGGCTATCGTCCAAGCCGGGGTTCTTGGAAGATGCAACACTGTGCGAAGACGATGGGGACGAGACCCATACTTCGCTCTCGCTGGCGCTCGTGAACTCCTCCGTCGAAACGAGCACCCCATCGTCCTCTTTCTTGGGGCTACTGGCGACCTTGGGGGTTTCCGAATTGTACTCCTCGATGCTCGCCGCATCGTCATCCATCAGGCATCGGACGGTCCGTGCAATAGCGTCTGCGTTTGCATTGCCCACCCCATTGGGAATGTGGCCACGCGGTTGCGGCAAGGCTGAATGCGCACTGGGGGTGGATGACGCACGCTGGGAGAAGCTAGAAGCTGCAGCTGTGGAGACAGGAACGACGATAGAGTTGGGCGTGATCGTCGAGCTGCGGGTTATTTGGCGAGAGCTTTCTTGGGCAGCTCGAGGATCAAATTCCCGGAGGGAGGAAGAGGCCCTCAGATGAATTGGTTGGATATTCGAGTCGGGGGTCACCGCACTCGAACCAGACGACGAAGTGGGAGGAGGAGAGATGAATCGCGGTCGAGACGCTCGAAACCCAACCGGGAATCCCGTCAGCAAAGCGGGACGGGTATGTGAGCCATTCGTGAGTTGACTACCGCCAGTGATATCCGGAGGAGACGTGGGTGGTGAAGAGAAACGGTTGCCGGCGTAACCGAACCGGGTTGCGGTGTTCGAGCGCAAGATCGTTGGACGATAGGGAGCACTTGAGAGAGGCTCCAGGCCGGTTGGAAAAGCCGCCTGGATGCTACTGGACGGGGGAGAGTTCGCACTCGAGCTCCTTTCTCGCACCGCTACAGGGCTTCTGGAGGGTATAGCTGCGTACGAGCCTTGCCTGCTAACTGGAGCATCATAGGTGATCTGCTGATGAATTAGTAAATCACAGGACTGTTTTCAGACGAGAGAAAAGACATACCTTTGCGCCAGCGAGTGCAGCAAATCGCTGCTCGGGACTGATTTGAGAATTATTTGATGCCAACGGCGCTGGCCCAACCGTAGAAGTCGTTGGGCTAACCGGTGGGACTTGGATATTCTAAGTAACACAAATGAGTATATTTTACTTGTTTGACAAGGAAAGAGAAAGAAATCCGCACCTCCTTCGCGTTCCAGAGCTCGTTCATCTCCTTTCCGGGCGGTGCCAATCCGACGGGGGTCATGGGACTGAAAGGCGGAGCCTGTACTCCCATCAAGGGCGAGGAGAAAGCAACGGAAAGGCCCGAAATGTCCGGTGAGTCGACCCGAACAGGCCTACGAAGGTCCTGGATAAATTATTAGCTCAACTGACACTGACTTCGGATAGTAAAGGACGTGCTCTAAGAGGATGGGGCGAGGCAGCGACTGGTGGTAGATCGGCGTGGTAGCCTGAAGGGTGAGCTTCATACATGCGAGGGTAAGGCGCCGGGGGACCAGGAAGAGAGGCGGCATGTGGTACTCCCATTGGAAGAGGACCCGCTGGGCCGGAAGGGGTAGTTGAAGAGCCTGTGACGGAGGCCTTCGCGGTCTGGCTTGGGGATGGGGATGCGGGATTTGCGTCTCCAGAAGGCTGCGTTTCGCCGTGTGCGCTGGCCTCGTGCTGAACAACAGTAAACGAACTGAATTTAACGAGCGCTTATCGAAATTTCTCACCTCTCGGAGGGCCTCTTGATTCAAGAACCCCTTCTTGCACTGAATGCATTTGGGGTGGTGTTCTGAGGCCATGTAATGACGCTCCAATGAATCCTGGTCTTCGTAAGTTGTCTCACCACATGTTGTGCAGACAACTTGCACATGCGCCGTGTTGCGATGCTGCGATGCTGGCGTTAATAACAACTGGAGTGAGCGACGAAGGCCGGGGGACTGACCTGTTCTAATTCAGCCATATCCCGGAAGCCCTTACCGCACCGCGCACAGTTCGGATGGCGCTCAGACCCACGGTAGTGGTCTTCCAGTGCGAAGATTTGCTTGAAGGGTCGATTGCATATAGTGCAATCGAACGTCGGCGGGTGTTTAGCAACCTTGTGCTGTTCACCAAGGGGTAAGCTTCCCATTAGCTCAACACGGAACGAGTAACTTACCGCTTCGAGACCGGACTCGCTTGAGAAGCGCTTGTCGCATATTTCGCAAATGGGATGGTAGGAAGATGAAGTTTTCAAATGCTGTTGAAGAGCTTCTCGGTTCGCGAAGACCCTGTTACCACAGGGGACACACTCGATCTTGTGCATCGCGTAGCACAATCGCGATGCAGGATGAGGCGGGCGGGTGGAAAGGGTCCTCGAGGTGAGAGTTACGAACAAGAGGCACTAATAAACTGCTTTGTGCTTTCCACCCCTTTACCATGAGGCGAACACGCGGATTGATGGTCTGTTATTCCGTTAGAAAAGCCGTCACACCGGGTGGGACTTTGGTCTCGAGAGTGATCTCCCTTCATCCTTCATCTTTTTCGATTTCTGAAACAAGGCATTAGCATTAAGGACAGGATTCGATGGCTGGGCGGAAATGAAGATGGTCAATAGTAACTTACCTGAAGGATAGGAAATCTTGAATTAATCGAGATAAGATTTGTCGTGCGAGTTCTCTTGAACATGAGGCAAGGACTCTTTGATGGCTCCGGGAAACCGTCACCCTGCCTAATTTGGCGAAGAACCTCCCGCTGCTTATAGTACGTCATCGCAGTCAATCCTCTGAATCCCCAATACGCCGCTGAGCTTTATACCACGACCAGCTGCCTAGTAGTACCTGAGCCCAATTCTTCAAACTGCGGTTCTGCGAGTCGGCAAGTTATAGGACGAAGAGAGAGGAAAGCCAGAAGCGAATATGAACATCGAACCATGGTTCGATGAAGGCGCCCATAACGACACTAGTCCCAAGGTAGATGGTGGTACTTTTTCTGTTGCAAGTGAGTTTGACGGGACCGAAAGAGTATCTGGGTTCCTTTATCACTGTGAGCATCGATCCTCGAAGGTTGTCTGACGGAAATGGAAGGTGTGAGATACTCTCTTAACGCCCTGACCTCCATTGCTCCGCTCCCATTACTTTTCCTTGTACATCGCGATCAACCCAAGTCGATACATTGAGAAACGAGGGGTACATCACATGAAAGGGCGAAAAATTTCGCTGGAGAATCACTCTAAGAAAGAAGAGTAGACCGTTTTCCAGGCAACCTTTCCGTCTTTCTCAATCACATCCTAAAAGGCGTAGAGTTAGTAAGATGACCGCACGATCTGGGCAGAAGAAACTTACGCCATGGCATGGGATGATTCTCTCGAAATCCCACCTATACACAGTTTGCGCGTGTTCCTTCATCTTGCTATAGACGGTAAGTAATTTAACGACCGTCACTCTGCGAAAGGCACCCACGCATGGTCAGTTGTGAGGCTCCGGATCATATGCGAGTATCCCCAGGACCCCGGGCGAAGTCCCAAGTTCATCCCTAGGACGGTAGGCGAGGAGGCTGACTTCGAGTACTATGGCTGCGATCAGTGTCTTGATTCCATGAAGAGGACGGCACGTTACCTGTTCGTATGGAGGCAAATTCATCAACAAATCCGCTTGGATCAAGGACTTAGAGTCCTTGTGCAAAAACGCCACATCGCGATTTTTGAACCCGGAGAAGTAGCTATGGACGAACATGGTTAGCCGAGTGGTTTCATCCCAGAAACCAGAAAGGATGACCAATGTTCGATCTAAATCAAAGACCTGAAGGTTACAAACATGCCTCTAGATCAGGATTGTGTGACCCACGTCTTCTTCAAAACCGTACTTGGTGTCAGGAGCGTCCCTACCCCAAACTATAAAACGGAACCGTTAGTTTTCAAGTTCGTAAAAAACGTAATGGGACACCCCGAAGGAGCAGGATGAATTTCTCGCTCACCTCCGTCGAATTTGAGGCCCTCATTGGAGGGTTTCTCCACAGCTTCCAGGGGAGCCACGAGCTTGGCTCCGGGATAGGCTGTCTTGAATTCTCCTATTCAAAAACGGCGGCGATTGGATCGTATTATTGCAGTGTACCAAGCCTTTCGTGACTTACGTAGGAACAGATGGTGAACAGCGTCTGCACCGATGATGTACCTGAGAGAAGGAGGGAGCAGAAGTCAGAAGTCAGAAGTGAAGAGATGGAAAGTCAATCTACGGCACTCACTCCACTTGCCCGAGTCGGTCAAGAGTCGCCTTGGTTTCCTCGTCAAGTTTTGTCGAAGCTAAGACCCAGACACCTCCGTTTCTTAGCTTTACAGCTGTGGACCGCCCACCGACAGGAAAGATGCCGAATCTTGCAAAAGGCCTAGTAGTTCGGGATGATCGTCATATGCATGTAGAGGATCACATCGCGGTTCGGAGCGCCCATTTCATATTTTGAAGAATCAGAACTCCATGATAGGGCCGCACCAGAGAAGAACCGGACCTAGAGAATGTCCACACGCCGTTCGCAACCTATGAATAAAGAGAGAGGGTTACAAGTGAGTAAGACGAATCTTGCTGCCCTTCGTGCTGTGACTCTTTCCGGGCTGGTGGCCCTGGCCAGCACATACGGAATTCTCGAAAGATTCAAGTTAACTCACCTCCCGGATGACAGTTTCGGACATCGCAATCGTAAAGGTGATGTGTTGTAGTTGTAATGGTGGTTAGGAACAGGAAGGAAATAAGACCTCTTGTTGACATCGATATGCCCCTAACAGTGCTCCGTATGTGTGTACGTCACAGGTGGAAATAGAAGCAGGGAGTATCCCCGGAACTGGTCCCAGGGGTGCTTTGGTGCTCTTGAATTGGGTTCCTGCATGCACGCTCTGAAGTGAGAAACAAGTCAATCATAACTCTGCGAGGCTGCGAGCAACGAAAGTTTCCGGAAAGACGGTTGTCAACCTGCAAGCGGCGATCTTGGCGTAGGATCTCAGTATCCCACGCTCCAAGGTTCCTGCTCAGCGCTTCACTTCCTGCACACGTCAAAGCAGTGAGTTCAATTCAAATTAAAAAGGTTAGAGACTTGGTGAACGGTAAAAATGTAAACCACCGTAGGTAGGAATCTCGATGCATCTCGGGGCCATAAAATATTTTAAATGGAAGCCCGCTTTGAACATGCAATCGAGACTCAATCAAGGCGACGTTCCCTTCATCAGGCGTCGTCGGAAGGTAGTTTACTTGCTCCGATACTCATCGTTCAGACCAAAAGATGTTCTTCAATGGAAGGAGTACATGCCTGCGTAGTCATTATGCCCCACATTTTAGCTCGCGATTTATTTTTCCAGGTGTAACAAGCGTTTGTACGAACATGAGTGAATGGGTGAGCCAAGGCACATGTCGCAAGCGAGTCAGTGACAGTCCCTATTCTGAAGTCAATACTTACGACCTCATGGACCAGTCGCGGACTTCCGTCTGAGCGCTTCCATACAAATCAAGAACCTGGAAGAGAGCTCTACACACGGAAGAAATCTAGGGCCGAAGCATACCGGAAAGTGTTTTACCTCCTCTATGGACCTGACTGCCCAATAACCTCCTTCGCGGCGCAATTGAATGACGGGTCGCCAGTTGAGCTTCATTCAAACGAATCATTGTCATCGGATTAGGTGGGCTTCACGAAGGATGGCTTGACCGGGCATTCGAATATGAAAGCTTTCGGGATGGTTCTGGGCCGCGTTGAATTCACGCTGGCGTCATCATCACGGCCGTCGCGATGAAGCGCTGGAGACATGGCGGTGGGCACATCGCAGTATTGGATGGCATCAGGGACCTTCCGGGGCTTCAAACCGACGTTTGATGCGCCTTCGTGATGAGGGCGTAAAAAGTTACTTTTGAAGTTAACGTTGACTAACTTTGCCCGCCTAAGAACATAGAGCCTAACTTTTTCCCACGCATTCGAAAGTAACGTGCTAACTTTTGGCTAACTTTGGCTAACTTTCGTCCCCCTTACTGCCAGCCTGAGACGTACTTTCGACTTGGTAGGGAGGGGTTGTGTACGTGTACGGGGCTCAAGAGCTACTTTATCCGGGGAGGGATGATGGTGCGAAGCCGAGAACAAAAGGAGAGCATGATAGTTTATTGTGCGCCAACCAGTTACCAAATGGATTCTTGAATATGTTAGCTCTTCTCGCGCAGTGATACACGATCCAGTTAGCACATCACGTATACAGATGTGCTAGGCCGTCTGTTTATTCTGGAAGTAAAAGGGCTAACTGTGGCTTCATTACATCGCGGTACAATCTTGAATCAATGTTTGTTGCCCTGGGCACCTCGACATCAGGACTCGGCTACCGTCTACCACTTCGCACTTGCCCCCATGATAATGAATACACAATTTCGGTCACAGTGGGGCAGAATCCAGTGTAAGTTCTTGATCACCCCGTCATGCGATGTGGGGACCGTGTCATCTAGCCAGCTGTAAGTATGTACTCTCAGTCATACATATACTCTGAATCGACTGAGGTGTCCATTATAAATAGTGTCTATAATAAAGGGCTTTGCCCATTACAAGTCCGTTATGCCACCCACAATTGTGGTCAGAGGACGGTTGAGACACTTACAGGCCACCTCGTACTCACGCGACCCTGAACTCTTCCCCAGGCTCATGCAATCCATCGCGAGAACTTAGTGCTTGACAACGCACGAAAAAAGTTAGCTTCACTCCAGTTATGTACTTCCGCCTTACATTCCCCATATAAAAAGTTACTTTCGGCTAACTTTACGCTAACTTTTTCGGCAAAAGTAACTTTGCTGAAAAAAGTTAGAAAAAGTTAGTTTAGTAAGGAAAAGTTAGTTGAGAAAGTTACTTTTGTAACACCCCTTCGTGATGCGCTCTTGGTGGAGTCAAATAACGGAAAGATAACCAACCGATTTATACAGCTCACCAATGAAGCAGTGCCCACTACTAGTAAGCAATATTCTACGTGTAAGCAGTCGTGACGATGGTGGCATGGGATAACGCTTCATCCTCTTTCCTCGAATCCGAGAGGACGATCGTTTAACGAATTCAGGCCAAGAGAAGGCCACTCGATTCTGAGGGTCCCGAGAATAAAAGGCTAGCTCAATCGGAGCCACCATATTGAAAACCACAGAGCAACAATCAACTCAAAGCAATTCGTGAACAAGGAAAACCAGAGTTTTTCCGAGCTCGTAGATTGAGTGGAGCCTTCGGGAGTTGTCAAAGAACTCTAAGAACAAAGCGGGAAATAATCGTTCAGACCGAAATTTTTCAAGGAGTAAAATCCCAAAGGGATATCTTTCTTGTCATTGGCCGCAGTGGAATGCTGAGCGGGTAAGAGAGGTGACTCGTCCACGGCTGTTGGATGGCTGAAGGACGAGTAACGGCGCGGCAACAAAATTGATGGCTACCTATTTCGGAAAGTCCCTATCCCTATCCCTATACCCTTCTCCCTGCTTCCCTTTCATGCGTCTCGTTGGACATCGCCTATTATTTTCATGGTAGTTAGGTCTATCAGTATCCCGTACCATTATCCACAACATCGCTTTATTCCAATCAAAACGCCTTTTGGACATGACGAACCGACTGTTTGTCCCAGTTTGGCACGAGTCAATAGGGGGGCTCTATTTGGAGCCGAAGAACAATGAAGGGCTTTGCCTCCCGACAGCTTTGAGTTTGCAACAACCGAAAGACAATGAGGGCTCAATTCCACATACTCCGACAAGACCTTGGCTATATAAGATGCAGGGATTCGCTGTCCAGAATTCCACAACTGCCTAGGGCATTCTTCTTCCAGCCTCTTTCTCGTTTCTTTCTCTCGTCTCTGTCTTCTCTCCAGGCCAGGTGCCTTGTCTGTTTCTCCTCGACGACCTTTCGACGATAACCATCTCTTCCCGACTCTTTAATTTCAATATCCTTAAGATGTTCAAGTTGTCGACCAGCTTTGTTCTCCTCACTGCTCTCGCTGCCCTCGCCCCAGTTCAAGGTGCTCCAGCGCTCGCGGCTCGACAGGGATCGGACGTCCACAGACAGAACGCTCTCGATGCCCAGAGGCTCAACGCCCAATATGCCACTATCAAGGCCACCGATTCTTGCCGATGTACGTCTTTCCAGAGCTTTTTGTATACGTTTATTGTTCTAATAATTCACTCTAATAGCTGGCGAAAACGCTTGCGTTGACGGAGGCTTCGCCCAATGCATTGCAGGCAAATGGGTTGTCCAGCCCTGCGCCGGGGCACTTCGCTGCTACGCCCTCCCTCTTGTGAATGCGCCCGGTACCTCCAACGCCTGTGATACCCAGGAAGGCGCTGAGCTGCGCTTCAAGAACGCCGGTGTCCAGGGAGGCACCCGAGGAAACGGTTCAAGCTCTCCCCCTGCCCCCGCCGAAGACGATGAGGACATTCCCGACTGCGATGATGAAGATGAAGAGGATCTTGCAGAGCGCGCTTTCGCAGAGGATGAGACCTACAGATATTTCTACCGCCGCCAGTTGCCTGAGGAAGACGAAGAACCAACTCTCCCAATCAGCTCCGTGGTTCCAGTTTCCTCCCTTCCGGTACCATCAGTCTCCGCCTCTGCATCTATCGAACCCTCCTCCGCCGTTCCTTCAATCACAGGCACCCCCTCTTCATCCTCTTCAGCAGCGATCGTGACACCCACAGTCGTCATTGGTGACGACGGCATCGTCACCGTCACCCTCGTGTCCACCGTGACCGAAACCGCCACCGACTGCGGCCTCGCCACGAGCTCCACCCCCGTTCCCCGTACCGTCGTCTCCTCTGTGGCATCCTCAAGCGCTGTCTTGAGCTCATCAGGCATCCCCACTTCCCGCCCCACTGCCTCTTCGTCTTCTGCTCCCATCACCTTGGTCGCAGCACCAACCCCTTCGAGCTTTACCTTCGAGTTGAGCCCGACTGCCTAAGCGAACGAGGAGAGACGTAGGATCTGGCTATCCTGGTCGATTGAACCTTTTTACGGACTTTTCATTCTTCATGCCCTAGTGGTTTTCTTTCAGCATCACACCGCATTTCGTCATGACTGTCAAGACCAGAAAAGCATTTGTATTATAATACACTGACTATTATCACGGCAGCACGCATCAAGTCTTCTAGACATACTCTACATACTTGCAATCCACGTTCTTCTCTGCTTCTATCCGGTTCTTGAGACCAGTTGAATCATGTCTCTATGGGAGGTCTTACTCCGAGTGTTCCAGAGTAGTGTTGACGTTCCGGTGAGCGAGGACCGAATCAAGTAGGTGTTGAACAAGGGCGCTCCTACGCTTTGTGAATTTCAACAAGTCGAATTTTGGAGCCTCAGTTGTCAGCCCAGCTCGACTCGCCCGACCTGTGTCATTATGGAAAATCTAATGGGGCGCAACAAAAGGTAGTGGACCATCTGAGTACCTTCAACCTACCTAAACCATATCTATTCTAACCGATCTCTGGTTATCTTTTTCCGCTCCTGCGGGAACGGAAAATGCGAGAGGCTCGTCCTGTATCGGACGCCAGGCAGTTCTACAGAGCATTCTAACAAAATGAAGGTCGTCTTGACGGCTTGAGGCGACTCCGAGCTCGCACCGCCGATGGACTTTTTGCTCGAGTTTGTCGGCGTGAGGAATCGCTCCGAGATATCGGGAAAGGGGCTTCGATGGTAGGGTGGACGCCTGTGAGTGCCTGTGGTGCTACTACAAGATCCGCGAGAGAAGAGAATGACTTCCTTGTTCAGGTTAGAGGTTAAGAACCGTTTACCTCACCCTGTCCAGTGCAGCATGGCCCTTTGCGAGGAAATCGGACTATCGAATAATCCTCCGTAAGTAAAACAGTTTCTATTATTCTCATCTTCTCAGAAGCTGGAGCCTCGAGGTTTGCATGATGCCACAGGCATGTTTTGTGCGTGCTTATACTTAGCTTGCTGGCTAACATCCTCGGCTTGTTCTTGATTATCGATCGTCCTGGATGAGCTGGCGTCCTTCGCGGGAGCAAGTCCGGAAACAAGGCCTGCCCTCATTTCCGAATTTACATAGAAATGGCGCCAATCCTGACGGGCGCCAATCCTCTGATGGCGAAGCTTCATACCACATGGCTGCGCAACGGGCCCCGTTCTAACTATCAAAGACAAAAACCTTTTGCTCACGCGAAGCTCTCTTAATCACAACCTTGAAAATAGAATAACAGGACAACGTTACTGTACGGCGCGGTGGCCCTCCCGCGAAAAAAACGCATTCCCAAGGAACATCGGCACGCTGATTAATTGGATGTCTGGGTTATGCAAATCGATGATGCGCACTAACCTAGCTTTTTGAGGTCCCAGCTCCTGATTCTCTCACCGCCGTCAGTACCACCCAAAATGCTCGATTGGGAAAACGTACCGAGGGCTAGTTGCCTGATTTTCCGATTCGTAGGCCGTGGTTGTCGGGTACTGAGGGGTTTCCGACGGCGGGCTCAGCATTTAACGTTCTGGTTCATTGAGTAGAGAGAAGATGAATTGGGTTTGGACTAGCTCATCGCTGACAGAATCGTGCGGTGGCATCATGGATACCATGGACTGTCATATCTTCAGAGCGGCCTCTCCGAGTCGGGATACCGAAATCCAGGTGAGGCTAGTTTGCTCTACATGTCAATCTAACAGAGATGGAGGACTGCAGAGACCTTCTCGTCCCGATGTGTCTACCCGCGAGACGTCTTCGTGGGTCTCATTCTTCGATCCGTTCATGAAGGACTACATACCCTCTATGTCACCCTAAAACAATTCAATCACCCAAAAGATCAACTTGGTCCTCAACTTATCACCCACCTTCATCGATGGATCCTATCATAGCATCGCCCTGCCATTCCGAGAGTAGTGGCCACTGACAAAAAGAAAAGACAATAAACACCACTTCCTGATTAGTGGGAACAATTGGCTGTGCCCTTGCAACCTTTGGCACTGAGGCAATCGAAGATAGAAGGTAGCTCGGGTTTGGATGTAAAGTCCACCGAGGAGTCAAGTAGCGAAGAAGTACCGGAATGAGGGTTCTTTTCGTTGCGACAACGTGGCTGAATACATCGAAGCCAATATAAATAATTGATTATCTTGCTTCACTTCACAGGATAGGTTGGGCGCTGGCGTCGGATGCCCCCTCTATTGGCGGCCTAATTCACCCCCCGATCTATTGTTAACCCCTCCCTCGCGAGATCTATTCTTGACACTGGGCGCTTAACACCATCCTGTCAAAGAACTAGGTCGGCACTTCCAAGTCGGCATCCTGATTAAGAATGCAAGTGAAACGTCACCCTGGTTGCTGCTGTAGTAGGACCTTCGAATTCCTCGAAGGACTGGGGAGTCATCGAGAGTCGAGTGCTGTTGCTATCCAGGCTATGCATTCCTATGCCGTCGCGGCGTGTTTCTAGTCATGGGGTTTCAATCTGTGGTCAATTAACTAATTGTGGACGGCTGGAATACTTCCTTCAGGTGAGCGCCCATATGTTCGAAGGGTAATGTTAGGTACCCGGGTGACGTTAAGCCATGCCCACTCACCCCCAGCGAAGTCGTGATAATCGGAGCAAAGTTCGAGATTCCAGTTGAGCTTTCGAGCACTGAGACCCAGTCATGGATCGCGTTTTCCCTGATAGGGGCTGGTTGGAAACGTTGTATCTCAAAGACGACTAGAAGGTGAATTCTGGACTCGATGTTGCGGAGGTTAGTGATACTAGTTATCGTTGTATGGGACGTCGGGCGCTCGCATTGAAGGATCAGCATCAGCGCTATACCCTCGGTTGACGTGCTCCAAGGGATCGACCTTTGATCGTCGTACTGCAGGGGATAGCCGATACCATTGGAGGTAATGCCCTCCAGATAGTCCCATTAGTGTCCTTGCTACGAGTTACTTACCTATCTGTTCTCCACCGGGCGCTCAATGGGAGGAGCTCATATCCCCACTTCATTCTGAAACTGATGAAAGACGAGGTGTACTTAGAGTCAATACCAGTTGAGTTGAGTGGGTTCGGTTGATAGATACGGTCATTCAGGCATGAAATATCGGACTTGATTTGTGGGTACTTGAGTATACATACATGTGGTTGACTCTTTTCTTGTGTTGTAAGGATTATAGCTATGATACATGTAAGAGCACATTATGCGAAAGGGGGAAAATTTGAAATGGCAATAAGTTAGCAAAGCGAAGTGTAGTGAAGAGCAGGAGTACTAATGGTGGTCACGATAACCTAGCGTCGAAAGTCGAAGGGAAAAATGGGGTGTCGTCAATCGTGATAGTCGTAAGGCAGCGCTGTGGGTATAGAAATGATAAATGCAAGTGCAAAGCGTTAGGTCATGAAATCAAGTAGAATGTGTTCGCGTGCTTGTCCAAAACATGCACAACACCCTTCTTCCATAATCTTGGAAGGCAAATCTCCATCAAACGGGCCCCATCAGCTTTGGTGATATCGGCAAGTTGAAGCTTGACACTTCGTAGACGATTCAAAGGCCTGGTGGGCGGAGTGGAGTGACGGCGAGAGTTGGCGCAAAGTCCGTGGCTGCCGTGAGGACTCTGATCCTTGCGGGCAGGACCGAGAGCCACACGATGTTTGGCGGGATCCAACGATTCACCCGTCAAGGCGCAATCCAGTGTCTCCCATGAGCCAGAAGACGAGGCGGTTTGGACGATGTTGTTCATGTCTGGCTTGTCGAGGGACAGGAGATAGATGGTGACGTCTTCCAAACGGTTCAGGTTCGTGGCATTTTTGAGCATCCCTGAAAGCAGGGTAATGTGTCGCTTGGGATCCCTGATGTCCCGGAGACCGAATCGAAGGGATAACCGTCGAAGTGCTCTGAGCTGGCCAATGTCCAAACGTTCGTACGTCTCGAGGATTGTCGGGACATTCTCGTTTTCCCACTCCTCGAAGGCGTCGTCCCCCACGATAGTGACTGGGGCACCAGAGGTGGAGGGAGCATGAATATCGTACTGATGACCTAGAGGGAACTGTTAGTCACTGGTTCAAATGATATCTGGGATTGACGACGTACCTGCTGAGAAGACATCCAAATGCAGCTCTTCAAGCGTGTTCCGACACCGAGGGAGAATCTGGGCCAGTGCGTCTTGATGTCGGTGGAAAGTGAATGATCCACTCGTCTGGACCTCCAGCGACTTGAGACGGCTGATGTCGAGGCTGCATTGGTCAGAGAGCAGCCATTCACTCATTTCCGCTAGGCTGGTCGACGAGCAACGCAGAGTGAGGCGCTCCAGATGGATTGGCGAGGGGCTGTCTTGGGCGACCATGAAGGTCATGACCCTGTGGGCCAATGCGTCAGAATGACTCGTGGGCGCACACGATGGAGACCCAGTCAGCGAGAAATGCTTGAGGGACCGACAGCCCTCGAGCAAGTACACAGGAAAATCTGACATGGCATGCACCTCGACCTGCGAGATATGTTTGCCGCGCAGACATGTCCTGATCGCCTTCTGAATGTTTCTCGGCACCTTCGACCACGACCGATTACATGAGCCTAGCACAGTGACCTTGGTGAGGTGTTGTAGGTTGAGAAGGACGCGAAGGGCATCGAAGTCCATCGGATCGTCGTCCCTCCGGCAGTATGCGTCCTCCTCGAAGAGGCTGCCAAGGACGACATGCTGGATATGGGGGAGGAGATGGCGAGATGCGGTGAAAAGATCCATGAGATAGTGCCCTGGGATTTTGTGAGCCACTCGATGCAGCGAGAGGCTGATTCGTCGGAAGATCAATGGGCGGGTTTTCTGGCAGAAGTACCGGCACGCCAGGGACAACGACTTGAGGGTTGGCAAGTCACCATCGAGCTCCCGAGTGATGATGATGTTCAAGATGTCCAATGGAAGGATCGCATTGGTGTATCCGAGCTGGGAGAAAATGGGAAGGAGGGACCCGGAGCCACTCGTGCGGTGGCTCAAGCATGAGGAGCTCGAGGTTGTTGCGGATGATACTGACGAGGTAGGACTTCTTGGTGGGGATCCGTAGCGAGGGCCATATAGGACCTCTTGAGTTCCTGCCGTTTGGTTATATAAATCAGTAAAGGCCCTACATGCAGTATACAGTCAACAACAGTAGCTCACCGTCTTCATAGTCCACCGCCAGTTGCTTCGGGTGATTGGCTTCTTCTAGCGATACCTTGAGAGCTCTTCGTGAGTTGGCAATAATGCGTTGTCGTAAATCCATGTTGGGCAGAGTGCAATGCGTGGCGCAACACGGGCGGGGAGGCGAAGGTCTAGGAACGAGATTTAGGCATTGCAACTTTATAGACCCTGAAAGCCATATCGGTTATCTTTTTGTTTCCAAATGAGAAGGTTTCTCGGCAGAACTAAATCGTCAGATCTTCGGCGCTAAATCTGGCACCCCCAAAACATCGCATCATGATCAGCAATCTCTTCCCTTCGCCTGTACTGTTGGTTCTGGTTGCGAACGTAACCAAAACGGATAGCCTACCTTTGTTTTTCCCTCTCCCACCCAAATACCTCTGTCTTGGGACTTCCGGGACCAGATGGTTCCAATGTGCGTTGGTCCCGGACACTTTGGACGGGCATCTTGTATAACGACATCGTGACTGGATCATGTCTTCTAGAATTCAATTCGTGCGGCCGGCTATCGCACTAGGTACCTTGCTCTGACTGACGCGGCCTAACCTACCCAAAATCCTTACCCGATGGAGAGGAAGAAAGCATTATGTTGGCATTATGCCACTGTTCCGAGCTTGCGCGCTGCGAATTAAGGTTGTGTGAATTTCTTGAAGTATTCTCAGGAGCAGAGACTGAAGCGAACTCTGGAACTGCTCCAACCCAACGTTAAATTCCAAGTGGCCTACGATTTCCCTTGTGACATGTTCTTTCAATAGAGGAGCCTTCTAGTAGCTAGATGACCGAGTATCCACGCAATGAAGGACTGAATTGAACGCAACGCGGGAGGCAAACAATTCCCATCATAATGATCCTCCCCGCCCAGTATGGAGGCTCAGCGCTCCGCTCTTGGCACCATGCCTGCGAAGCGTGTTGGTCGCGTCGGCGGAGGTGGAGTTTACAAAGGACTGTGGCGGCGGGTGGACGGCGGACGCTACCTATCAGGAACCTGAACCGCTTAGGCTGAAGGGTTTCTTGCTTCAATTCATTCAATTCAAGGCCAGCGATGATGATGTCTGCTGCTGCCGTAATGTCCGTCCGCCTTGCAATTGGCCAAACCCTGAATAAGTATTCGCTGCCCCTTAGAAAAGCCACATCTGCATTGGGGAAGCTACGGTGAATCTGGATACATAATAGGATCGAAATGCAGGTGATCACTCAACGTGGCGACGACCACGAGCACTGGCAGTGACAATACAATGGCCCCCATTTCTTGAAATGATCACGTTCATCTCGGTTGGTACATCACTAGTAGCAAGGGTCTGAACCGAGAAAACGCTCTGCAAGACTCGAAGGTCTCAGAGGACCATTGCACTGCCGCGTGTCGAGCCCCGCAGTAACTGCATTGCGTTGAGTTCAGACAGGATAACCGAAATTAACAGCACGAAGTCACGGTGTCGCTCGGATGGAACCTTCTCGCACATGGACAGCCCCGTGGTTCGCCCAGCCCAAAATCCCTGTCATGTAAGGAGGGTACAATACTAATCATCGAGAATCATAGTTAACACCGTCAGAAGTCAAGGCCCGGGGCCTTAAAACTACAGCGAACGATGCCAGTTGACTCGAAGTAAAGAATGTCGGATACTGCATACCATACGTGAACGCTGGAACTTGAATCGAATCGACAAGCGCTGCGTAATGGTTATCGCGTACTAGATTATCGGCTTAGACATATCTTGGTGGGTGTAGAAAGGTAATCATGCGAAGACTCCGGGATTTTCGAAGACTTCCAACTGACACTCAGCACCTGCCTCACGCTGCAGGGTCCGGAGTTCACCCTCAACCCCTCCCCCGTTCTCCCATAATCCAGGATCGACGAAAAAAACAACGGTAGAAAAGCTCGAATAGCCTGCAAATACCTTGCCGCATAGGTGGTTTTCATACAGGCAGCCAAACCGAAGGCCGATTCATTGTGGGCGCCAGGTGTGAAGTGAGGCAACAATTGATGCCTCGGGCCGAGAGTCGAGAGCCAATGGCACCTCAGCCGTCTCCTCGAATGCCACATACGGTATCTCGAAAGAAAGACGGCCTTGTTATGTTCTGACCGCCGAAAGCCATCATCGCGCACCGGCGGGTGGCTCATTTTTAATCAAGACTTTTTTAAAAGGAGGTCGGGTGGCTATCTTAGGGCCCTTGGTATTGTCGTAATCGCCAGAGATCAACGCCTGAAGAGCAGACATTAGGGTGGAGATTCACCTAATTCGAGGACCAGAGCATGACGGAAAGACCACGTTCGAGCGCCGAACCACAAGGTGGAGGAGCTTCTGAAGTAGCCGCCTAGCAAACACTTAAAACTTGGTGGATTTGCGAGAGTCTTCGATTTGACGGGAGCGGAGTTGGGGGTGGCATCAACAGGCGAAGTACAGGCTTGTAGACGAGATCTTGCCCCGTACGAAGACCTAACCTGTGTGAGGATCCATCAGATATTCGAGGAAGGTCGTGAAGCGGGCGGAGTCTTCGAGGAGAGATCTAGGGAAGAATTGGACGAATGTCGGGTCGGCGGTGGTAGGACTCTTTAAGCGGGGCTTGATATTCACAAGAGCTCGACGGGAGACGGGGAAACCGAAATTTCGACTTTGAGGTCGCCATAGAGTAGAGGTAACATGCCTCTTTCTTGAAGGCCGTATGTGCACACAGTCACAGGAGATACAGCCATAATTGCCGGATTTTCTGGGAAAGAAGACCCAAACCTAGATCGGGTGGGTCCCTCGACGCACTCTGTACCGCCGATCTGGCCAGGATGATTTCGAGGGCATAAAGATGGGGAATAATACTCTCAACGCGTCGGCCTGTGTTCCTTACGTTGGGCGGGAGAGGTGAATGTAGCAGCGTCGAAGACAAGGCATATGATTCCCCAATGTGGCGCTATACGTACGCCCCCGACTGGATCGCGAGCGACGCCTAAAGCTCGCGACGGAATCGCGGGCCAGAGCAGAGCACCGCTGCCGACGTCCAACAAGGCAGCACTATTGGACTGAAGAATATCATCCAGGCTGTCAAGCTTAGCTAACTCGACTGAATAGATTTCGAGAATGAATGCAACGCGGAACGCACGATGTCGATCTATCCTTCTGCCTACATAACGACAACAAAAGATGCAGAGCCAGATCTGAGAAAATCTCTAGGGGAGTGAGCCCATCCACGTAAAAGGCCGACTTGTTAGCCAGAGCGTGTAGAACAGACGTCTCTACATAGACCAAGGAATAGCGGGGACAAACGGAAGGGTCCTAGCCACCTCCTGTCACCCCGTTCCCTGAAACAGACAGGAACAAGGCCAGAGCTCATCGCCTTCGAACACGGCCACTTGTCCGCGGATGAGACAACCTCACCCAACCTCCCTGGGTGATACAGGAAGTTGAAACGCGCAGCAAGGTTGCTCTTGTTCCGTCACCGTACGTATAGTGCCTTGAGAGAGATCAGCGATGTAACAATGATGCGGAGGCCGTTTTTGATAAGACTGCACCAGCATCGACCAGGTGCAGAAAACCAGGCTGGGATCTATCTTTGGCGACCACTGGAGTTTGTGGGCATGCGCTTGGAAAAAAGCCCCAGCGAGCGCGATTTTTCTGCAGCTTGGTTGTCGCCATTGGTGGCCATTCAATTTACCCATCCTAGTCGTCTCAAACAAAATCGAATATTGCCGCATCTTGGTCATAAAACACGAGGTGGGGCTTACCAGTTGTAGTACAAGGAATAAACAAGGCGCAGGGGACGGTGGCGGTATGTTAAGCGCTCGTCGCTGATCTCGGTTGCTATGCTGTGAATATGGACATCCGTGTTTGGTTAGCAATCCCAAAAGGATATTCGGGAGGGATTTAGGAAACAGCTGAAAACAGGCCGTGGAATTACACCGACAGAAGACCGAAGACCTGGTGGTAGAATCCCGCGTTGAATAGAGTTTTTGGTTCTGGAAGCTCTGGTTGAAGATGTCTTTTGCTTGGGCAGTGGTGTAGGCCCCATGGCCGCGCGGAATGCGAGGTGATGGGCCAGGCAGGGCGAAACGCGGGAGGGAAAACAGGTGCCCACAGTCGCTCCTCTTGCTCGATAAGGTTGCGTGTTGGTTGGAATGAGGGGTGATGGATGGTCACCCGGCTAGGTCGACTCCTGATTGAGGTTACGATTTCCCCAGACCTGCAGCAGAGATCTTGTTTTCCCTGAGGTAAAGGACGGATTATAATAGAGATATATCATGGATATGTCGTGCGACGATGCGACAGCGCGCGCGAGGATATCTGTCTCATGACGTCTGTGAATTGTCGGAGGGTATCATCTTCCAGGTTGCTATATCACACTCTCAGACAATAACAATAGACTTTGCATAACAGGGAAGGCTCACAGAATAGGGTCCAAACAAAGGGAAGGACACTCCCTCGAGATAGACGTAAGGTTTCTGAGATCTGAGGGGTAGGAACGCGATTTCGTGGTTAACTCGGCGGCGAGGTATGATCGAGGTTGTCAGAGTGGGAACTTGGTTCTCTCCAGTGGCTGCTGAGCGCTGAGGATCGGTGACACAGAGAAGCCGGATTGAGTTCACCAAGGATTTCGAATGTGTTGATCCCAGGGAAGGGAAAGACCCTAGTCTAGCCAAAGCCCAACTGGAATCAATGGAGGTTTTCCCCTTTTTTAGGCATGGAGTGGGGGACAGCCGTGTCTACAGTTCGGAGCCAGGTCGTCGGAGCTCGTACAAGTGGGCGCAGAGTCTCCAAATGTTTTTATCGCCTCTTCCATTCCCTACGACGGTTTCAGCAGTGCACAATCGTTCCTTGGACCAGCACCGAGAGAGAAAAAGAATGCAAAAACGACTCCGAATCTTGTGTCCGACTCGCTGCGGTCAGCCACGAAGCCGCGGGAAAATATCGGGACATTCCGACCGCCGGCATGACGGCAACGGTCGGCTCCAGTTGGGCCAGGTTGGGCCAGTTGGTTCCGCGTTGTTCATTGACCTTTGGCCACCAGCTGTGGTTTCTCTTTTACACCGACTACCGATGTCAAAATAACGCTATGGGGACTCTGGAATACCCCCAACTCATATCTCTGGCGCTTTGCGCGCTCTCTGGCCTGATTTGGGTCAAGAAGAAACCATGATTCTCCCATATACTTCTCCTGGCGCATACGGCGTATATTGTCTACCAGCTGTTCATCGCGTTCCCGATGAACGTGTTTACAGACTTGGGCGTACCATTGAACGGATCTGCGGAACTGTTGAGGATGCGAATGGCCCGGCGGAGGCCGCTGGATCCTGAATTGGAGGGGTTGTTCAAGCGGTTGAGGTCGCTGGACCATAGACTGCTTTATGTTCGGTTCGTGCCACTTGGGTTTGCTGGTTGTGGAGGACTAATGAATGTGGATTAGGTTTGGACATGATATTATTGCGGGGTGTGACTATTGCCAGTCGTTTGGTGATTATGCGCTGTTGGCGTTACCCCGGCCACTGCTGGCCTATATTCGTGAAATGGCGTTCGTTGGGGTGAGTTGTTCACTCAGCTGCTGGGACAACCATTGAGCTAAAGGTTTATCCAGATTCTGACGCTTCCTGGGTCCCCGAAAGCACACCTTCGACCTCTGGGGCTTGCAATTCTGATGCTCTCGGCGCTCGCAGAAGCTTATTTCATCCTGTCAGCTACCATTGCTATCAACCGCAAGAAGAGCCTCTCATTACGATGGTGAGACTCAACCAACCACCTGCCTGATACTACATAGAGCTTACCCGACTATGCGTCAATTACAGTGGCATGATACCCTTCTCCGCGCGCGACTAGCCCTGTTCCTGGTATCCTGCTGCTTCCTTTCCTACTCCACCTACCCCGGATACCGTTCATTCACCGAATACCGATCATCTCCTCATTCATGCCCATACCCGACCCCCGAGCCTCGCAGAACCGGATACCAACAGGGCGCGTGCTGCAGCGCCTCCAAAGCACACTCGACCACCTTGTCCCGGGCCTCCATCTCCTCAAGTACACACGGGCCGCGGTGATGCGTGTGCCTGCGATGCAGGACCGCGCCGGGGCGTGGTGGGAGGGGGAGAAGAGGGAGGGCGATGCGGTGCTGGCTGATGAGGGGTTTAAGAGGACGGCGAATGGGATGCAGTTGGCGTATGATGAGAAGGATGGGGTGTTGAGGGAGAGCACGAAGGCTGCATTGAACTCTTTGATGCCTGGGATGGTGCCCAGCGAGCATTGGAGGAGGGAGGGGACGTGAGTTTGTATGAGATATTTCATTGGAATTTAGAGGGTTCGTTTTCCATCTCGCTGCGTTTGCACACAATTCGCTGGAGAGAAGGCTGAAGGACCGATAGTCGGCGTGCTCGTTCCATGGCTGTAGGGATAGTTCTGGGGTCGCCTGGGCCGTTTTTCATTTGATCTTTTGTGCGTCCATCGTGATCCTTTCCCCTTTCAGTCCATCGCCTGGCCTCATCGTTCATAATGCCTATGTCGATTCATTCCAGTTCGTGCCAAGCTTTTCATGGATGGATTTGGGAACTTTCCAATTGGAATTTGAGGGGCATTTACACTCCCACGTGGGATCACAAGAGGTCCTCTCCACTCTGTAAATCCGGTGCACATGTCGTGATGCTCCCTTCACGCGACCTCCGTTTACTGTGATATTCATCCGCCATGCTCAGCTGGCCGCGAGAGAAGACTGTGACTAACAGTGACGGGGAGGTGATAGCAGGAACAGTCGATACCCTATTGGATCTTTATCGGGATCTGAATTCACACAAATTCATTGGTGGAGCTGAACGGGATTAAACCGTGTATACGAGTGGGGTGGAAGCAGTTAAGACGGTGGTTGTGTCACTGTGCCTTTGTTCGGGGAGAAGAGACTTTAATATAACGATGGAGAGAGGCTTCGCGAAGGCTTCTTCTTCTTTTCTTCCCCCCACTTCGTTTCCCTTCTTGTCGCTCTTCCTTCCCTTTTCCCTTTTCCACTTCCCCTTCTCTGTTCCCCCTCCACGCGCGTTGTCGCCTTCCTTTGACCTTGTGGGGATCATTGGATGTCGAGAAAAGCTGTTTAGGGATTTGACAGGATGAGTCGGATCGGAGCGAATTTGGGTGATTATATTGAAAAGGCGGTTTACTATCAGCGGTGTACGCAGGTACGTTTTCGGTTTTGTTGTTTTGTTGTGAGGGGCGGTGGGCTGATGGGTTTGGTTGAGCACAGTATGTCAATGGTTCGTCTGCCCTCGCCTCTACGAATGGCAGTGCGGAAAATTAATTGTCAATTTTGTCGTCTTGTAGTGGCCAGCTTTGCATTTGTGGTACACATCTAGTTCTCACCTCTGTCAATCCCCGTTCTCATCGTGTGCTCCTTGGACAGGTGGTGGATTATCTCCAAACGTTCCCTTCTGAAGTATGTCCATCTCGTCCCGTCGAGTCCGTATTGACGACTGAATTCCGAATTTCCTTCGACAGGTCTCGTTAGTCTGGCCTCGACAATGGAGTACAGTCAAAGTCCTGTTCATGTTATCACGATACCTGCCTTTTGTGTATGCGCCGCTGACGTTATGGGGTGAGTGGTATTAGATTCCCCTTGGTATTCGGCGTCTCTGATACAGGATGGTGCAGTCGGTCTTCAGAAGGGAGCTTCATTATCTGTAAGGCACTGTGTACTTGGCTATTGCTTCAAGAACTAGTAGGTTAATGGAGGGTTCGCATGGGGGTACAGGCGTGTGCTATGGCGTTTGGAGCTAGTTCTGGTGAGTTCTTTCCTTTGTTGACTATTTGTCAACCTGAGACTGATCCTATCCTGGTAGTTCTCATCGTTGTGAGCATGATGCTCGCTGAAGGTACTTGCTACGGATAGACACTTTTTTGAGAACAAGTTTCTGAGTGGAATGGCGACTAGCGATCATGTTCATTCGATTATACGCCCTCTCTGGACATAAGAAACGCATGTGCGCGTGGCTTCTATTTCAATTCCTGGTGCGTACCTACCCGCCAGCTTCAAAACATGGTATTGAGCGTTGGCTGAACATGGGATTACAGGGGGTACATGTGACAGTATTCGTTGTGTTTTCGCTGTTCGTCAAGAGTGTCAAATGTGCGTCTCTTTCTCCAGTCACTAGCTGAAAATGGGTTGGGGTTGACGAGAGATGGATCATGATCAGTCATACCGTCCCCGCTGTCGAGTATACCAGGCTGCATACCGTACCGGTTCGATTCGCACAAATTGTTGATTGTGTTTGGGATGGTCGTGGCTAGCCAGCTTGGTAAGCTGCTTCGCTTTACCAACGTCGAAAACGGCGATGATGGTGCTAATGAGATGGCCCCTTTGAAACAGCTATAATTCTGATGACCACCTGGATAGGCATCCATAAATTCCGTTCGTCTGGTTCTCCGATTTTGTTGGTGTTTTATCGGGATGGGTTCTTCTATTTTGTCAGTTTGACGCGTGCGTATCGTTTTCGTCTGCCAATGTATTGCAGGCTGATATGCGAGTTAACAGTGGTTACTATCGGGAATATTATTTTCGATCGCAGGGCTCCGGTAAGCCTAACCACCTCTAGGTTATCAGAGAGACGGGTACTGACACAACAAAACCTCACGTTCTGTAGCCGGAGTTGAGATTCATGTTGACCTTGTGCGTACCCAACCCTTCGTTGACGGGTTCGCCCAGCTAATCCACCACTCATGCAGGCCACAAGGGGTACTCCATTCCGTCCTCGCATGTCGTCTCATCCTCCACATCTACGACTTTGCACGTCGGGAACTGTACGACTCCAGAGGGTGGGGCGGTGATAAAACTGGAACGGGGCTCGATTTTGCGAGGGATCCTACGACACATCATGATACGTTTGGTGACTCGGAAGAGACGACTGTGGCGGGGTTTGGTACCAGATCGGGTGTGAGTGTGTAGATGGGGATTGGGACTTAGGACTCTGGCATATCGTATTTCATTGAAGACATGGGGTGGGAGGACACCAGGCTGGAAACTGGCGAAGTCTGTACTAGTAAATCATTTCCTGCTACTTTAGAGCTACATCTCGGGACCTTCTGTACTATACACACGGGTTTCTTTTATCGACGTTACCTGTCATGTCGATTTACCCTCAATATATTGGCGCACAAGCGCCCAAGCTACATCGTGGGCTTTGGGAGCATGTGACGTCATACTATGTAGCACATGGGAAAGCGACGTCAAGTGCACTGCCGCAGCTCCTCTGCTCTTCAACTCATACATATAGCGACCCCATTCTCAGCTACATTCAACACACAACTAGAAGCTAACCAAGAATGGTCCGAACGTCCGACGTTGCGCTCATCCTCGTATGTGTTTTCTTTGCTCGGGTGACCCAAGTTTGTGAGGTTTCTAACGAATGTTTGAATGGAATAGATTGCAATTCTGTTCCCCCCTGCTGCTGCTGCTATTATAACTGGATGCAGCTGTGACTTGCTCATTAATATCTTGCTTACCATGTACGTCTAGTTTCTGACTCATGCCAGTGCCTTTGAAGGCATAGGACATGCCTCACCCGTCCCTAACGATGTCTGACACCCAACCTCTTCGATTTTATAGCCTAGGATACTTCCCGGGACACATCCATGCCTTCTGGCTAATTTACAAGAAGATGCAGGCGGAGGAGAGGTATGGGAATGGAGGGTTCCACTGTACGTCTTCTTTTCATCTTCAATTATACTCTCTTTCTCCAAGATACAATGGCTACACCTTTCTTCTCGTTCTACCATTCCCCACGCGCAAATCAACACCCAAGACTTATTAACTCCTTTTCGATTTACAGACGTTGGAAGCGGTCAATACGAGCCCCTCTACCCTAACCAAGGCTACCCCCAACAAGCACCACCCCCACAGCACAACCAGCAAGCTCCGTACTACGGAGCAACTGGTCAGTACAGCGCTGCTTAGATGTGCACCCTTGGATATGCTCATCGTTCGACCCTTTTACTCGGACTTACGGCGATGATTTGGAGCACACGCACAACTCGTGTGTTTGGGTTGTGCCCCTGCTTATCTGCGACCAACTTAATCTATCTGTTCATTGACGCCTGACGATGTTGTGATTGTACCACTCTCATCTGTACTACCCCTCCCTGGACCTTGACGCTCTCCTTTCTGTTACGAACCTGTTTCTACATTCCTTTCTTTTCTCCCCACTGGGAACTCGTGTGTCCCCTCCAGTTCAAGATTCAACTGTGAGCGATGGGAAGGTCACATACCCCGCGCTTTCCTAGTTCTTCACTTGCCTTCAAACCTTTCATATCTTGCCGTTGATATAAGCTGTTGTATATTACACATATTCGTGTTTCTCACTGCCAGAATGTACCGTTGACGCTGTACATACAGCGTGTTATCCTATCTCTAGAGAAATTCCTCGGACACACCCCCTGCATGTCTACTGCTAATGACCACAAACATACCGCCAACTTCCCCTCGACTGGTTTCATCTGAATAGGGAATGTTCCCAATGGTCCCTTCCAAGTGATGGCAATGGCGACTACAATGAATTAGAAAAGAACAGTACAGATACTTCAGACACGCAAAACTACAGCTACATGACAACAGGTGGAAATGGGATCCAATGCAATGCGAGTACTCTACAGCATGATGAGATGAAGCAAGATGAGGATGCAATGAATGATGATGACGATGCAGATGAAGGGTATCGTGAATATGTGAATATGATGAATGACCAGCACAATTAACGAAGGAAACTAAGATAAGATAGTCGTGAAAACGTGAATGCTCGTAAGGCCGAGGGATCATCAAGACCCCTGGATCGCAACGTGGATAGTCTGTCCATGGAAGAAAAAAGAGAATGAAGAAAAGGGAGAATGAAAGGAGGAAAAAAAACGAGATGAGCACCCAGGGGGTTACACACTTCTAGCGCTTGGAGAAGAAAAACTTGCCACCCTTGTCCTTCTTCTCTTTGGCCACACTCCCACTCCGACTGAGACTCCCATCACCAAGTGTGCTCATGGAGAACTTGGACTTTAACCTCCTCTCCCTCCTCTCGTCTTCGTCTTCCATGGCCTCAACTTCGTCTTGGTCTTCGGGTTCAACTTCCCCACCCCCACCACTTCCTCCAAGCCCCACATCCCCACGAGAGTCAAAGTCCAGCTCCAACTCCTCATCTTCGGTGGTCGTAGGCATCGCGGTGGTCCGAGCGGGACCTCGCGGTCTAGGTGTCGAGCCGCTTGCCGAATGACTAGGGGTAACGAAGGGATTCCCCGAGGGGCCAGCGCCAGCACCTACTACTTCTCCCCACCCTCGTCCACCAAAGTACGAACTCGGCCTCCCACCAGCGTACGACAAGCGTTCTGCAGGCCCTCCGCATCCATACCCGTACCTGTGTCCGAATGTAGACCCACGAGCAGTCGGAGGGTACCCCGTCGTCTGCGAGTATATCGAAATTGAATCCGCACTTGCCCGTCTGTGTCTGTACGTGTAGCTGCTGGTGTCGTTGGCCAAGGGGTGGGAGGTACCCACACCTGCCGCGTCCTCGACAAACGGCCTGATCACAATCGAGTCAACTGCCGACTCTCTGTTGTACTCTCCACGGTAGTAAGATAAACCGGGATCAGACATGATAGAATCAGGGCTGGAGGGGACGTCCGGGTGTGCGTTGCGCGTCGCGGTTGAGGGCGTGTCGACGAGAGTTTGGTTGAAGGGGTCGGGTGATTGGAAGGGGTCTCCGCTTGTGGTTGTGGCTGCTGTGATTGTTGTGGTAGTTGTTGTTGCACCTCCTGTGGCAGCAGATGTGGATACGGTGGCAGGCACAACAGTTTGAGCACTCTGCCCAAGCTCTGGAACAGCGTTTCCTTTGGACCGGATAGGTCGAACTGGGAAAGGCGCAGGCCTGAACTTGAAACTCGGAGGGGGTCGGGTCGTCTTCGGTACGGCAGCCGTGGAACTGCTTGTCGTCGTCGTCGTCGAACCCACGGCAGTCGACGAGGACGTAGAAGAGAGGGTAGAAGCAGGTATCCCACTTAGCCGTGATGGATTCTTGAAGAGGTCCTTCCAGGTTTCTTGGTTCTTTGTCTGGGTTGAAACGTCTTCACCATAGATTGGGACCTGGTCGGGATCCAGTTGTGATCCGGAGGAGGTTGGAGGTGAAGTGGAAGCTAGCCCCGGAGGGGTAGGTGAGCCACCACGACCAGAGGAAATAGGTGTGCCACCACGACCAACAGGAGTAGCACCACGGCCAGGTGGAAGAGGCGCCTTCCTCGGCTCTTCCCCGTAACTCCCAATCAGACCTATGATATCCTCCTCTTGCTCAAGCGGGATGTGAGGCATCGGCGGGGAGATTACCTTGCCTGTTATACGCGTCGAGGATGGATTTGGACGTGAAGCAGAGGCGGATGCCGAAGTTGAAGCAGAGGACGGTGCGGGTGAGTTCGTTCGAAGCGCGGGACTGGGTGAACCTGTAGCTATTTGGATCGCAGCGTTAGATGAGGTTGTACGAGTTAGTGGACGAGGAGACGGACCACCGTGACCAACAACGCTGCTAACACTTCCACTCCCATGACTCCCCCCTCTGTAATGACCCAGGTTGACACGACTCCCGTACCCAATCACGCCCTCCTCGAGGTCATCAACATCTTTGCTATCCCGAATAGTACTAGTTCTCGTCGTGCCCCTGCTCAACTCTCGCCTATGTTGGAGAGCCCGAGAGCTTGGTGAGGGACTGAGCGTGAGCGTCCGCAAAGCCGGCGAGTTGGTTGTACTGTTCGGATTGCTGGCGGTGGCGGAAGTGCTGGAACTCGTGCTGTTATTCTTGAAATGCCGCTCGCTCAACATGCGGTAGGGCGTCCACCCGCTCAACGAGTTCGCCGGGTTGGTGTTATTATTGGTACTGGAGGTGTGGGTGGAGGGAACGAGTATGAGCGGTTTCTTGCCCTTCAAGGGAGGCGGACCGCTGGGCGCGTAACCACCAGGCGGGTCGAGCGAGGCAAAGGCGATGAGCGGTTTCTTCGGTGGTGAGTCAGAAATGGACGTAATCAGTGGCTTCTTCGACGTCGAGCCACTGCCTGATGAGGCACGCCGTCTGATGGGGATCGACCACTTCCTTCTCGTCCTTTCCCTCCCTCGTTCTTCTAGTTCCAGGTTGTCGCGGTGTCGGCGGGAGCTACCGCTAAAGAGCCATTCAGACCAGCTGATCAGGTTCCACCGCCACCCTTTCTTTCCGCCCTCTTCTTCGTCGTAGTTGCGCCCGAGACCGTTGAAGACATAGGTGTCTCCCTTGGTGCTAGCCTCTTTCCGCGATCGAGCTCGCCGTCGCCTCCACCAAATCAGGAGTATAATCACCAGGACCAAGACGCATCCCAAAACGATGAGGAGGATTTGCCACCACTCCAACCCGCTTTTACCCTTGGTGGGTGTGTTGATCCCTGATATGCTTGGGAGAGGTGCGCCGCCTGTAGATGTACCCGATGAAGGTACGAGGACGAGCTCGGAGAGGCAGACACCCAAGTCGGGGACCATGACTCCTGGCGCCAGTCCATGCGCTGCATTGTCCCCATCCGCGGACGACGACGGAGGAGCACACGGCGCATCGACACATCTACCCTCCCGTAAAACCTTGAGCCCTTCGCAACTCAAACACTGCTCCTCCCTCGGACCCATACAACTCCCGCATGACTCGTGGCACCGCGCACATCGCCCCGTATCTCCATCAAACCACTCGTTCTTGTTGCGGCAGTGTGGGAGGCAGATCCCGTCGAGAAGGAGGGGGCGTGTGCCGGTGCTCGAGCAGGAGGTGCATTGGTCGTAGGAGGGACCGGAGCAGGAGGCACAGTCGGGGTGGCAGGGTATGCAGGCTCCGTTTTGTTCAAAGGTGGAGGAGGGGCAGGGTACGGGGTTGCAGGTTCCGCGGGTGGGGTTTAACAGGTTGGGGGAGGGACAGGAAGTGCAGAATGTGGACGTGCCAGAGCAGGAGCTGCAAGAGGAGTCGCAGCCTGTGGAGAGGAGAGGGGTTAGTGTGTTTATCGGGGTTTGTTGGTGACATACGTACGTTCACAGACGGGGGTGCCACCGTTGCCTATGGATGCAAACATGTTTGAAGGGCAGTCCTGCACACATTGCCCGTTTGGATGGAGAACCAGTCCTGGTAGACACGCGGTGCATCTTCGGTCATCGAACACGGTTGCGTCGTCGAAATTGCTGAATGAACATGCTGAGCATCCCTTGCCACACGCTTGACTGATAGTTAGTGGTTAAGAAACTAGATTCAAAGAAGTGAAAGACACGTACTGTCGCAGACTTTCTTCGCGTTGTCCGCTACGAGGGATGTTCCATCGCATACTCCATTGCTGAGCGTCTCGACACATCGTCCTTGGGGGTCCATGTACCTCCCCCTTCCGCACGTTCCGCACCCCTCGACGCCAGGGCCGAAGCATGTGTCGCAAGCACGATCACATACTTGACAGTTGTCGCCATCTGGGTAGAGACCTACTCCGCAAAGCTCCCCTGTAGGCAGGGGTTGAGCAAAGATCAGACAGCTCAGCCGATCCGGGGTAAGCGCCAGCCCTCGATCGGGTATGCATGAGGTGCATACCCCCGTTCCATCCTCGCATGCCTGGCACCCCTGCCCGCATTTCCTACAATCGCCGTTGGAGGTTTTGAAGAACCCTTGCGCACATTCTGAGCACTGCGGGCCTCCATTGGGCGATCTCCATCCAGGCAAACACTGGCACTCGTCGTCCTCCCCGCATACGCCGTTCTCGCAGTTGCAGGTGGAGGGCGCGCCCGGTTCGGTGAAGCGTGTTAAGCAGCGGCCTGTGCCACCGATTCCTTCGTCGCAGGAAGTGCAATTGTCCGGGCAGGGCTCGCATTCCGGGCCCCAATGCCCCGCGGCGCACTGCTCGCATGCGTCGCCTGCAAACCCGGGTGCGCAGAGACATGACCCCTCTGGTGTGCAGTATCCTTTACTCGAGCACGGCGTAGGGTTGCGTTTCGTCTGGCAGGTGATAGATTCGAGGTTATGCAGCGCAATTGAAGAGGAGACGGACGCGATTGCGGCGGGGAGCTGTTTGAAGTCGGGGATGGCGTCCCATACTGTTACGCGGCGGGTGTCGTTCTGGTTGCGGGTGTAGAAGAGGGTGGTGACGAGGTCTCTGGCGGTGAGGAGGCCTGAGGCGTTGAGTGGGATGCTAAAGTCCGACTCGACTGGCCCAGAGTCGTCGTCGATGACCCCGGCAAAGGCGGATTCGCCTGTGTAGCGGGGGAACTCGAAGATGGCGATGCCGAGGTCAAGGAAGAGTTCGAGCGGGAGTCTGGTCGAGTTGGTGAATCCTTGGGAGCCGAGCGATGTGATTCCACTTGTGGTTAGTGTGTTGTGAAGGAATTGTGGAGAGGTCGTTGAGGTGTACGTTCCCGGTAACAAGTGCAGCTGTTGGGAACTGTTGGGTATGCTGATCCTTGCACCAACTACAGAGATAGTCAGATAAAGAATTAGAAAGGGAAAGAGGGGACATACCTGTTATATTAGAGTAGCCTTGTATACAAGTCCCGGGTATACACACTACGATCGGTTCGTTATTCTGTGAATCTAATCCGCTTATCAGTCTCTCCTCAGCATCCAGATACCAAATGGACTCACAAGATATCTGCGCTAAAACGAGTGTCCATAGCAGGCCTAGCAGGCCTCGCAGTCTACGCATTGCGCTTCACGATTAAGAAAAAAACCGAATGCAAGGATGGTGGTGGTAACAAGGAATAAGGTAAAAATGGCTGCATGACTAGGAAGCCTCGTCACTTCACCCGTTTCCTCCGTCGCCCAACGGCGAAGGAGAAAAGAATAAAGTGGTTGGGCCTTGACTGCGACTGCGCCATTGTGGTTCACAATAAGGAAGACCGACGCGACCTTTGACGCGCCATTGTTCTCACTGCCGGTGGCTGTGCATCCGGGCCTTTCGGGGATCACTGAGATAGGGGCGAGCGCTGCCAAGTTGAGCGCACACAGAAGCCCAACAGAGGATCGACGCATCTTGCTTTTGACTTTTACTTCAGACGCAGCTTAAAGAGATGAATATCCTCCCGAGGTGCGCGTGAGTTAGACTTTTAGCCCCTTGTTTCATCCCCCAACTCACTCTCTGAAGTTTCAGTCATGTAGCTTTCTGACCCTATGCACCGCCGGAATCAAGGGGGCAAGGATAGTCGTTCCTCAGGACACTCGGCTCTACCGTACTAACACAGCTCTTTTGACCAATGAAGTCTAAGCTGAGAGCTCTGTATCTGCAAATCGATTTAAAGAAAAGTAGGCGCTCATGCATTCCCTCGTATACTCCTGGCTGTTTCAGAGATCGAAGGACAAAAATAGGATGCCGCCGCGAGAGAGAGAGATCAAACAACTTTAGTACGTAGGATCTGAGTCACGTGGGAAATTGGGAACTTGGGACCCATCTGTCGCTCGGCCCATAATTTAGATTACATTCCGATAGAAATGTGTACATAGAGTCGTTCTGATTACTAAATATGAGGTCTGTAACCAGAAGAGTTCAGGACAACGTCTGAACTCAGATTAGAGAAAAACTAACCTGGTTCGCCTCGAGCCGCTGGTGAGAGTGTGGATCCAGCGCCAGTTTGAAGGGGATAGGTCGAGGTTGGTGGATAGGACACGGGGAAACGAAGCATACACCCGTACGTCGGGTTGGTTCGAAGGGCATGTCATGGTGGACTTGCAGTTTGCATGAGACCCTCGAGCTCAGCTTCATCGTGGTCTGACTGACATTGGTCATCCTCCTTCCTTATCCGGAGCTACCCTGACTCGCTCGGGTTTGTGCTGTGAACGTGAACGGGCTCCTCATTGCCAGTCTCTGCGCGACCCAGCGCCAAAAAACTTCGAGCCAAACCCCGGAACAAGCAGAGAAGAAAAAGATGCACAACCAATACGGAACCGTCCACGGAAGTAGATCATATACAGAAGCCACAACAACATCAGTATATATATATATATAAAGAAAGCGGAGAACAATGTCCTATCGTGCTCGTACATATATATAACTACAATAAGTTAGTAAAACCATCCAGCCAGGGGGGTCAGTTATCAGTGCCGTCCTACAATCATCAGAATCCGTCCACCAGAAAGCATCCTGCAATCACCAGAAAATCATCCCACAGCACCAGGCAAAGCAAAAAGAAGATAAGAAATGAAAGTCCTACAAGCACCACATATTCCATCCGATCCGATATGCTACAAAAAGGGAGTTGGTTTCCACAAGTACAGCCACGATGAGAACGTTGAGTGGTTGAGAATAAATAAGTCGAAGCTTGAAGGAAGGTTCTTTGTTTAAGGCAAGAAAGAGTTTAGATCGAACTCGGGATCGAGCTCGAGATCGAGTTGAGTTGCCCGGCAAATCGAAAGCATGTCCCTTAAAGGATGTTCGTCTGCGACAGCATCTTCACTAGGATCACTTCTCGTACTGCAGAAACAAAAGCATATCCGTTAGTTCAACCGAAACGCAGGGAGGGAAGAGGCAAGAGAAAGGGGATGGAACGCACTCCTGTTGATAACAGTCGAAGTAGCCTTCGTGTCCACCGCACATGTAAGATGAGGATGGATCTTGCGTCTACGCGGTGAATGTTTCTGGTGGAGCGAGACAAATACATCGAGGAGGTCTATTACAGTGTGTGTCAGTATCTGTCTCCAATCAACGAAACAACCAGAAGTCGTCCAAAATCCCAGAGGAAAGACACTTACATTTCGCGACCGGCTTAGTCTCATTAGGCTTATCCACGTAACTCGTCACAAACGACCCAAACTGCACGCCCGACTTGAGCTTGGCGTCGAGGATGTCGAGTTTGTTGAGGAAGAGCACGAATTCGACGTGCGCGAGGAGTTTGTTGGAGCAGAGGGTTTGCCAGAGGCGGAGGGAGTCTGTCTGTTGTGGGGGTCGACCATGTTTGTGGGTGGGTGGGTAGGTTTTACGGGCGGGTAAGGAGAGGTTCGGAAATTTAGAGCCGAGAGTTTCGGCGTGCGCATGACGTTTGGGAGGAAGGGGGTTAGAGCGAGGAGGTGATGTAAAGCACCGGGTTTCATGGAGAGTAAGAAGTAACAATCAGTGCTCCGCTTGGAGATACGGGATGGTGTTACGCACCAATCGGTTAACGCTTTCATCTTCCGCCAGGACTTGGTTGAAACCGGACATGGGAGCGAGGAAGATGATCATGTTAACTGAGTAATGTGACATGGTTTGGTGGGCAAAGGTGGAGCCGAGTTGGGTTGGTAGAGACCGTGAGTGATAGCAAAGGGGGGATGAGGTTATGCGTGATGGATTGGTGAGATAGTGTACGTACCGTCGTCGAAGAACTGCGCCCAAGCAGCTAGAGACAGAGAGAACGAGAGTCGTTGGTATAGGGGCGATGGGAAAGGGGTGGTAGACACACCTCGTTGACTCCGACTTCCTCCAACGTCGTAGATGACCCATTCTTTTGCGCTCGAGTCTGCTACGTTCTCGCAGTGGATGACGTGCTCTTCAGGTCCGACGGTTGTTACTCGTGCCTTCAGGACGTCCTCTGAACAGGCTATGAGCTCCCAAGGACAGGTACAGGACGGAGTTGACGCACCCGGTAATGGCCTGTAGCTTTCCTCTGTGATCCTCGCCGCCTGGTCCAAAAAACTTTGCGTATCCCATTAACGACCAGACCAGAAGGGATGAGGGAGGACACTCACAATCCCGGCTGCTCATCCAACGCTATATCCGCAGCTTTCAGAATCTGCTGCACACCAGGATCATTCCACAGCTTCACGATATCCTCTCCGCACGCAGCCAGAATTCGACTGGCCTGCCCAAACTCGCTCATATCGCTACTGCCATTCCCTCCGTTTCCTCCATTCCCACTGCCGAGTTTACGGCCACTAAGCAAGGCTTTCTTCCATCCGTATCCAGAGGGGAAGGCGATTTCGGGAGCTTTGGCGGGGTTGTAGGCGGGGCTGAAAGGGGACGAAGAATTGGAAAGCGAGCCCCCGGATAGCGCGCGGGCGAGCGAGTCCTCGACTTGGCGCAGCGGTGCCAATCGCACCAGCAACTTGCGCAGTTCAGTGTTTTGTCCATTCTTTTTGGACGGGGGCGACGAAGCACTGCTGTGGAGGGAGGAACTGGAGGATTGTGTTGAGAGTGAGTGGGAGTGCTGGTTGGTTGAGTCGCGCAGGTTTGTGAGGCGGCTCGAGAGAAAGTTGACGAGAAAGTTGATGGAGCGGACGAGGTTGAGATGGATTACAGGTCGCCAGATTTCTGCCTGTATACGAGTTAGGGGCGACTAGAGAGATAGGAGACAGAGCGTACATCGTTCTCGAAAGCTTTAGGTGCGAATTGAAGCTGAAAGTTCTTTAAAACAGTTGATTTTCCAGACTCTGCTTGGCCTAGGGGTAATCACCGCACCCTCAGTCAACAGTCAAAAATATAATAATAACAAGTGACGTACCTAGCAAAAGAATCTTTGCCCTTGGCCGTTTCCTTCTCTCCTTCTCGGCGCTTATCTCTTTATCGATGCGGTCGTTGGTTTCTTTGGCCCGGGCTTCTCGTTCGAGGCGGTTTCTGCGTTGCTCATCCGATTCGTCGGCTGGAGGTGGGGGAGGCCATGCGACTGATGGCGACGATTTGAGGCCGACTAGAACCATTTCTCTGCCGAATACGAGGTTAGTAGGAAGAGAGGGTTTGTGGTAGAGGTCTGAGTCGGCGGAGGGGCGGGAGGCGGAACGGCGGGTTGACGTTGCACGCGCGCAATTTAAAGGAGTTCCCCGAGTGACACCACAGGCACACCGTCCCTCGAATTAATCAACCCTCGAGAAAAAGATCAGGGCAGGGGTACTTAATGTGGAATCCGTGGGTAACCGGTGAGGGCTTGAGTCGCAACGAAGGGAATGGGAGTCTACACGAGGCGGGCGCCCACTTTTGATTACTTACCTTGGGCTTATAGCAGTGTCCCAGGAGTCAGGGTATCTGAAATTCTATCCGGGGTTGTCTCGTCGCCATCTGATCAAAACCCCTTGGAGAGCATCCTCTTTTCTTAAACACTTGGGATGCTCGTGGTACGCATCCATCGTCATGCGCGGTAAATGGATCATTAGTAAACTATTCTGTAGGACATGAGATAGTGGCGACTATCGCTCAGATTCACCTGCATTCCTCCGTCTTGCCCGTGATATGTTTATTGCTGGACATCGACGTTGGTGCGTCTCCTATTCCTCCTTCAATGCACATGGACTGATCAGCTGAGCTTCATGCGGCCGCCGCATACTCCTAGATACCTCAGTGGATTCAGAGTCAACTCTCCGATCCAAGTGTCATCTGGCATCCGTCGCTACCTGGGCCGATGATATACGAAAGCAGATGCCTTGGAGTGCTTCTCTGCACTTTGTAAACGCCGTGGATGACCTCCCAGGTTTCATCGCGGGTTAAACCCAACTGAACTTAGGCACTCCTAACCCTCAAGGAGTGCCTAGGTTATCCTAAGTTTCCACCCCAGCACCGCGTCGGTTCGTTCGTTTTCGTGCTACCCCTCAGGTTTCCGGTTCTTCCCGCCTTCCATCGGGCCTTCCACTCGTCGACTCGTATCTTTGGACAATAATGAATATATTGAAACTGTTTAATGGCAACGTAGGTCCCATTGACTACTGTGGGATTCGTAACGAGGTGAGGCTTGTGGGGAGATACCGCGAGCCTTTGGAGCGACTTCCTGGAGGGCAAGAGCAAATGAGCCTGATGAAAAATAGTATGGGAATGCAGACATACCTAGAATCCATTGCCCGACCATCGTCATTCTCAGAATCAATGGCAGCTGTGACGAGGGCAGCTATAAGCGACTGATATTGCCAGGCAGATGAAGTGACACTACTCACAAGGGGAGGGAGGAGGGCAGCAGTACAGGTCACCTGGTTGCAACGCGAAAGTCAGGACAGGGAGAATGAACGAATGCGAAAGGACTCACCATACACCAGAAACTCGTTCCCATCATCTTGACGTACACCCGAGGGGTCGAATAGTCGAAGCATGGTGCCAGCAAACGTACCAAGGATCTGGCAACTACCCGTTCGCGAATTCCACCACCGGTGACACTACGACAAGCTTGAGAGTGGCGGCCAATGGCGCGGGAGAAAGGACGTCCACCGGAAACCTGCGGCTGGCGAATGTCTGTGCGGTTGATTCTAGAACGCCGAGCTGGAGGTGGGAGATGGTGCTGGACAGAGGGTGTTAGCATACATACATCCCTGAAGGATCACAAACTTCACGGCGCACCACAGATAGACTGGGGCAAGCAGCACGACCTTGGGATCTGGAGATTTGCCTGGGTGGATGCATGGTGCAACACTGAGCAACGAAAGAAAGGGAAATTGCGAATAAGGAATAGGACGGGTACTCACAAACGCTGTGTGAGCATGCCGGAACGTGCGCGCAGAGAGCAGGGGCAGGTGGGAGCGAGCAAACAAAAACTCGTGAGTAGAACCTGCTTTCAACTGGGTTCTCGCTCAATTCTGATGCCTAGCCGAGGCCGAGGCAACATGGCATTGAGCTGCAGAGCCCAGTGTCGGGCAATGGTCTGCTCACTGTGCGGGGGAGCGTCGACGAGCGATGGCGATGGTTGTCAACAGAGAGAGGCGCGGAAAAAATGTTGGTTCGAATTGCTGGTTGTAACTCCGCGGCACGTGATCGCGAAACTCGCCCCTATATTCATTTCCCATGTACGCAAAAAAGAGTCGTCGTTGTTTGTTTCAACGAAGATAACAAAATGTGAGATTTAATCTACGATGTTTTGAGAAGTATACAGGAGCATTGGGTAGACTAAGATGGCATAGAGTAGAAGAATAGATTCACGAAACAAGCAAAATAATTATGAGGGCATAAAGGTACAACTACCAGTACCGTGTACGGGTGATTAGCAGATCAGCTACTCGTTACCAAGGACGCGATGGGGCTGGTGGCAGGTTATCCAGGTATGTATAGGCGTCCCTTCTTTACACGTTAGAGGCAAGGGCATTTAAGTCTCTTGAACTTAGGTACGCAAGGTTGGGCAGGGACACATTGACGGGACCCCAAGAACGTGACTCGCATTCTGGCCGAATGGGCTGGTGTTGGCGAGAGCGATGGACTGGGAAAGGTGAACGATATCCCTCCTCCTGATTCACTCCAAGAACAAGCATTCCGGTTTCTTGTTGGTTTCTTGTTCATTTCATTGGCGACATGCACCAGCCTCTCCACCTGACAGGACGCGAACGCGGGGGGAACGGTGTCAAAGTCCGCTTTGGAGATAACGATACGAGTACGTCCTCCTCGTCCCTCGCACTGAGCTGCTCTCTGACGATGGGCTTACCCTACCCGGGCAGACCTTCACGCAGCGTGGGACACGTTCATCCCGAACAAGCTCGTTGCTGCAGTTCCTGAGCACTACGCTCGACCTCTTCCTGACTTTTCCTTCAAGTCGGGACGGTACACCCCTCCCTCCTCTTCTCGAATCGTATCAGCCCTCCGGAATAAACCTATGACCCTCTGATTCGTCGTATTTTCTGGGAAGGTGCTCGAGGGAGGTGGGGTGTACCCATCTCCGCCGGCGAGGGCTATTCTGAAATCGACACCTGGGGTTTATGCCCTACCAACAACACCGTTCCGGCCTACAGCTCGTCCCATCCATGCACTCAATTGCGAATATGCGTGGCCGGCGGAGGTGGCACTCGCCAATGGGGAGACTGATCCACCTGACTTGGACGTCCCAAGCTATATGGTTCCAATTCAGAGCGAGATGGCGATTGAGAAACTGCTCACTCAGGGCGGGCTGCGTCTGGCGGGTATCTTTAACTGGTTTTTCGCCCAGTCGGACGAATGAGGTGAGGCAAGGATGAAGTACCAAAATACCGGCGGTCAGTTTGACTAGTCGCTTTCAGAAATAAATCGATCTTGTATTGGCCTCACCACATGTAAATACCTATTTTTCCACATAAGGCAGAATGCGCCCAATAAATCCTCCACTACAGCCTTTGCAGAGCCTCCCCCAATCTCCTCAATACTTCCCTATTCTCTTCCTCAGTTCCGACAGTGATCCTGAGGCCACCATCGCAGCCCAGCTCGCTTCCTCTATACCTCACCACGACTCCCATCTCCTCCGCCAACGCCTTGTAAACCTTATTCATCCTCTCGCTCGAAGGCTTCAAGGGTGCCCCAGATGCAGTCGGCCTCTCCAAAATCCTGACCAAGATGAAATTGGCGTCGTTTGAACCGATGATCTCGCCAACGCCCAATGGTCCCTCGCCATTCTTGAGTGCGGCTGATTTTGCAAGGTCTTCGAGACCCTTGATGAGTGTTGTCCTGTTTCGTTTGAGTATCTGGACGTTCTTGCGCCAGAGATCGAGCGAAGCGGGTGAGAGGGCCTGTTCGGCGAGGTGAGCTGTTGGGAGGGAGACGTTGTAAGGTGCCTTGGCGTTGGATAGGACCTGGACGATGGGAGGTTGGGCGAGTGCGATTCCGAGTCTGCGAGGAACTTGAAATCAACCCCAGGAAGCTCTGGATACGCGAATAACTCACCGGATGCCGGCCAACCCGAAGCTCTTGCTCAAAGTCTGAGTGACTACCACGTTCGAATATTTCTCCACAGGGCTTGCTCCACTCTTCTTCCATTGTTCCTTCTCATCCTCGTTCTCGTCGCCGACGAAATCGATATAAGCTTCGTCGATGATGGCGACACTCTTGAACTCTTCCCATTCCAATAACTCCTTGATTGAGTCTAGGTCCAGCAAGGTTCCTGTCGGGTTTCCGGGAGAGCACAGGCAGAGCAGTTTGATGGTGTTTCCGAGGACATTTTGTTCGTGGAGGATAGCAGCTTTAATTGCAGGGACGTCAAGGCTGAATCGTCCAGTCTTTCCACCTTCTCCGAATGCCTCTCCAGAAGCTGGCGGTGCAACGCGGAGAGGTACCTTGACAGAAGCAACGTCGTTCACTTGCGCACATACGCCGTACATGCCGTAGGTAGGCGGAGTAGTCAAGATCTTGTCCAATTTCTCGCCTACAGATCGTCAGCCAACGTGTCACCCACTTGATAGGGTGGGCAGCGTACCTTCAACGCCCGGCTTAACGAACACTCGAATCAAAAGGTCCAGGACCTCGTCCGATCCAACACCCAAGAAGACATAATCAGTCGAGGGCAAGAACCCCAGTTCGGGACGTGAGTCGGGGAGGGGTATCGGTGCAAGGGTAGGGTCAGGGTCTTATTCAATGCTTCTGCCAACTCCCCATTCGCGTTCTTTCCCGAATCTAAACTCATTTCTGAAGGGATGATAGCATGGCCGAGAGCGTTCTCGTTTGCATCAAGGAGGATACCCTCGGAGTAGTCGTCTCTCGCACATCTATAGGGGTGCAAAGCCAGGATGTTGGGTCGAATAGCGGATTCCAGGGAGAAGTGTTTGGGGTATGCAGGTGGTTGGTTTGGTGGGAGACCGTGGATCGACATTGTGACTTAGACTGGCGATCGGGTTTGGGGAGAATTGACTAAACTCAGTTCATCAGAATGGACTTTAAGAATTAGATAGTGTAGTGAAAATACCTAGTCAGATAAGGTTTCTTTGAAGGGAGACTCAAGTGATGAGAGGAGTACCGGGGTGCTGTCGTTGAGGTGCGTTTGATGTTGTTCGTATTGGACGCTGGATCCAGATGCTAATGGGCATGCTGGGATCGTTTGTGTTGTACTCGGGGTTGGCTGGCGCTGAATCGTGATTTGGCGGTGGACTCGCACTCGTACATATGGCGCCTTCAACCGAATATTACATTGCGCACTATAGGACCTCCAACTCCCACTCCCTGCCTCTGAATCCATTTCGAGAGCGATCGAGCAGGCGTATGAGAGGGATTTCTCGCATATACCGTGAGTCTTTGTTGTGGTTCCTTTGGTTCTGGAGGGATGGTTGTTCTGACTAGAATGCGATTGGTGAAAATGGATACTTTGGCGGCTGTTCATTCGTTAAATGTGACGGATGACTTCTTTGTGGAATGGCGATATATCGGACGGTGACATCTTAAATGGACGAACGGATGGGCGGACAAACAACCAAAATATGCAACGTGTGTTCCTGCCATACAGAGTCCTGGATCGCTCGAGGAGGCCGCTTGGATACATCGATGTGCCCAGGTTGAAGAAATGGGAGGCTGGTGGGGCTAGTCCTGTGCGTCTCGTCTCTCTTGTGTCGGTCCTGTTATGTGTCCCAATTGATTCCCCTTCCCGGCTGTTGCTCGCTCTCGTCGTGTTTGATGCTTTCAAAATCGCTCGGTCTTCATCAATCCTGGGTCTACTTTCAAACGGAACTACCTTCCAACACCATCTCCAAACGGATATCTCGCATCTAATCACCCAATCCACCGATTCTGCGTGGTCGATGTGAAGTGCGGTGGGGTGAGCAGTCGGAGGATCGGGTCGATTGGCGGGTTGGGAGGATGCGGGAAAGGGATCGGAGAGGGGGTGGGTTGTGGGAGGGAGGCTATGGGAGGAGAGGGCGGTGGTGGTCAGCGTCATCAAGGAATGGAAAGAGGGCAGCTTACCGAAAGCAAAGATCGGACCCCACACCACGAAGAGGAGGGCAAAGTGGTGTGTCCCGAGTGGGGTGGGTTGAGCGCGGTTGGAGGCGACGTCGATGAGGGTGGAGAGGGTGCCGAGGGTTTGGATTACCGTGAATGCGCTGTCGGTTGTGAAGTATGGAAAGGGTAAAGTCGTCGGTCAACCGCATCGCAGGAACTAACGAACGAAAAACGTACATCTGGGACACGCTTGTCCGCCATATGGGAGGGGAGAGTTAAGCGGGTGGTGGGCGTGATTTGCGGATTGATGTTCTCGTTCTCGGATCGCCTGGAGGAGTTGGAGGAGGACCAAAGAACGCACCACCGTCAAAGTAATTAAACGCCTTGCCGTACGTCCGTATAGGCGGGACGCGTGTCGTGGGGAGCCATCGTCTTCCTCGTCGTCTTCGCCGTATTCGGGGTCCTTCTTGTCGTCGTCGTCGTTGTTCAAGTCGTCTCCTGCAGCCTTCTTATCACCTGCCTTCATGTCTCCAGGGTGCCACCGGTGTTTATGACAACAGAGAGCGACGTCGAGTTTGATATAGGGAACGAAGGAAAGAGCATCGACGCGATCGACGACGACGACGAGGTTACACTGACAACGTGGCACCAGCCGCGAGTGTGACCTGACCAGGCTCCTCCAGCTCCTCCGTACGACATATCTGTCTGCAGATTGATGACGTCATCGGTGATCTACATTTCCCAGCACTCAGCCAGTCAAATGAGAGACATCGACTTCTAATGAGGAGACCAGTGCCGTACGCCCTTACTAATGACATGACCTCCTAAGATATAAATCGAAGGTATAGCATGAGCTCTAAAACACACGTATGTTTCGACGTTCTTCCCTCTCTTCACCTCTCTTTGGAGCCTTCAGGTTCTCTTCTCCAACTAACTGGTTTGCAAGCAAGATGTCGACAACAACGAACTCGGGCGCTAGAGTTGATTTGGGCAAGCTCTCGCACAGGCTTACGAAGAATGGGCAGGTTACGTCTCCTGGGGTTAGCCTGGCGTCGAAGCGCAGGGTTGAGGAGCTGTTGTTGAAGGATGCAGAAGAGCATCATTGTTATTTTAGGGGCTCGGGGTTCCATAACCATCTCAGTCACCAGTGCGTAGCAAGTTCTGTTCACCTTGATGGGGACTCTTCGATACTCAGTCACTTTCTAGTTTGTTAGCGGCTTATGATTTGGGCGCGACTGCAGAACACTTGCAGAAGATGTATGACGTTGAAGCGAAGAGTCAGAGACCGGTTTTTGTGGAGGAGAAGGATAAGGAGATTGTGGTGGATGATGGGAATTGGGTGCAGTATTTAGGGAATCAGTCGTACGTTACACTTGCTCTCGTCCGTTGAAGTGAAGTTAGCTCACGGATGATGTAGAGCGTACGGAGCTTTCGTAACTTTCTTTGCGGAGAAGATTGAGAAGAAAGGTGTTGCGGCTACGCTCGAAGAGTATGTCTTTACGAAGGAGGCGAATACGAGTGAGAAGGTTATGTTGGTTCGACTTGTCAGTGGAGCGTAAGTTTTATGGTATCTTCATTTACAAATTGGGGACATGTACTGAGGCTATGGACGCGGATGGTATTTTAGTGTTCACCCATTCATCCAAGTTGGGTATGCTTTGGAGTTTGGGAACGAGGCAATGGTCGCTCCTGCTCTCGCGCAGACAGCTGTACACAATCCCATGGGCCCTCAACTGTACGACTTCCACCAGCGGGGTACCTCCGACACGGCTGCATCCGCGGACCAGCTCTCGATTTTCGAACTCATAGCTGAAGTCTATGCGGCACCTGAGCTTAAACCAGGGCCGTATGAGCCCGACGCACTGCACAACGCGAGGCTGAGGGGGATTCTGGCGAAAGAAGAGGTGGTGAAGAAGGTTCGGGAGTTGTGTGCCCGATTCGCCCTTCCCTCGTCCTCGGCATCCAACAATTTTGACGCCCAAGTCGACTCGACCATCCACGATCTCATACTGGCCGCCACACTCCTCACATTTGCCGTGTCGAAACCCAACAGACCGCCCCGACTCGACTTCTTCTTGATGCATTTGGTCACGTCGAGTTTATTTTTGAAGCCGATTAAAGGTGCCTTGAGGAAGGAGGAGGATAAGCTGAACTTGCTGCGGGCGTTTGTGCCGACGATGGTTTTGCTCATGTTGAGTAGGGGTCGCCCGAGGATTGATGTTGGGGTTTTGGAGGGATATACGGCCGTTCCGAGGCCACCCGTAGCGGGTAAAGGGGAGGTGAAGCTGAGCAAGGAGGCGATTGGAAGCCCCGAGGAAGATGGGGATTATAATCCATGGCATGCGATGCATGCCGATGTGCTATATCATCCTGACATGCATCTCATCAAGACGTTCAGGACGCTCATTTTTGCCAACAGGGAGTATGGGGGAGGGGGACCTGTCAAGCTTCCTGGTAGCTTCAGGATCACACCATCCCCCAACTTGTCATCACACACCGGTTCGTCGATGGAAGGAAGGGTTACCGTTGATGATACGGTCTACACTCGCGCGGCTGGCGTGCTGATGGACTATATGGGATGGGTTACGCATGGGCAGGATCCGAGGGAGGACTGGGATCGGAGTGCGTTGGGATGGGATGAGGCGTGGAAGGAGGATTAGGAAGTGGAGAAAAGGTCGGACGGGAGATACAGCGTTACCACCGAGGTTGCGGGGGTATTGATTACCATAGAGTGCTGTATATGATTCTGCCTGATTTAGGCACGTCTGTATCTTTGCATTGACTCAGTGAATGTTTGCAGTAGCGCCCGACACGACCACATTGTATTCAGTCCAATGCCGTACATCTAATGAGTCAAATGTAGACTTTCAGCTATTATTTATACACTGCAGAGTCAGAACGAGGGATGGAAACCACTTTTCTGTTGATGAGCGCCTAAGCCAAGGCTGGGCGTTGATGTGATCAATCCCGCAGCCGCACCTTTTCGAAAAGGGAGATGTGTCATTTTCTCGACTCCAGATCATGAGCATTCTCTCGTTTCGAGGCCGCGACTTCAACAGTGCCCATTCAAATGTCGACATTGACTGCACCTCCGGTACATATGCGCAGCTTTGAAACCCTACGGATCTCGCAGTACGACAATTCGAGGGCAAAGACCATTATAACATTCTGGTCGACGTTTTCTGCGGCGATCTGGAAGACCTGATAGGCGCTGCAAAAGTGACTAAGGACAAATCTCTGGCCCTCCTGATTCCGAGCCAGAATGGATCGGGTTCATTCAGACAACAGCATCAACCTACGTTCGACCGGCACTCGGTGATCGGATCTCCGAAGTTACTTGCTTTGGTATAAATCTCCGGGAGCCATCCCTCCAAGCGATGGATTTGCGAGTAATGGCATTGAGGGTAAATAATCCTTAGAACGAGCCTATCTCAAAGGCCCGACGGAATATAAGCAAACAGCGGCTTGCGCAGTGCGCATGAGCAATGCAGCCCTGGTAAGCGCTTCTGAGATATTTCATTTCCTTCCTGTAGCTCAACAGTTGCCGGTCTCTGATTCAACGCTCTCAGCGGCTTGCGCAGTGCGCGTGAGGCGTAAGTAGATCTGGTGCGGGCCATTCTGGCTCGGAAACACTCTGCGGCGATCTGGAAGACCTGATAGGCGCTGCAAAAGTGACTAAGGACAAATCTCTGGCCCTCCTGATTTTGCCCATGGCCACCGGATTCAAGCAGCTGCACCGGCAACCGGATAGTGTTTCAGGGACCAGCCCATGAGTCATGGGACTGGGACACGCGACTGTGCCATTCAAAGATGCTTCAGATGATCAGTTGCGGGGCCGACAAGTAGCTTGGAACGTAAAAAGGGAACCTTATAAGTGCGAAAGGTTCTTCGCCATCCGATTGTCAACCAAGGCCCCAACCTTTCACGCTCGGCCAAGTTCAATCGCCATCTACAATGCCCAAACTATCTGAGGCTGGAAAGCACGCCCTCGACGAGCTTGTCGTAAGTTGTTTTGACTCGCTATATCTGGGAGATCCAAACTAACGATGTATCCAGGCTCAGACTGCAAGGGAAGGCCGGCTTCCAGGATTTGTCCTTGCCGTCTCCAACGTCGACGAGCAGATCTATGCAAACGCTGCTGGTAACAGGGTCTATGGCGACCCATCCAGCCCTGCAGTTACCCCTGAAGATAGTGTGTTCTGGATCTGCAGTATGACGAAGCTTCTCGCTGCTGTATGTAGCCCAACCAATTTCTTTTCATTCTCAATGCTCACCTCGGCTTGATAGCTCGCAGCCCTACAGCTTATTGAACAGGGTAAACTCGCGTTCGACACCCCTGTCTCCAAGTTCTTCAAAGAGTTCGAAAGCGCGGTAGTTCTACAAGACCCCCATACCGATCCTGATCCAAAGTTCAAGCCTGCTGAAAAAGCCGTCACTGTCAACCATTTGATCACCCATAGCAGCGGCCTTTATTATGGAACACTCCCCACCGATACGTCCGCCATCCGCCATCGATTGCCCATTGGATACACATTCGAGTACGAGGAAGGGGAAGACAAGTACTCGAAATTCTTCGAACAAGTGAAGGTATGTGTTGCCCATTCGCTCTAGCACCTATCCCGACTTACCTTTTGTTAGGGGAAATATCCGGGTATCCCACTCATCTTTGAGCCTGGAACAGCCTGTCGGTACTTCAATCCATGTACCCACCTGTCAATGCTAACTGTCCCATGTAGTCTGCTATGGCTACAGCTCTGATGTTCTTGGGTTCATCGTCGAGAAAGTCAGCGGGCAGTCGTTAGAGGCCTACTCGTACGTTCTTCACATCGACGCGAATTTTGTTCCCAGTTCTGATTTCCCACAGGCAACAGCACATCTTCGGACCCCTGGGAGTTAAGAACACCTACCACCTCACCGCGGAACTGAGGGAACGTCTGGTTGAATTATGCTTCCGCAACCCAGATGGAAGCATCTCAGGTTGGGAGGACAGGCTACCTTTGATTCCGCGCTACCCCAAGCCAGGTATGTAAATATATCGTCCCTGTGTCGGTTCTTTACGTGGAACTAACAATGGCATTTAGTCGCAATGAACCTCGGTGGGGTTGGGTCGTATAGTACTCTCCCCGACTATTTGGCTATCCTTCGACACCTGTTGCAAATTGAAGGTATGCGACATTATCTCTTACTGCCGATGACGTAGGTTCTTACGACTCTTTTAAGCTGGTCGAAACCCGCCAAATGCAATCTTGAAGCAAGAGACGGTCAAGAGTCTCTTCCAGCCGAAGTTGACCCCTCTTGGAGGTCAAATGCTCACCGCCATTGTCGGGTTCTTGGATCCTTCGAGCGCCCACGACCTCGATTGGGGCAATGGTTTCGCAGTGAATACCGCGGATTGGGAGGGAAGAAGGAAAGCGGGCTCCGGATTTTGTGAGTGTTGCATGTGCTACAGCTATTCCGATTTTTGCGCTAACACCTCTGTCCGTCTGATAGGGTCAGGGTGGGCAGGAACTTGGTACTTCCTCGACCCCAAGACAGGTATTGCTCTGGTCTTTGGAAGCCAGATCGTGCCACCTATGGACGTGGTCACTGCCGAGATAGCAGAGAAGGCTGAGAGAATCGTCTATGCCAACCTCGAAGATTGATGTGCGAGCCTGGCTTGTTGATAGGATCTCAGGAAGTATAGGCGGCGACGGTCGAGAGGGATGTTGTCGAGGGCTCACGCGAGACTCTGGTTCAATAAGGACGAAGAGATAGAGATGGGTGACCATCAATCAGGTTATGGGATACGGGTTATGATGATAACGATGGTTGTCGATCTTGTGTGGTCCAGTGTGGACGCCTGTAAATCTATTTTTAAATCATTTTGTAGACAGATCAACTTCTAGTCTAATTTTGGCAACCGTTGCTACTTTGCTGGGTTGCAATGCGAGCAACTCGAGCTGGTTCTGCCTTCTCTGACCACGACCAGCAACGACCCCGGCTGCGGTGGCTTGTGCAGGTCGTCTGCGACAACAATCTCACCATCGCACTCGTGCAAGATACTCTGGGTGACTCAGTTGATCTTCGCCTTTGTGAGACTACCATCATGGAGCATGGCATTTGGTTGGAATGGAAATCTTTGCCTACTCCAGGGGGGTGAAGAATGTCGGGCCTGAACCGGCTTCCTGAAAGACTCCGTGTTGTAGCGTTCGAAAAGAGTCTTTTTAACACTTTGATAAACTTCCTTTCGAGTACGTGAGATACCCACAGCGTATGCCCACATGGTCAAGCGCTGATTGCAATTGGTTCCCCTGGTCCCTTGACCCGCCATCGACTGCCCAGCCTTCCCCTGCCTTGCCGTAACAGGTAAAAATGATGGTCAGACTTATCATGCCTCAGGTTGACACCATGTTGGGACCCACGGACCAGGCACCCATTTTGGAATCTGAATAGGCTCTCGTCACTGCGATGTCCGATGGAAGGGTGCCTGTTCCACATATAAACCTGGCAAGCACCTGGGAACGAACCTCTTTGTGCCGGTCGCAGTCCCTCCCTCCCCTCACGTTCCTTCCCCCCTTCACTTCCTCCGCTCCCCGACGGTTGACGACGTTGAGGTTCGCCTCGCACGTACGACGCACGACATTTTATCTCGCTTTCTTTCGACTTTCTCCACCATTCTCTAAATTCGCTTTTCTGAGATGACTGTCATCGTAGTCGTTGGTGGAGGTGCTGCTGGGTGTCAAGGTACGTTCATCTAACTTCATTTGCGCTCCTCCAGCGAAACTGACCCAACTTGAACTTGCTGGCATTGCTCTGCTCTGCTCAGTCGTCCGAGGACTTGCAGCCCAGTTACATCCCACGAAGCACAAGCTGATCCTCATCACGCCCCGTCCACAGTACATCAACCTCCTAGGATCCTTGCGGGTGATGGTCGACCCCAATGCATCCCTGAACACTGTGTTCCTACCTTTCGAGAAGCTCTTCGGACATTTCCCAGGGGAGTTGAAGGTGGCGAGTGTGAAAAGCGTCGAGGTCGCCAGGGGTCCTTACAGCCCTCCGGCGAAAGACGCCCACTTCGCGGACTTGCAGAATACTCCGCCCGTCCACGCTGGTGCCGGGGGAACACTCTTGCTCTCCACTGGGGAGATCGTCCGATACGACATCCTAGTTCTTGCCACGGGATCGGTGTACGAAGGTCTGGTAAACTTCCCTCTGGATCCAAAGGAATACCACGACCACATTGAGAAGTGGAGGAAGAAAATCTCGGATGCACAGAATATTGTTATTGCTGGAGGTGGGCCAGTTGGCATCGGTGAGTTTGCATCCGCCTTGCCTGTGTGCGTGTGTGCTCTAATATTTCCGAATAGAATTAGCAGGGGAACTCATGGATGTCTATCCTGTACGTTATTGATTCGCTCCCATACACTTGACGCCCTGGCTGACCGTGTTTCTATTTCAGTCCAAGAAGGTTACGATAGTTCAAGGAGATCGACTAGTTCTCAACGACGTTTACCCAGACCGGTTCAGAAAAGGGCTCCTGAACCGACTCCGAAAGAGAGGGGTGGAAGTTATTCTCAATGACGCCATTCGTGGCAATCCTCCGGTCGATGCGTCGGTCAAGACCAGGGAAGGGCGAGAGCTGGCCTGTGACTTGCTGGTGGGTACTTTTATTTATCCCATTCCCCCTAAATGTCCAAACCATTTACATTTGATCATAGATTACGTGCCGTGGTGGTGGCGCCAATACTCCTTACCTCAAATTCCTGCGCCCGTCCCCACTCTCGGAGCGAGGGTATGTCAAAGTACATCCAACATTCGAGGTTCTGTATCACCCTGGTATTTTTGCCCTCGGCGACATCGTCGATTGGCCTGAAGTCAAGCAAATGACCAAGATCAACTATGGCCACAATTCGATTGTGATCGAGAACGTCCTGAGCATGGTGCGCGGGGAGACCATGACAAGAATGTACAAGGGGACCACGGACATCATGGCCATCAGCATTGGAAGGGTAAGCATTCTCCCTCGTCTCCAACCCACCTTAGACTGATGAGAGCTTCGCGTTCTACAGAATGGAGGAGCGTCATATCTCGGACTTCTGTGGGGCATCGTCTTGGGAGACTTCCTCACGAAGACGCTCAAGTCGAAAACCCTGTTGCAAGAAAAGGTCAGGGACATCCTCGGTCTGAGCTAAATCACAATCTCCTTCAAGCTCATGAGGTTTGCTTTCGCTCTTTTTCATGGTGCATATATATTTAAATTTCGTTGCAACTACCATTCCTTTCCTTACATTCGCATTTCGGAATCTTGGTTGTCGTAGTATTGCCGACTTGTTTTCTATCCTGACCGCCCTATTAGTTCCTTATCGTCCCTTTTATTCTTCGCTTTCTGGTTCTCGAATCCCGTTTGCTATCTCGTTTCGATTCTGATACCTGTGTTATTAGTAGCGTTCTTGCCTTAATCACTCATTTCTACTATGTATTCCCTCGGGTTCTTCGCCTTTCTACCATCTCGGTTATCACACATGTACAACAGATTTACAGCAGTACCAATCCAAGTCTGAATTACTTACTGTAACTTGTTGTCTTAAGGAATCTGAAACACGAGTGTAAGGAATCACGATTCACAATCAACGGTACGTTATCTTTTGATAGATTCCAGCGCTTCAATAGCGCCCATCGGGGCGTCGCGGTTTCAACTCGCCGCCACTATATTGTCCACAGTCACAATCCACACTTAGCGCCACAACATTTCTCGTCGAACGCGCCGTCAACCTTCCATTGCCCGCGACACTTCAATTCCAGGTGTTTCACTTTGCCGTGAATCCTACACTAGGTACTGGCTTCCGCGGCACCGTGTCGGTCCCAAACTGCGAACATGGCCAACTTCAAACTACACACGCCGGCATTGCCACTGCCTGTCTTCAAGGCTGAAGAGCTCCAAGGAGGATACGGGGCCGGAAGCCGCCATAAATGGCTTCCATGTGCAGCACCCTGCAGCACCCCTGCAGTCGTCCAGTGTGACAGCATAATAGGCGCCGGTCTTCTTTCGAAGGCCAAGTTTTAGATCGTTGCGGTATTTCTTCTCTAATCCCGACGCTAGCTACAAGAAAAGGTGAGCTCGTAACGTCTGATATAAAAGGGAAAATTTCCGGACTTTAGGCCCGGAACTGCGTAGCCCTTGGAAAGGAGCGAGTCAGTGGATAGGAAAAGCGACTATGCTTCACTGCTTCAGTGCTACTGAGCGCTGCCAGCTGACTGACAGGATAGAGTAGTGAGAGTTTTAACTCGTGTCTATGGTCTCCTGCCTCCGATCCAGATCTAGCATGATGAACTGAGGTGTTTTTGACCATACGAGCAGGAAATGAGAAAGCTTCCGAGAGCGGTAGGGGACTCGGAGAGGCAGGTGATTGGGCGGCCCCTTTCGGAGGAAGGGGTAGCGACGAGTAGAAGTTGAGTTTCCGAAGAGCTCCCTCCTGTCATCGACGAAGAGGAGCGAAGATAAATCATCTCTGGATACCATCCAAACCCTTTTATTAATCCGTAAGCACAAGGTTTCATTGAAATCCGAAAGAATATTAAGCGCCTACCACTGACATCAATTCTCAATTGATGCGCTACCATCGCATCAAGCTTGTCAACTACTCTCTCCACACTTCTCGTGCTTCGACAATCTCACCAAAACATCCACACTGCACAGCATGTTACGACATTCACAGCAGTGAGAGCACCGACTGGGGCAGGAGGATTATCAAGTCATGGGAACAGATGAGCGATGTCCGATACTGTCTAGATGACCTGCTCACACTCTCTCAGATTGTCACAGACTCGCGGTCCTTGTATGTCATGACGCCCGTCCAGGCACAATGTACCCCCACCGACAGAATCGAGGGACTCGGAGCGCAGCCCCGTTGCGGCTGAGAGTGCGTTAGTGCGATTAGCCTACGGAGAGGCCGAAGCCGAGTGGAGTTTGTGGGTTTACGAGAGAGATGTGAACGAAGGCCACAGGTTGCATGTAAGCCCGCAGTGCACCTACCGGAGTCTACATCCAAACTGTTATCCACCGTCGCCCACTCAGCCACGTCACCGCCCGCGCTGCCCTGTACCAACGAGACGATTTGGGGGAGGAGTGCCCTTCGACACAGCCATTTTGACGGCAACAAGCCCGCCTTACTGAAGATGCTCGTCTACATTCAGCACACTGCGATATTGGGCCTTGCATGGGCCTTGTTCGCAGTATCCCTACTTGCAGCCTACATCTGGGGCAACGATAGGCGACTTGTTACCATTCCGGAATCAGTCCAAGCTCTTGGACTAGAAGCGGTTACGCCGGAGGACGTCAAAGCCGAGGTTTTGAAGGTGCAGGGAGAGGCCTCTAATGGAAAGAGAGACGAAGAAAAGGGAGAATCGTACGAGAGGGAGCTGGAGGAACAATTGCCGCCCAGAACTGGGAGGAGGTATATCGTGGTTGGAGGGGTGAGTGATGTGTGTTTGGGTTTAATTTTGGGTGCCAGCCGGTCTTCCGAGCGGAGAAGCCCATAGACATAGTTGGGCTCACCCACTAATCTCTGTTGGCTTTCAGGGTGGCTTCCTTGGAGGGTGGATTGTCCTTCACCTGCTGAAACGAGGCGAAGACCCGATGAGCATCCGGATTGTTGATTTAGCGCCCACGCCCGTCAACCCACTGGTGCGGGAGCAGGTCGGAGAAGGGCGAGGTGTGGAGTATGTGCGTGCAGATGTGACGGATGAAAGGGCAATCGAGGAGGCATTCAGTGCCCCTTGGAGTGATGAGGAAGCTCGCAACTCAGTTCAGTCTGGAGCTCACGAGGGAGAGAAACCGACACGCCCAGGCCTTACGATTTTCCATGCAGCAGCGTCTGTCCGATTCTTCGAGCGCCACCCTGCTTTCCTGCCAAGGTCGACGTCCGTGAATGTGGATGGGACCCTGAATGTGTTGCGAGCTGCGACAAGCTCTCGTGTTAATGCGGATGTTCTTGTATACACAAGTTCAGCGGCAGTTGGGTGTAGGAGTCACAGAGCGTTGGGGTGGCCTTGGGAAGGGCCACCAGAAAGGCTGTATCAAGTGATTAACGAGGGAGATGGCGGTTGGGAGGACGATAAAAACGTCGAGGAGCAAAAGAAGAGGGAGGATTATTGCTCCACATATCATCAGTCCAAGGCGATTGCGGAGACACTTGTGAGGAGTTGGGATGGGAGAACGGTAAATTTACCCGACGGGCGCACAATGATCCTACGAACAGGCTGCATTCGGCCAGGGAACGCAATTTATGGACCTTACGGGGCATGCTGGATGGACGACTGTCTCGAGCGCGGATCGACACCTGCCTGGCAAGCGCACGTTGTCAGCTCATTTGTCTATGTGGAGAATGCGTCGCTTGCACACCTATTGTATGAGCAACGGCTTTTGGATGCCGCTACCGTCAACAGGAAAGGGGAATGGCGGGAAGAGAAGGAGGGCTTGGGTTGTCCTGTTGGACGGGCTCTACCTGATATCGGTGGCCAAACATTCTGTGTGACGGATCCTGGCCCGCCTGTGTCATTTCGGGATATACACACTATCATGGGCATCTTCACAAACGGAACGGTGCGCTTCACGCATATATCTATCACCTTCATGGTCCTTCTCTCGCACCTGTTTGAAGCTTATTCCCTTCTTCAACACTATGTCGGGAGAGTTTTCCCTTTGCTCGGAAAGCACTTACCGATGCTTTCCGGCCATTTGCAATTCATCCAACCCGCCATGTTTAATGGGAATACGTGCCATTTTGTTGTGGATGATCGGAAGGCAAGGAGGAGTCCTGGCGAGGGTGGTTTGGGGTACAAGGGAGTGTGGACGACGAAGGGGGGTGTTGTGAAGACATTGGTGGAGTATTACTCAGGAGTCAGCACGGGGTTAGAACGGGACGGACAAAGTACAATTTCTAGGTCGAGGGTCTTACGATTGTGAATGGTCCATGTAGTATATACCGGGACCAGGCACGGGGCAATAAAGAGTATGCGGGGGATAGTTGTAGTGTCTCTATCCCCAAGGTGCATCAGCTTTTCCACCTTTGAAGGCAGCTGCCAGCTTTTAGTTCTTGGTGTTGAGAGAATACGGCGATACATGCCAATCCGTGTAGAGATGCGTAGAGGAGGGGAAAAATATGATTGAATGTTCGCGAATGGAAAGGAATAAAGGACATTCAGACTATATGGTATACGACCAGGACAGAGCTGTGAACCCGTCTTGGGCAAAGGGTGATACGAACGTGGGGCAAAGGAGCAAATGCAATTGATGAGCAGGGAATAATGATGGGGATGGAGGAACAGAGAGAAAAGTAAGACATAAGTAGTAAAAAGCATGGAGGTAGAGCAGAATTTTAAGGAAAGCTGGGTTGGATTAAAGTAAAGGGTCCGTATGTGAGGGAAGTCGTAAAGTTGGGAAGGAGGAAAGGAATTCGGCCAATCATAATCCACGCGTTATCCTCCCCAAGATGCGACAGTACAATGATCATACCGACGCACCTTGCTTCTGGTGGAAATGAACTGTAGATTTTAAGAATGAGAGTCAGGGAAAACGAAAGACGTCGACGGCACATCGAACCCAGTTGTCATCACTGAAGCCCATTTCGAAACGAAACGAGATAAATGAGACAGGGCGATGAGCTCAGGAAAGGGATGGGCTTTGAAGCTGTTTTGGGAACGCTGAGAATGAATGGACCATACCATGGCAATAAGTACAGGAAACGGAAGGCGGGAGTCGAGAGTCGAGAGTCGGATGTGGAAGACAACAGGCGGCGGAGGGGGTCTCAGGCGGAAACACGTCGTGAACACATCATGCAAGTTACTGGGGCCATAGGGCGGGTATCGATGTCCAGCGACGAGTGGGGTAGGGCGGAGGGAAAACAAACGGTCGTGGCCTGCCACTTCAAACACTATGCACAGCACACACACATGCACGCAGAACGAACAAGGATTGACCGTAGTTGGGGAGTCGGAGTTGGAGACAAGGTCTTGGATTCTGTGACAGCCTGCTGATGGATGAGACGAGGGGTAGGGACAGGAAAGAGGTGGGCAGAACGTCGAACAAATCGAACAACGAACGGGGGGCTGGCGCTGGCGACTTTTTTTTTTAAGAACCCTTGTGGGTAACACACCGTTAGCGCCTGATCCACGGGCATCAGGACCAGAACCCATCTTGCGGGAGGATAAAGGCAAGAGGTCAAGTCCTTTCAACATGACGGGGAAAAGGGGTTATGCTGTTAGCTTGGGATCTAGGCGAAGCGGTGTGGCCCGGGTCTTAAAATAAACAAAGCGCCGCAGTCGAAATGGCAGTCAAGGCGATGGCAGCTGGGGTCTGGAGTTGAGAGCACAGAGCAATTACAAGGAGACAGAAGGTACAGTCGGAAGGCAGCTCGAAATGCGTGACAGGGTGAGGACTTACCAAATCGATGTTAACCTGGACACGGACGTCGAAGAAGTTTCGGGCTTGAATGAAGTTACCCCCGTGGATGGCCATACGGTGGGCGTGTTGAAAGAATTCTGTGGGATATTTTAGGTGAGGTGACCAGTGCTAAGACAGTGCGAGCGGTTAACGTACGAAGGGGGACCTCTTCGGGCTCGTGTTCAGGCTCGCGCTCGCGTCGCCTGGGATCCATGATAGGCCAGTTGACGCAGAGCGGTGGGTGGGACCAGATCCCGGGAAAGGGGCGGGGAGGGAAGGAATCGAATGGCCCAGCGGGGTGGCTCCAACGCTGTGGGCTGGGGTTTTAAGCTTGAAAGGCGACTCGATGGGGATGGGACAAGCTGGGACATACAAAGCTTGCCATATCTCACTTTCCCCCTGGAAGGGGTTTATGGTCATGGACACTTGGGCAAGCTGCAAAGTTATATTTAGAACCAGGGATGACGTGTATGCAAGAACTCACTAATGCGAGCGGGATGTCAGGTGCGGTGGTTCGCAGACTTATCTTCTTCCAATCTGGTTGAGGATCCCGTGGAACGCAGGTTTACTTGACCGAACGGTCGCAGGAATTCCAAGCGGTCAAGAGGAAAAAAACGAGCGCAAGATAAAGCTCATCTCCGTGGCCCCTCATGGTCTTCATTGCAGAGGGTCTTTACTACCCTGTTGTGTCAGTGCAAGCGGCCAAGCACTGAACCACATTCCCTGGGGCGTGGCTTTCATGACTCTGGCGTAGCAGGTAAGTTGAAAGAAAGTACTGCTGTGGAACGCGAGCCAACGTTGGAAGGTTGACGGGAAACAACGACACACCTTTAGCCTCTAATGAATGGCTGTGAACACAGCATCATCCACAGCTATATGCTTGGAGGGAATGTTCGATACAACAGTCGAGTAGGAATGAACGAATGTCACCACAGCATGTCCGTTTAGCTTTCAGAATGGATGTTCTGAAGCGAGACGTTGGTAGGTGTAATCGATTTAGAACATGAAGGGTACTCACGCGACTGGAGCTGTAGAGTACGACCTTAAGGTTCGTCCCGCACGGCATATGGTGTTTTATAAACAACAGCGATTAGAATGGAGAGGTTAGTTGGAATCGATGAGAATGAATGAGGATGGGAGGATGTGGGTGGGGGACGCGGTGTCAAGCCATGGCTTCTTGTGCTTGACGTTGAAGGGAGTGAACCTGAGGTCAGCGCCCAAGGGTGTTGTGTAAGGCCGGAGGGATCTCGCGCCTTAGCGAATACTTAGGTATCCGTCAGGTTCGGTTGGGCGTTCAATAAATGATAGCATTCGAGAATACGATACAGATACAAGGCATACATAAGAGTTATTACCTGGGGGAGCATGTTAGTAAAAGCGCGACTCAATTGTAAGATGGAGAGGGATGGTAAAAGGTCAGAAAAGCCGGTATTTTCAGTTGGCCCGAAACCACAAACACACTTCCATACGGATCGGCGCTAGACCAGCAAAACGCTGGAAGAGCACACGAAAATCCTGCGTTCCCATCGACCGTACCTACTCAGATTTGGGGTCTGAGAGTAGGGCCGAGTGGTTGGCAGGACCGACCCGTATAGCTGCGGGTGGGGTGGGTTATCAACGAATGGATGAACTTGGTTTCTTCATTCGAGTAATCGAGGTTTTGATGGAGGGGAAGTGCGTATTGGATTAAAAGATGCTCACAGGGTTGTAGATATACGATAAGTAGATGCAAAAACGCGGGAATCTAGAACTGAGAGGTAGTTAGTATGGCGTTTGAAGAGGGCGTAAAATGGAGGGATCAGAATATTTTTTTTTGGTAAAAGGTTGTCCACTACAGAGCGATTGCCCTTGAATTCGGAAGCAGAACTGATTTTGGATCATCATAAAGAGCGGTTGGAGGGGATTCTTACCTGTCGTGCAGAGAGGATGAGGAATGGCAGGAATGTGAAAAAGGTGTGTGGGAAAACACGTTTTGATAGAAAGGTTGAAGCGGAGATCGAATCGCGTGCAAGTTCCATCAAGCCTCCGGCAGCAGCCTTTGTCGAAAATTTCTCTTGTTGTCGTCGTTGAGAGAACGATCCCAGCACTCAAGGTAAGCCTCGTTTCGTCTTTATCGCTCGAATTTATTGTTCCTTTCGTTTGCTTTGATGATATTCTCCCTTTTCTCGACCGGTGACTTTTGGTATGAGCCATTGTCGAAACATGCATCACCAACTGAGCCCTGCAACTTTCTGAAATCGCTATCAACAGTTTTACTGACGAATATCTCCTTTATAGGTAGAACCGATGCATAGGAGCATGGTGTGAGTTGAAAGAACTCGAGTGCAGTGATCGTCATAAAGACGAAAACCGTTAGCGGGCGACTACTGGAATGAGCCCCCAGTGCTAACGTACTCACCACCCGCTGAATGAATTCTATGATGCGGTGTGCTTGTTGGAGGGATGGCTTTACTGATTAGCTTTCGCTCTATTTCGCTTTTGCAGGCTCGACTGGCGACGAGCGGAAGAGATTGGGATTACGATGCGATAGGTGAGCGTTTGTTCCTTATTCAACTTCAATGATGCTTCGAAAATATACAAGCATATGTCCGAAATTCCTTTGTGACGGATAACTATGTTCGCCTGAGCCTTTATCTGATGTGTCGTTGGTGACCTTTTGCTGATAGATTCTCCCCAGATGGTGGTAATGTCGTATAGCCAGTAGCTGTTATGTATGTAGGATCAATACACTGTTTTCAGTCCATCTTGTCGTGAGCGCCCATTTAGTTCCGCTTTGTGCATGACTCGGGTCAATCGCCGCGTGAGCCGAACCAGCAAAGTTGTTCTTGCTCCCGAACGTCGATGATCTAAATGGCTCCTGACCTCGACCCTCCAAACAACAACCAGAGTACCAACTCGAAATGGCACTCGATACGACCGTGGAACGCCCAGCTATCTTTGTACACCCGTGAAATTACCTCCGTATCAGCCACCTTCATTTTAACAACAGAACCCAGTGGGGGTGTCGTGGAAATTGGAGGCGGGACTGCTACTCCTGTGGCCACTCCGTATCCTCCAGACCGTCATCGTCAACTTGAAGACGAGGAGCAGGCATCGACGACGTCTGCGATCGTTCATTCGACCTCGAAATCGAACAAGAAGCCGACCTCGCTACTTGCTGATATCCTATCCAAGGGACTGCAGGTGCGGGTGAATGGTGTCCATTGGCAGAGGGTTTTGATTCGGATTGGGGAGAATGGGGATGAGGGCGTTGTCATTGTATATGGGCTTATGCCTGGGAGAGAGTATGATGTTGATTTGGCTATTCCCCAGAGCCAGAGTCAGGCGCAGGAGAGGCAGGTCGCGGGTGGTGGACAGCCTACTCAGCAGGGCGGGGCGGCGACTGTGATTAGGAGGCATGTTTTGACTGCCGATGGTATGTCTTTTTTTTTTCTATTTGGTGAGATTTTATTGACGGTGTATAAGAAAATTCAGATCCGGATAGTACAGGCGAGACGTCTACCGATCCAGATGAGCATTCCACTTCGTCGGGCTCGGATCCTCCTCAAACCCTATCTACACCCTCCACTTCGCCCAGTCGAACGATTCCTAATACACCCCCTGCTACTCCTCCACCGTCTACCTCCACCCCTGCTGCTATAAGCCTCGAAGAACGCTTAGCCCAGCTCAGGCATAGTCTGGCCATGGTCAATGCGGAGAAGGATGGTTTGTTGGCGTCGATCAAAAGCGCTAGGAAGGACTCGCAGAAAGCGGATGCGGCTGTGAAAGCAGAGATTGATGCTTTGAAGAGGGCATCGGAGAAGTATGCTGTTGCGGAGGTTAGGGCGAGGCAGAAGGTGTTGGCGTTGCAGGAGGCGGTCAAGCGTGCGCAGGCTGCTACGAGGGAGATTGAGAGTGAGGTTGGGGAGGTTGAGAGTGAGATTCCCGGCTTGGAAAAGGTCAGGAAGGGGAAAGAAGAGGAGTATGAGAAGATTAAGAAGGAGGCGGAGAGGGTTGGGAAGAAGAGGGAGGAAGAGATGGAGAAGGAACGCAGGAGACATGAGGGGATGAAGGCAGAATTGGCGGCGTTGACGAACAAGTTGGAAAAGTTGATGGCGAAAAAGGAGAAGGTGGAGGCTGGGGCTATTCCGGATGCAGAAAAGAAGTTGAGGGAGGTGATGAACGAGGTCGAAGAGGAGGAGAGGATATTGGAGAGGGTTGAGTGGGAGGTTATGATTGTTCAGCAGCAGCAGCAACAGCAACAACAGCAGAGTGAACGGGAGAGGATTCAGCAACAACAACAACACAGTCCGACACAACACTTTCATCCCAGGATGGCGTACGAACCGGGGTATCTCCCGCCGCAAAGGACGAGGCATACCAGTTTGAATGGAGCCACTTCGACGACCAACGCCAGCACGAATGGACCTGGACCAATCAGTCGACCTAGCCTCCCTGCTCCCATTCAGCGGCCCAACTTTACCTCCCCCAATTTCGCTTCCTCCGAACGATCCAACTATACTGAGATGGGCACGGGAACGAGGTCGATGAATCATTCAACTTCGTTATCGCATTCGTCTGCGAGTTCGACTAGTACGAATCCGTTTGTGTCGAACTCGAGTATTTGGACGTCACCTGCGCGGTCTCAGCCTAATTTGCATTATGGGCATCACCAGCATCAGCAGGCGTCGCAGGGGCAACATAGTAAACAATCCCAGCAGACCGTTCCGGTTATTTTGACCAATCCGGCGAGGAGGGGTTCGTTGGGTGCTTTGAATGTCCTACCGTCGAGTGGGTCGACCAGTTCATTCGGTGGCTCTTCCTCTGTTACCTCGAATGTACCCCCGTTATCGCCTTTGCAGTCTAAAAATCAGGGATCACCGTCGGCTGCACCTGTGGCTTCGAGTAGCACGCTTTCGAGTCGGGCACCTGCGTTTGAACCTGGGAAGGGGTTGGGGTTGAAGATTTTGACTGGTGCTGGTGGATCGGGGTCGGGTGGAGGTCAGGGAGGACGGAGTGGGAATGGGGGCAAAGGACAGTCGCCTACGAGGGGAACGAGTGGTGCTGTGGGGGTTATTGGTGCTGGGAGGAGGTGATTTGTCCTTATCTGGCATTTGTGATGGCCTGGGGAGAGGGAGGGAGAAGCCGGTTGTTGTGTTCATACTCATTTGTTGCATTCTTGTACATTTCTTTGTGGATTCAGTTCAATGTTCATTGTCATTTTCTATATGGCGTGTGCTAATGGTGTTCGAGCTGTTGTGATTTGTTCTATCATTGTGATTGGCGCTACTCAGCGCTTGTATTTCTCCTTTCCGTCGGCTTCGCGCTCGACGTGACTAATAGCTGATTATGGGTCTACTTGAACGCCGAGGTGTTAGTGTCCCGATCGCAGGAGGTATAATGTAGCCCGACACCCACTGGATATAGAGGTGGTTTCCGAGCACATGGAGGTGTGAATATTTTTTGGCAGTTGTTCGGTTTTTGTTTGGGACTGTCACCGTTGGGGCTTCCCACCACTCCTTTCGCTCTGTCCACCACCACCACGGCATTGCGTGACCCTACCTGGCGACTCGATCGGAGTGCTAAGGTCTCCTACATTAGAAATCAGACGACCCCGGTTAGCGAACGACCACAGGCGATAGCGTGATGACTCTCCCGCAGATTGCGCTTTACCTTCTCTCTTTCGTCGGCCTCCTGGTTCTGTATATTCGACATAATGATAAACGGCTTAGGACGATTCCGGAACGAGCGAAGAGGGTGTCGGGGAGGAGGGTTGGAAGTGAGGATGTGGAGAGGTTGAGAAGGGGGATGGAGGCGAGGACTCGGTCGAAATATGAGCACGCGAGGACGATAGGGAATGGGAAGATATTGGAGGGCGGGGATGGGAGTGGGAGGAGGCTAGATGATGTGTTGAAGGAGAAGTTGCCCCCGAAGACTGGGAGACGGTATATTGTCCTCGGAGGGGTGCGTGTCGCTTTTCACTGTATTTACTTTTGCTAACGAACACTTTTATCGTTGGCATGCGTATTACGTTCCGAAAACGCGATGCTTAGAGTGGGTTTTTAGGCGGCTGGGTCGTTGTGCACCTCTTACTTAGAGGCGAAGACCCTAAACGGATCAGGGTACTGGATATAAACCCACCGGTTAATTTTGAGGTCGAGGAGGCGAGGAAGAGGGGGCTGCAGTATTTCAAGGTGGATGTCAGGGATTCCGACGCTGTAGAGAAGGCGTTTTGTGCGCCCTGGCCCGAGGAGGAACGCAATTTGGACAGTGATGAAATTCCGGTCACGGTCTTTCATACAGCAGCCAACATCCGCTTCTGGGAACGTCACCCTGTGTTCTTGGAGAGGTCGACTAGCGTTAACCTGGAAGGAACGAAGAACGTCGTGAAGGCAGCGAAGAAGATAGGGGTTGACGCTCTCGTCTACACAAGTTCGGCTTCGATTGGGATCAAGTCTACACGGTTCCTGCTATGGCCCTGGGAGAAGGAACCAAGAGATTTCGTGCAGGTTATCAACGATGATGATGGGAGGTTGCCCAAAGAGCACTGGGAGTACTTTAGCAATTATGCGGTGTCGAAGAGGCTGGCGGAGGAATGGGTGCGGGGCCAAGATGGGACGGCTACGGGCGTGGCGGAGAAGGGGAAGGTCCTACGAGTGGGTGCTATCCGACCGGGCAACGGCGTGTTTGGTCCCCGAGGAGACTTACTCTGCGGTGCGCTCCTGGTGCGCGAATCCAACCCTACCTTCCTCGAAAACTCGGTTCAGTCGTTTTGTTACGTCGAGAACTGCGCCCTCGCCCATCTTCTTTACGAACGACGACTTATCGACCTTGGGGAGGGGAATGCGAAGCAGTTGCCAGATATTGGAGGGCAGAGCTTTTGTATTGCGGATCCGGGACCCGTGCCGACGTACGGCGATGCGTATACGGTGCTGAACAGGCTCTCGGAGGGCGAGTGCTTTTTCGTTTATTTGTCTCCGACGATGATGCTTTTCCTGGCGTTTTTGGTCGAGGCATACTATGTGGCGCAGCACTTCATCACCGCCGCTTTCCCATTCCTTTCGATTGTCCTTCCACCACTGAAGGGCGATACAGTTAACCTACAAACAGGTCTCTTCAATCTCGCGAGCGTACATGTCGTGGTGGATGACTCCAGGGCAAGGTTGAGTCCGGAGAAGGGAGGGTTGGGGTATGAGGGTGTATGGACAACATTGGAGGGGTTGTACAAGACTTGGGAGGAACATCATTTGGGTGTGAGTCGGAGTGAGGCGAGGAGTGATGCTGCTGGCATTAGTTTGGGGTGGTTGAAGAGGAAAGCAAGAGGAAAGCCAGCTACAATGAATGGAAAGAGGATGGAGGATTCTTGTCTAATTGGTGTGACACCTGTGGTTGATCAGAATGGGGTGAATAACTTGGTTCCAGCAGTGCCTGTAGAAGTGGCAAATGTGCAGTAAAGTCATTAGTGTATTAACTTCACGAGAGATAGTGTTGAAATGCAAGGGTGCACCTGTACGGGTACCCACACCCTTGACACAGGTACCCATGCCCCCAAAATCCATACCTGCACCTTGCCTCTGGATCAGATAGTGTGCTACAAACTCTGCCTCTGTTACTAACTCTTCACTCTCCTATCCCCTTTCCCTTCTCTCTGACTACATCACTTCTTACCCTTATTCCCAACCTTCATATTTCCGCCTCTTTCATACTTCCGTTCCTTAAGGCTGAGCACGGGTACATCCGCGGATATACCTGTACTCATTATTCCATTCCGCACTCACCACTCCGTTACTGTTAGCAACCTGCAAGGACCAGCCGACCGAGGCGACCCGCAACTGAGGGCTGGTGCGGACCGCGTGGAGAACTTCGTAACCACCCTCTAGGCGCCCAGATTCTGCATGTGACCTCTCTATACTTCTTTATGACTTCATTCTTTGCTTTGCTATTGTTCTTTAGAATCGTCTTACTCATCCTCTTCGCATTCTGCGGTATTCCACATTTCTCATAACTCAGTTTTATCTCTTTATTAAACACTTAAGACGATGTACCACTGCAAGTGGGGAAGAGTTACGAGTCCGTTAGGAATCGTTTCTTTGCAACTCAATTTTGCCCTATTTTTCAGACTTCATTTCCTCACTTCATTTCATCATTTGAAACGCTTCTAACCCCTTAATCTTTAATGAGCATTGACAGCTTATGCTAGGTTAATATTAATGAAATGTAATCAATTCTGATGTAAATCATGTTTTCCAATCATACAAAACTGATCCAATCATGATTGAGATCAATTTTTTGACGGAATTTTGATTTGTAATCAATCCATCAATCAATCAATCAGTTCTGATTCTAAGTCATTTTTAATCTATTTTTGCTTGCCTGTCCTTTGTAATGGAGAGATAGGTAGCACAACTAAGTCATGTGATTTGCTCTCATGCAAGTCTAGTGAAAAGCAAGGGTAGGCTGACCCCTGTGGGATTACTCAGCTTAAATAAGCTGAGTGTAATTTAATGCGAGCGCGCGCGCAAAATGGCCACTCCCATTAGTCAACTGGGAACCTTTTACTATATTTGGTAGGTGTCTTCAAACTCATTGCTCTCGAACTCTCATTTAGAAAATTCTATTATTCTAATTTGCTTTATAACTCTTTAAGTTGTTTAGATTTTCTCCCTCAGATATAAAATTAATGATTAAAGTGAGTAATGATGTAATAAACGGAACTGAGAGCTAGCCAGCCAAGGATTTCCGGCTCAAGTTCAGACAACCACCTTCCACCTTGGAAAATTTGTATCTTGGTATGTTCGCAATACATTTCCGTGTTTCAGGGCTTGTTGTTACGGTCAAGGGACGCGAACTCGAGTGAGCATGCACGTCGACTGTAGAGTCGTGGTTCCGAGGCGAGTTCGAGAATATAGGCGTCTAAGAGTGCCTCACAAGAGGTATTGTCTTAAGACGACTAGAGCGAGTTCGACAGAAGAGGAGAAGTGGGTATGATTCACGAGAACTAGCTAAGGAACAAGAGAGGTATCTACAGAGCTTATATACCTATCTAGCTACGTGAATATGAGTCAAGAGAAGTCAGAGAAGAAGGCTGTGCGAGCACAGGTTACTGCGGAGCGCAGCAGAGATAAATTAGAGAACAATAGAGAGTGGCTGCGCCGCAGCAAGAAGGAGTCATAAAGAGTCAAAGAAGGCTGCGCCGCAGCAGTAAGAAGAATTAACTGATAAAACAGTCACGAGATAAAGAAAGGGATCATGTGAACAAGAAAGTGAGTCATGTGATAGAGAAAGGACGCGAAGAGAAAAGATAGGGGCGGAATTCGTAACATTACCCCCTTTGTATGATTGAAGTCCCTTCAATCCCAACTACTAGCGTTGGGGCCAGGGGTAGACCAATCGGGGATCAGACTGTCATCCCAACTGTTGTTTCCTGCGGGGGTTTCGTCAAAGCAGACCTTCTTTCCTCGATCGGCTTGTCGGAACTTGAGGGGAATCTTGATCCCGGCGGACCTCCTAGAGATGGCTTCTTGAGTCGTCCTTGCATAATCGTGGGCGGCTTTCGATCGTTGGTAGCGATTGCGATGATGGGCCCTTCGTCGTTCCTTCTCAAACCCGCACTCGCGGATGACGTGCCCGTCACGCTTGCAGTTGTAACAGGTCTTGAGGCGGCTGGCAGGAGAGTGGTAGGGGGAATTCTCGTAAGGGGGAGTGTAGGTGATCCAGGCGTATTCTTCTCTGGCCTGTCCAGTCGGTGCGCGCCGAGAGATCACGAAGGTCGATGGAGGCGGGGACGATGGCTTTGTGAAGGGCTTTGTAGACAATTCCCTCGCATTTCTCTTGGAACTCTTCCCAAAGGAAAAGGCGGAGGTTGATGAGGGTGACTCGGGTTTGGGAACCTACGCGCCGGTCTTGAGGGGGAATGCGAAGAATGGCTCTGTGAATCTCGACCATGTGGCGGTCGAGATTTCGGAGGCGGTCTAGGACGATGTGATGCGCATATCCTGCACATCTCTTGAGGTTAGTCCAGTCGCGGGGATCGGCGAGCAGGTGGATGAGTTCGGCAGCGCAGGTCATAAAGGTGGAATTACCCCCTTTGTTGGGGTCAGTGGGTTCGTTGGCAGGGGTGTTTTCAGTGGTAGATGTTTCGACAGCGGTGGTTTCAGTGACTGATTTGGTGGAGGGGACAGGGAATTCGAAGGTGAAGGCGGCACCAGAGTCGATGATCATGTTGGTCATTTCGGAAGGGGAGAAGGTGTGAGAGTAGCGAAGGGGGGCAAATGGATTTGTGGGGTGAAGTAGCAGATGGGTGGTTTGCTGGGGAAGTGAGTCTGACTGGTTGGACCTTTTATTTCCGAAGTTGTTTGCGGTTCTTTGGTTTTTCTTTCAGATGAGTCGTCTTGTATTGTGTCAGGATCTTGCTTGCTCCGGTCATGAGGTTGTCTTCATCTTCCCACGTTGCTTCTTCTTCGGAGTAACCTTTCCAAAGCACAAGGTACTCCAGTCCGCTTTGGGTTTTGCGGTGTTTCAGAATGCGCTCGATTTCGTAAACATCGTCCACTTCCGGAGGTGGTCTGGGAAAGTTGGGGCCGTGGACTTCATTCTCAACGTATGGCGTGAGGAGGGTGGCGTGGAACACGTCATGAACTCGGACTTGTTTCCAGTGGTCGGGGATATTGAGCCGATAGGTGGTCGGTCCTAACACATCTAAGATCCTCAAAGGATCCTTCTCCTTTGGCTTTGATCTTGTTGTGGTATCCCAGGTTGAGGTTTTTGGATTCTAACCACACCTTTTCGCCTTTCTTGAAGGCTTTGAAGGTGGACTTGATCCTTTGAGCCATCCTTTGCTGGGCCAATGTGTGTGCGGCAAGGGCTTCATGTCTGATTCGGTCGAGAGCTTTGATGTGTTGTTCTGCCGATGGGAATTGAGTGTATTCGAAGGAGGTTGGGATCGCTTTGGGTGCTATTCCCATCATGAGTTCAAATGGGGTATATGGCCGATCGGAGTGTCTTCGATTGTTGTGGGTAAATTCTAGGATGCCAAGGTGTTCTGACTAGTCTTGTGGGAAGGCAAGACAATAGATTGATAACCAGGTCTCGATTTCTTAATTGAATCGTTCCGTGGTGCCATCAGTTTGGGGATGGTGAGCCGGTGGACAGTGCGGATTTGATCTCGAGAAGTTGAAGTGACGGAAAACCTGAGCAGCAAACTGGGGACCGCGGTCGGAGATCATCTTCTCTGGGAGACCAAAGCGTTTGAAGAGGTTGTCGACAAGGAGTTGTGCAGTCTGTTCTGCTGTGATCTCTTTGGTGCATGGGATCAAAATTACCCCCTTTGTAAACCCGTGGTCCACCACAGATAAGATAGAGTTGTATCCGTTGGATTCAGGGAGGTCGGTAATGAAGTTGGCTAAGATCTGGGAGAATGGTTGGAGTGATTTGGCCGGTGGGATGGGCACGAGAGCGGGTTTTGATGGGTTACGGTTGATCTTGAATTGCTGACATACTCCACATCCTTTGACGTAGTTCTTAACGAAATGTTCTGATTCCTGGCCACCAATAGTGTTGGCTGACGTTATTGAAGGCTTCTAGTTCTCCTGGGTGTCCTGCCGTTAGGGAATCGTGGTATCGATGTAGGATCTTGCGTCGAAGGTCTAGGTCCTGAGGGATATAGTTTCTCCCCTTGTAGAATAGGAGTCGGAATCCGTCGCGTTCTTCTACTGTCCAATCTTGTAAATCGTCCTTCATGGCCTTTGGTCCATCAATTAGGATGATCTTCAGGGCGTCAGTGGCTTCCGTGTTGAAATCCTGGCATTTGGCGATCTCCTCTTGTAGAGCAATGTCGACGAGTCCTACGGTGAGGGTTTTCAAGTTGGCGAGGTTGACAAATAGTTCTTCCGGTAGCAGGGTGATGTTTTCGTTATCATGGTCTTCTTCAGGGCACAGGTCGGGGCGTCGGGACAGGGCATCCGATAGGATCATCTTGTGTCCAGGTAAATGCGACAACTTGATGCCGCTCTCTGTCAGTTTCAATTGCCAATGTGCTTGTCGGGGTTTGAGCTTCTGTGGAGATCGGAAGTACGTGAGGTTGAGGTGATCGGAATAGACCAGAGTTTCATGAGGGCTTCCTTGGATGTAGTGGCACCACTCGTCAAGTGCTCGAATGATTCCCAGGAGTTCTCTGTCGTAGATCTCGTAATTCCATTCGGCGGGGGAGAAGGACTTAGACAAGAAGGCAACTGGGTGGCGGTTACCATTGGAGTCCATCTGTGTCAGGACTGCTCCAGAGGCATATTTGGAGGCGTCAGATTCAATCTGGAATGGTCTGGACATGTCAGGCATCATGAGAACAGGTTCTTCGCAGAAGCATTTCTTCAGAGTGTCAAAAGCTTCTTGGCACTCGTCAGTCCACTTGAATGCTTGGTTCTTCTTGAGGAGTTTGTTTGAGCGGTCGAGCGATGTCGGAATATTTCCGTATGAACTTCCGGTAGAAGTTTCCGAAGCCGAGGAAGGATCTGACTTGCTTGATGGTTTGTGGTGCGGGCCAGTCTTGGAGTCCTTTACCTTTGCTGGGTCCATGGAGATTCGGTCTTGTTTGATGATGAATCCGAGGTAAGTGATCTTTTCCTTGGTGAATTCGCATTTCTCTGGTTTGACGTAGAGATCGTTATCGTGGAGGATCTGAAGGACTTCCTTGGTGTGTCGTTCATGTTCCTCCTTGGTCTTGGAAAAGATGAGGATGTCGTCCATGTAGATGATGACGAAATTCCCTTCAATCTGCAAAGAGAATTATGTGGTCCATCATTGCCTGAAAGGTTGCCGGGGAGTTGCACATGCCGAACCGTAGGTTTGTGTAAGCCGAATTTTGTTTTGAATGCTGCTTTCCACTGGTCTCCATCGTGTATACGGATATTGTTGTAACCCTTCAAGACGTCGAGCTTGGTGAAGTATTTGGCTCCTTTCAGTTTGTCCATGAGGTCCGTAACCAGGGGAAGGGGATAAGTGTTCTTGACTGTCGTGAACAGCCGGTATAACCCCTATTTTTCATCTTTATCTTATCTGATCTGTCTCGCATCTTATCATTTCGTTTCCCCTATTCCTTTGCTCCTTTATTCCCTCTATGGACCTTTTCACTTATGGAACACTGCCTCGTCTTGCCTTTCGCCCTATTTCCATTGTTCTTATTGTTATGCACTGCCTTTCGACTCATCCTGACACCCTCTTGTTCCATTATTGTTGTCATATTCTTGTTCTTCGCGCAGCCTTCGCGCAGCCTCATGATCTTTCTTATTGTTCTTCGACGTTTCGCCATTTGTTCGTCATTTTGACTCATCGCGGCTATGTAGACTGTAGAATAGGTATATAAGCTAGGTAGTCTGCTCTGTATTTCCTCAGCTTGACCTCTTCGTCAATTCATCACTCTAGTCTTCACTCCAAACTGTCGCTCATCGCTCTAAGCTCTCTCGTCGCTTTCACCGCTCCTCGTCTCTGGTCTTAAGTTTGGGTTTAGTGTTCGCTCTTCGCGACATTGACGGTCCATTCGTTCAGGTAGCAATAGTCTTGACATGGGCGTTTCTTTCCGTCTTTCTTGGGGACGAAGAAGAATCCAGATGCTTGTGGGGAGTCCGACGGTCGAATGTATCCTTTGGCCAGATTGTCATCGATGAATCCCTTGATGAGTTTCTCTTCTTCTGGTGTGAGCAGGTAAACCTTGGATGACCTCAGTTCGAATCCTGGTTTCAGATCTATCCTGTGGTCCCAAGGTCGAGACTCGGGGAATCGGGAGGCCACTTTCTCATCGACAGAGAGATATTTGTGATATTCCGGAGGTACATGTTGCCTGATGTCCTTGATTTCTTCTCGCTGGTTGTACTTGAGCTCGAAGGCCTGTGAGTGGGTGAGGGGTGGTGTTGATCCAGATGTCCTCCGTTTCGTCGGAAAGTTCTCCATTGATGAATGAGATCACCAGGTCGTCAGTCAAGAGAGATCCCTCGTCATTATCCCAATGGAAGTTCCCTTCCATAAGCTTGTTGACGTAGGTTTCGAAGGTGTTGAAGTGATCCTTGGGTATCATAGGGGAAGTGGTCGGGTACCAATCAGGTAGTGGGTCGAGGTTCTGAGGTTCAGTGTCCGGGATTTCTTTGATGGTGGTCTTGGAGATCAGGGTGTATGGCTTGTTGGTGGGTCTGATCGGTGGTGTTGACAAAGGGCTCTGTCGCCACTCGAGAGTACCCTTCCTCCAGTCGATGATGGGGTTGGCTTCCTCAAGCCAGGGAAAACCCATGATGACTTTCTGTTTTCCAAGGCCGGTGATGTAGAAGGTAATGGGTCATGTGTGTCCGTGGATAGTGATGTTCATGGTGGTTGAATATCGAATGGTTCCTTGTTTGTTCAGGGTTCCGTCTACGTTGTAGACCTTCAGAGGTGTTGGAAGGAGTTGGAGCGGGAGTTTCTTGTTTCGGGCAAAATTTTGGTCGATGAATTTTCCTCCAGCTCCAGAATCTATCATTCCTTCGGTGTCGACGATTATCTTTCCATTCTCCGTTTCGCCCCTCAAGATGCATTGGAATAAATAAGCATTTATTGTTCTTTCAGGCTACTAAGGCAGAATGAATTGATAAATAGGGAGACACTGACGTTGATGCAGGTCTCCATTCTAAAAACCCTGGTTGGTCTCGAGTTCCTTGTAAAATTCTTCAACGACCTCCTCTCCTGCTTCTTGGATCGCGGCCCGGATGTTGGTGTACCTTGCCATTCTTTGGGCGGAAAGACCAGTTTTGACGGTTACTGGTGTTCTGGTTGCTGGTCCCTGTAGAGTGATTGTTGGTGGTGTTATTGGGGCATTCCCAGGAGCGATGTCCGTCCTTTCAGCAACGGAAGCATCCTCCTCTTCTTGATCAGGTCGGCTCTCTCTGGGGAGAGAGCTTTCCAAGGCCAATTGCCCTGATGTGTTGCTCTAAAGCGGTCCCTGCAGACTGGTCTAAGCTTTGACTTGGAGATGATGGTGTCGATGTCCATGGCCATAGGTCCTTGGCAGGAGCGGGGCGACTGAAGTTCCACTGCCTGGTTGAGGTCGAAGCTTTGTTGATGAGGGCAAAGTAGCGACGGTAGTTGTTGTCCTTTTCAATGGCCTTCTCTGTCCACTCCTTGAAGGTTCGAGGGGGTTTCTCGAGGTCGAAGAGCTTCTTTCGAAGTGGATCGTTCAGACTGGCTTGGAAGTAGTCTCGGGCTACAGTGTCTCCAGTGTCTGCAACTCTTTGATCTTCGGTTTTGTTGGCGTTGTCTTTGGAGAGGAGGTTGGTTTTTGATAGGACAATCTTGAAGTCGGCTACCATGCTCTTCAGCCGTCTTCTTCCCTTGGGTCATCGTCTTCAAGCGCTGTAAGGTGTCTTCTTGTTCGTTGATTGGGGTGAACGCCTGTTTGAAGATGGCAACAAAGTCCTTCCAGGTGCCCAATTCGATATCGGAATCGGTCTCCTTGGAACGTAGCCATGCTTCTTTCCAAGCGGGAGGCTTCGTCTCCTTTGAGGAATGAAAAGGAGATAGGTGAATTTTGCTGTCGTCATCGGTGTAGATGTGCTTGTTGACCTTCAAGTAAAGTTTCACATCTTTGAGGAAGGTGTTGAGGTCTTCCTTCTTGCCGGTGAAGGGAGATGGCGGATTGATTCACCTTTCGGGGATCTTCTGGTTGGTTTCGTCGCTCATTACGATGTCTCGGGTTCCGTTGTCTGGGTTGGTTGGGTTGACCATGGTGACTGGTTGTTCAAGGGTGATTGGCATAAAGGGTTCTTCCTCTTCACATTCTGGAATCAAGGGTCCTTCATCTTGATGCTGTGGCTCAGTGTTGGGTTCTTCTTGGGCGTCCTGGAATTCTGCAGAAGGCTCTTCCTCAAAAGAAACTTCTGACAGTTCTTGTTTGCTTGGTTGATGTCTTGGGTCTTCTGGGTAGTTGGGGCAAGGTTGGTTTTCGCAGTTGAACCAGTCGTTAAGTTTAGTGTCGTAGTTCAAAGTTACTGCAGTCGAAGTTGACGTCTTCTGAGTCTTCTTGGGTTCCTTGTACTTTGTTGTCTTCTTCTTCTTCAGGGAGCGATTGGTTAACCGCTAGTAAAGATGGTGTTGATGGTCTGGTTGAGCTTGGGGTAAGCCCTCGGAGATGTCCTCTGGGTGTGGTTGACTGAGATCCAGGTGATTGAGGCAATTAGGGTGGCTACTGGGTCGACAAATGGCGGTGCCACGGTGGTGTAGGGAATTGTTCCGGGGGATCAGATGCCGAGTATGTGGGAATTCTGTGTGGTCGATGGGGTTGTCACCCGTAGATACGGATGACAATGTGTTGGAGCTAGTTCTTCTGTTACAGTCAAGGGACGCGAACTCGAGTGAGCATGCACGTCAACCGTAGAGTCGTGATTCCGAGGCGAGTTCGAGAATATAGGCGTCTAAGAGTGCCTCACAAGAGGTATTGTCTTAAGACGACTAGAGCGAGTTCGAGAGAAGAGGAGAAGTGGGTATGATTCACGAGAACTAGCTAAGGAACAAGAGAGGTATCTACAGAGCTTATATACCTATCTAGCTACGTGAATATGAGTCAAGAGAAGTCAGAGAAGAAGGCTGTGCGAGCACAGGTTACTGCGGAGCGCAGCAGAGATAAATTAGAGAACAATAGAGAGTGGCTGCGCCGCAGCAAGAAGGAGTCATAAAGAGTCAAAGAAGGCTGCGCCGCAGCAGTAAGAAGAATTAACTGATAAAACAGTCACGAGATAAAGAAAGGGATCATGTGAACAAGAAAGTGAGTCATGTGATAGAGAAAGGACGCGAAGAGAAAAGATAGGGGCGGAATTCGTAACACTTGTTTTAATTGCTGAACCACCTAGTATTGCATTACCAGCCTGTCCAACAGTTAGCCAACAGGTGGTGGAGGTAATGGGCCCCGGACTTAGGAGGTAACAGGGGGAGAAGTGGGTGACGGGTCAATAAATAATTTGTATCTCAATCATATACTGTGCGTTTTGCAAGATCTTAGGCGCGTTTTGAAGCTGACAATTGCGTGTATAGAGGTACAAAAAATGACGTTGCACATTGCCGTCGTTACAGAGATATTGACATGTGGGTTTTCGGGTTTGGGAGGAGGAGGAAGGGATGCAGATCTCGGGAAGTTCTGGTGCGTCTTCTGTGTTCTTGGGCGTGTTTTGAAGCTAACATTGGCGCGTACAGACGTATAAAAAATGGCGGTGCACATCGCCATCGTTCTGGAGATATCCGCCTGCGGGTTTCCGGGTTTGGAAGTTCAAGGGGAAGGAGGAGGTCATGGCTACCTGGGCGAGATCTGGTGCGTTTTACAAGATATTAGGCGAGTTTTAAAGCTGAAGTCTGAGAGTATTGACGTGCCCAAAACAACAATGTACGTCACTGTCGTTCGGGAGATATCCGCCTGCGGGTTTTCTGTTTTGGGAGGAAGAGGAAGGCATGCAGATCTCAGGCATTTCTGGTGCGCTCTCTTTGTTTTTGGGCGCGTTTTGAAGCTGAACCTTGCGTGTACAGATGTGCCAAAGGTGACAGTGCACGTCGCCGTCGTTCTGGAGATATGGACATGCGGGTTTCCGGGTTTGGGAGGGGGAGGAGGATCAGGATGCTGGTAACTGTTTCTACCGTACATGCCAGTATATCCATTGTACGTTTGGCAGCGGAGTTGACAAAAAGTTCGTCTTTCATAAAGGAACGGATGCCCTTAAGGCCTAACCTGATAGCAGCGCATCTTTCATCTCGTACCGCCTCCATAATCTTACTATTGCCACACGTTAGACCCAATTCAAGAGTAATGAAGAGAGACGCACCGCCTGAAACCCTCGACAAAAAGAGTAAAATCGGAGCGTTGCATCGGGACTAGATGTCCAAGAGCACCAGCATTGAGCAATCACGACCAGGAAGGTAACATAATGCGCAAAGCTCGGTGTCGCCAGGGCCTGAAGTGTTGGGTTGGGTAGTGAACCAGGTTTCTTTTCTGCACCAGCTATGAGCAAGGCATTGCGACGAACACCCTTGATCCCAGGTAACTCCACAATCAGGACCATCTTGTCATCTTCACTGTCAAGCCAGGGATAGACATTGTTGAACTTATCTTATCTTATCTGTAGATTACATCGTAGATTAGATTAGATTAGTGAGACTTGGTCCAGAACACTCTAGAACATTCTAGTGTAGAACATTCTGGAACGTCACATGAGCAGGTGCTAATACCCGCACCATATCACTTCAGTCACCTATGGAAGCCTATCACGAAGATCATATTAATTTCTTCGCTTCCAAGGGTCATGTGACCCCCCTTCCCAGGAAGCTTCCAGCCCCTTCCCACCCCAAAAGAATTCCAGGAAATTCCACCACCAATCCACTTCCAGCGTCCGCTTCCACTTTGGAACTTCCAGTAGACCAAACAAAGGGTATCCACTTCCAGTTCCATTCCAGTTCCATTCCAGCCATCAAATGTGATGCACTCCAAAATTGATGGGAAGCCAACCTGGAAGCTCCAAAATATTACCATTTTCCGGAAACAATAAACATACATGATCAAATCAAATTCTGATTGACAATGAGTATGACATCATTTGTTCCTGTTCCTGATTATCATGACATCATGGTGCCTGATGATGTCAATCATTGATATCATTGATTAACTTCCATCATCAAAAGCCAATCTTATCTTAATTAGTGTGATGTCATCCTTCTCCTCCACCAGTATTTCATCCATATCTCACTCATTTCTTCGCTTTTTTGAGTAATTCTTTTTGATTCAAGTGTGAACCATCATTGGCACAGCGTATCAGGCCCAAAATCAGCTCGAGGTTGATTTCAGTGAAATTTCGTAATATGATCAAAATTGACCCATAAGTTGAACGGAATACGTCTGGTTGCACATTACGGTCAACTGGGACGAATACACCCGGAATTAGCGTAGAAGTCGCCATATAAAACAACTTGAAATTCGCCTCAAGGCGTTTTATACAATATAGCATGGAATGCACTTGAGGCTTTGGCGAGGGCTGTCAGTGCTTGTTTCTAATAATAGCTCACAAATTGGGCGGGGAAATCCTCGCGAATTCAACGTATATTTGAAATCTGAGACACCACGCCCGACAAAACGCGCGTCTCGCGTAGGTACACGGCTCTTCCTCCTCTTTCTCAACTTCCAACCAAGTCCCCAAGCTTCTACGCGCCCAACCCACACTCCTTTGTCCAGCGGCAGGCCCGCATCCAAATCATCACCCACTGAACCAACCGCCATTATACCCATCAATCGGTGTGTATATCAGTCGCATTAACACGTTGCGAGGCTGATGGTGTGTGCCGTATCCAGCGCTACCACGATGGCCATGCCGTTTCAGAATGTCATCGACCCCACGCTGCTCTCAGCAACATATTCCGTAAGGGCGATGCTAATGTGACCTGTCGGGATGCTGTCAGCTAAACTGATTCATCCCAGGGGCAAGGACTATTACCCAACGACACACTGCGCTCCAACGGGCTGGTCCTCTCTGCCCCAAAGCCTCTTACCCCTCCCTCATCCCAACCGATAACGCCGTCTGGCAGTTTCAACAATGGGATCGACGCGCAAACCCTGATGGCTGCGAACACGCTGTTAACCTCGTTCAGCGGTGGCATTGGATCAGGGTTCTCACCTTCCACAGTGGCGGCAACTGCCTCCGGCAGGTCTGGAGCTCAACTTGATGGACATCTCCCTCCTTCCCCTCCTCCTCCTCCTCCTCCTCCACCACCACCCACCCAGCCTGTCCCTCCGCTAAAGCGGTCTCGTCCTCCGTTCCCAGTCACCCCACTTCCACCCCCATTGCCGCAAGATCCCTACCATGTTCAGATGCCAACACCCACCAGCAAGCTATCTGCAGCAAGTGTCGTACGTGAAGCCATTGAGGTCCGGCAACATATTCATGCGCTCGAGCACGAGAATCGATCGCTCCGGGAGAAGGTGGATTGGTTGCATGCTGGACTGGAGGCGATCATTGCCCAGAACGAGCACCTTGATGGCAAGGTCCAGGAGTTTGAAGGGTGGTTGGCATCAGGACGAGGTGGGAAAGCTAAGCCGGACTCGAGAGAGGATATCGACGACGACAGCAGCCCTGAATCAGCTGATGAAAGCACCGATAGTGGTTCGGAAGACGAGTCGGATTGCGCTCCTGTCGTGGAGTTGACCCCCGAGGCCATACGGAGTAAAAAGGCGATGAAGAGCAGTCATATCAATGCGAGTCAAAATCCATTCTCGTGCCTGACCACTCACCTAGTTTGCTTTGTTTTCTAGAACGTTGTTGCCGCTACCTTTCGACGATTCTTTGGGGCAACTTCCCTCTCCAAGAAAGCCGACTTGCCACCCTCGTATGACCCCAATTCTACCGAGGAGCTTCCATTGCTTCCAGGTTCGCAAGACGTGCGTCAAGTACGGGTCTACTGGGCGCCTCAAGCGAAAAGAGGGAGGGACAAAGACATCGACCTTCACAAGCATCAGCATAACGCTCGGGTGTGTCAAGTGCTCGCCAACCACTGCAAGGAATTTGGGGAGACGTACTATCCGCTGGCAGGAAAGCTCCTCAGCAGCATTTTCATGTGTGATCTTGAGGAGAAGTTTGTGAAGAAGCTTGACCGGTTGCAGAGGATCTGGAAGGGGACCGACGGGCGACAGGAAACCGCACCTGGAGGGAACATGACCCGTAACATGTTCTTGAATCGCGCTGAAGGGGTAAGTGATTCTGTTAGGACTGGTAGCGAAGAGACCGGACTTACATGGGTCACTGTTATTAGAAACTCAAGTACCGCATTGCAAAATTTAATGCCCTTCCGGATGGCAATCGTTTCAAGGACCAGAAGTACCTGTCGGGACTGAAGAAGCACTTGATGTCCGATGACGAGGATAAGGTCAATGATGATGGTGTTGTTGTCGAAAATGTGTACGTGGCGCGACCGCCAAAACACCGTTCTCGACTGGTGAGTATACTGCAACATGCCACAGACAGGAAAGACTCTGACCTTCCCTCTAGTTCCAAGAGTTCCTGGACGAAGTCGACGCTGTTGTGATTCCGTGGTCGACGAAGTACACCCGACGCGTCAAAGGCGAGGTCAAGGACACTCCTCCCGCGCAAGCTCGGAAAATAGAAAACAGATTTCGACGTTGGATGATCGACCCTGCTTATCTGGTGGAGCATCCAGAGTACGATGTGCCAGACAGGATTGCGGACAATGGAAAGCTGTGGGGCGATGAGCACGATCCGGAGGAGTTGGAGGCGAAGAAGGGAGAGTTCAGGGCAAAGAAGAGGGCGGCAAAGGCTGAGCTGAAAAGCAAGACGCCTGCAAAGCGACGTAAGACGAAGGGGAAGGATAAAAGCAAGGGAGGGAAGGGAAAGACGAAAGCGAGCGAAATGGTTGAAGAGGTTGAAGAAGAGCCGAGCAACGATCAGAACGAGATGGATGGAGATTGGGAAGGTTAATTCTATTGAATATGTTTGCGTATGGTTATGTATTATCCCTCAAACTCTTCCTCTGGCTCAGTAGATACCTAGTTAGGGACCCGTTAGCATACACACAGCCTACTACACAGTCGTTACTTGACTTACCCGATCAAATGAAACCGATACCCATAATTCTCTCCCATCGTTGAATGGTATAGGAACCAGAGCCAACGCACAGTCGATAGATGTTGCGGGAATGACCTCGTATTTGATATACTTGTTTGCGACAGAGGTATAGATACCAAGAAGGGAAGCACTGTTTGGAGGTTAGGACAGATTTCGTGAACACCTCGAGGCTCGGAACTCACAACGCTCTCCAAGGGACAAGAATGGCTGGGTCAATGTCGAAAGGTCTGACAAGTAGGCAGACGTGGGCCGGTTTGTTGGTTTCAGGGATATGGAGCAGCCAGATGTCTTCAATTGATACAGGAGCACGAGCACCATTCCTGGCTATGAAAGCAAATGAATCAGCCTGCGAACGAGTATTGGACTTACACCCAAAGCGAATGCCATCCTTTTTGATGTAGGCCAATCGACGAGCGACAGTATTGCCTACAAACGGAACCGATCCTGGTTGGATATTGGCCGTAAACTGGCGGCGAAGATTGACGTCAGGCCATAGTTTCTGGCAGTAGGCGAACAGCAAATCGTGTGCCGAGGTCCCATCATGGCCATCTGGGGAAAGCCGAACACTGTGGATGTCGATGGGGGACTTGGGGAGCTGTTTGGGGAGCCGGACGCGTTCGTTCGAGGCCTCAGCTGCAAACATAGCGATCTCAACGGCCATTCCCCCTCGATCTGCTTCAGCCTTGACCAGCTGATCAATGAGGTCGCGTTCCTTCTGAGGGGTGTCATCCGGAAGGTGAATGAGCAGGTTGTAAAGGAGATGGGCTTGAACCCAGTTACGAAGGAGGGTGAGCTCTATCCGTCCACCATCATGGCCATTGGTGTTAACCTTCTCGAGTAAGCCGTTAAAGCGTTCGAAGGCAAACAGCCACCACGCGTAAACAGGACCGAATCGTTTGATCATCGTGGCGAGGTGCATGGCAAAGTGGTGGTTTGGCGAAAGTTTTGCTCCTAAATGAAGCATCTTGATGCAGTACGATGAGAGGTAGGCTTGACCAGTCTCCGCTTGTGACATGGAGATGGTTCTTGTTGAAAGAAGGCGGATGGCGGCGCACAAAAGGAGGATAATTACATACAAGCTTGCTCGCTTGCGCGAGTGAGCAGTTTTGAGGGTTGCATTTGGTGGGAGGGGGGGTTCTGTGTCTGGAATAGTGCCGTCGGGGTCCATCCAGGCATACCAAAGTACGGGTGGCGTGACCGTCAGGAGGCGGCGCCATTCATCGGCCTTCTTAAGGGACGGGTTTTCCCCAAGCTTGAGTAACGTTGAGCATGATGAATTGGGGTAACAAGAACAAAAGACTTACATTTTTCGGAAGTCTTGTAGCATGACTGGGCCATTGAATACCATTAATTACATTCTCAAAGCGCCGTTTCAATTGCCCAGGAAACATGTGAGCACCAAAAAGGAGGCGGGTGAACAGCCATGCAACAACGCCAAGATAGATGGCGTGCATGAAATCCAACACCGTCTGGGTTGCAGGCTTCCAGCCTGGAAGGGCATCGAACATTGCCCAGCGAACACCGTGATCTTCTAGAATGGTGGCCTGACGGGCAGACGACGAGTTCCGAGAATAAAACTTTTGCTTGAGGAGAGTACTGTCGTTCTTCGAGGTAAATGAATAAGTGTCGTATCCCTTGTCTTCGCTAAAATCCAGGCTTGTACAATCACACCAAGGACAGGGGTGGAGGTCGGCAGTGTGGCCCGCAAATCCTGCAAATTTACGAGCGCCTGGCGTGTCACAGTTGTCGCACAGAAAGTCGGCATACACATCTTCTTCGATCACTTCGGTGTCCGTGTCATTCCACATTTCCATACGCACTCCTAAAAGCGACAGGTCAGTCTTTGGATTGCTATGGGACAGTTGTTGAGATTCTTACCCTGTTTTAAGCGCATAGCGTCACGCACGGTAAGCTCCATAACATGATTGAGCTGTTCGGTTGTTGGCTCATTGGGACCCGGTGTTATGGCAGTACAGATGACATTGCGTTGCAGAAATCGGAGCTCTCGAGGTAGGTCTGCAATGGAGATATAGATGGGGCCTGTCGAATGTGGTCGCTTAAGCGCACCAAACCTAGTACAAAAAGAAAAGTTAGTGAAACCTGACTGCATAAGCACCAATTTAAATCTGCACGTACCAGTCAATGTTGACCACAAGATGGAGGCCAAAGCGGTGCTCTGTTAACCGCCTGCCTTCTCCCCCATGCTCATCCAAGTCCTGTACTGTCCCGTGGTTCCCAACTTGGCGATGGACATGGGTGCGAAGTTCCTGCCACATCGTACCATCGTGCATGTCGGACATCACGAAGTTGGGGTCGCTGTTCTGATCCAACGGTTGGCCACGGCTATCCCGTATCATCTCTCGCATCCCCTTCCTTCCCAAGATTGACTGGAGCGCAACAAGGAGGGGAACATGGGGGATGATCATCACAGGCCGACGCTTCTCCTTCTTCTCGGCGTTGAGATAAGTGTCGTAGACAGTCCCAGGGCAGCCCTCCACGGTACATGCGGGAGACTCGAGGTGTTGCATCTGCTTCGGCGTGTAGTGCTTCCAGCACTTGGGACAGGCAGCAAACTGAATGATGTACTCGTCAGGGTCGATTCCCAGCCGTCGTTTGGCGCTTTGGAGTGTTCTGGCTGGCACAGGAAGGTCAGGTAAAGTGCCGGCAACCTCAAACATGTCGATTGTGGAGGCGAGATTTGAGTTTGTGAGACGAACAGGCAGGTGTCCAGTGACGTTGTTGAGAACAGCCTGCAGGTAAGCCATTCGGATGTGGGGCAGCTCCTTGCGATGTCCGTGATAGGCTGGGGCTTGCGAGCGGGGTTTCTCATTGTCTTCAGTGCTCTCCATGTTGCTGAAATTGAATGCAGGCCCCCAGGTTGTATCGGGCGGTCGGTTAGGGTTGATCATTTCCTCCTCCTCCTCCACCTCCTCCTCGTTCACCTTCCTCCTTTCGCCCTCGCGAAGGCCCCCAAGTTGATCATCCTCCTCTTCTTCGTTGTTGGGGAAATACGGCCCGTCCCTTCCACGTTGGTCACAAGCAGGTGATGAGTGATTCCAGTCATCCAAATCATCGTTGAAGGGGTGTTCATCAGAGAGTCGAGAGTTTTCTTCATGCAGATTGGGTGACGGAACACGTTGAGTTGACCCTTCTCTTGGTGCTGAGCTGGGAGGTGGCGGGGCAGGTGGAAGTGAGGTGGAGGAAGGGCCACGGCCGTAACGCTCCCGGTGCTTGTTAACTGCTTTCCTGGACATCCATCGGTAGTCTTCGTCATCCTGGTAGCAATTTGCACAGTCGCAGAGAATAACCTCATTCAGGGACATCCGTCCAAGGTGGAAGGCGAAGCTTGAAGAGCGGGAATGGAGGACGTCGGATGTCGATGTGGTGGTTGCTGACAGAAGCGCGCTAGCAAAGTCGCGAGCGCGTCACGACACGCCGCCTCAAGCTCTGTGCTTGGGATTCCAACGTTGCAGATTCATTCAGATCGGTGTTCCTGAGCAAAAGGATATCGATAATACGTGGCTAGTCTACAAAGGATCTACAGGTTAATGCATACAAAATGAATGGGTGGGTAAAATGACTGAATAATGCGTGATCTACAAATCGAAGATGGAAAAGAACGAAATCCTGGAGTGTCTGTGCAAGCGTTGAACAAGGGAAGGGGCTTTAACATTTATCAGTCGCGAGGATGTCCAAGGAGGGCGTAGTAAGTGTCTCGCTCGGCAAGAAGTGCTGCCTTGTGAGCGTCGGCGGCCTTGATCCTAGTGTCGAGCTGGAGCAATGACATTTGTACCTGGAAGCTCATCTGGCTGTAATGGTCCCTGCAGCACGAGGCAGTGGGGTCCTCCGTCAAGCTGGCAATGATTCGTTGGCGAGATGGGACACAGAATGGGCACCAGGTCCTGATGTCGGTGTCTCGAGGCCTCGGAGAACTGGCAGACAGTGCCGGACCGCTAGCTGTGCTGGGAGAGGTTTGGTAGGTAGGGTGCCACCACGGGTATTGAGATTGGGTTTCAACGTTGACGCCGACAGATTGCGAGACTGACTTCTGCCGTGGGGACTGAACACCAACGGTGGTTGATTCAGCAAGGCTGTTTTGCGAGACCGGACTTGCTGCACATCTGTTAGTCCAGAAACCTGGTGAGAGCGACTGGGCGAAGCTATCCTGAGTCTCGAAGTCTCGCTCGAAGGCATCTGCACCCCCCTCAGGTCGATTGTGTGGGGATTCGCGATGGCGCTGGTGCAGCTGGTCTGGCGGGGACGACAATCTCTCGACTTTGATGGGAGTTTTCGGGCTGCGGAAACCGTAGTCGCGTCGTGCTCGTTTGGACATATTGCCCAGCGCCAGAATGAGCGGGCGTGAGGATAGTAACGTGGGGGCTAGGGAGGAAGAGTGATAGCGGGCAGTTGAGGGCGAACCAAAGCACTCCAAGTTCGTTCAAACTCCGCTGATGGGCACTTTACAGGTGTTTCACGAGCGTATTTCACCATAGAGCATGTAGCAAATTTCAAGAGTACTATATAACATGCCAATGTGATGTTTACAAGTAATTTATGGAAAATAGCTAGAAAGTGCTACAAGCATATTTTGGGTCCGCGTATTATAGTCAAATTGCGGGCAAATGACGAAAGATGCTCGAAATACGGCGCGGCGTATTTTCTCCTGATACGCTGTGTGGCTACAGGTATATATTATATTTGTATATACTCAATGATGAATAGATATTCAAAATTCGACCTTTTCAAGCATTGACACTATTATGACACATTTTTGGTGGAGAATATGGATATATCTTCCTCATTTCTTCACCTTTCTTCTTGGAATCTTCATTGAAATAATCTAGAAATATGTCCACACATATACTAATGCACTTTTCCCTTGATAAATAGACTTTACCCCACCAAGAATTACAAAAACATGCAAAAATGCGCACCAATAGGATGAAGTTGAGAAAACAACATTAGACTCTTTAACTACATGATATAAAGCCCAGAAGACTCTCTATACAGTTGTATAAACCTGTTTCATCAGCTTGGAATAATGATGCAACCTCTCCAAGACTCACCATTAACTTCTCCATATACCCAGTAAATTTCAATGTTTTTCGCATTTTCACCTATTTCATTATGTATATTGTCCCATACAAAATATACAGATTCAAAGCCTTGATTCATAGCTACTGAACCCAAAAGACCGCTTGAGAAATGACCCAGTGTGTCCGGAGATATGGCAGATATACCATGTTTTCACCAGATGATCCAAGTGATGTTGCATCAATGTTGACATGCACTCCATTATGTCGGAGTTTTCAGACCATATCTCTGCTTCTACTGGGCCGATTTCCGAGATTCAAACTGTTTCAAAAAGCGTTAAATGCCTTCTCTTTGATGGTACCGTTCAATAAAATTTATGAGAAGTGGAACATACTGGAAAATGCGAAATACATGGATAAAATCGCATTTTAGTGATTTCACTATTTGCTTTACTTTATACCTTTCCAAAAAGTCAATAAGATGTATTGGATATATCTCTCAGTCTCATTACAATGCTTTTGTAAAAGTAATAAACTGCAGGTATCACATTAAAACAGCAAAAATATGGTGTTTTTGGAAGAGGCAGATTAATATAACAAGTCTTTAAACCTTCCTTAAGGCTCTACAGCAGAGTTGGTGCAATTACATCAGAAATTGGGAGAGGTACTATTGAAATACTACACAAAAGAGGGACAAAATCAGGAATAAGACTATTATTTTCGCTTTTTCAGTATTAAGACTGGTTTCTATTGGTTTTTAAATGTAATAGAGAGTTTCCAATGTAGTAATAGTAAATGAATCAAAAAGAACTCCTGAAAAAAGTGAAGAAATGAGAGAGGTATGAATGAAATACTGGGGGAGGGAAAGGATGACATCATACTAATTAAGATAAGATTGGCTTTCTGATGATGGAAGTCAATCAATGATATCAATGATTGACATCATCAGGCACCATGATGTCATGATAATCAGGAACAGGAACAAATGATGTCATACTCATTGTCAATCAGAATTTGATTTGATCATGTATGTTTATTGTTTCCGGAAAATGGTAATATTTTGGAGCTTCCAGGTTGGCTTCCCATCAATTTTGGAGTGCATCACATTTGATGGCTGGAATGGAACTGGAATGGAACTGGAAGTGGATACCCTTTGTTTGGTCTACTGGAAGTTCCAAAGTGGAAGCGGACGCTGGAAGTGGATTGGTGGTGGAATTTCCTGGAATTCTTTTGGGGTGGGAAGGGGCTGGAAGCTTCCTGGGAAGGGGGGTCACATGACCCTTGGAAGCGAAGAAATTAATATGATCTTCGTGATAGGCTTCCATAGGTGACTGAAGTGACCATATTGCGTCATTATTGCTCATGATGACTCATTCACTTACTCACCCGTCACACCTTCCCATATTTATGTAGTTTATATCACATCTGTCACGCTTCCTGTAAACTATAAATACTGGCCCTCCCTGGCCTTGGAATAGATGACAGAGTTCGTCACAACTCTTGTAGTTAGCCTGTCAGGGTCGGATACAGAGAGAGAGAAGAGGAGGACGTAGGAGAGCGGAGGGTAGCCTTGGTCTCACGTTATAAGAACGTGTACCCTTCGTCACGGCTCCCAAGGCTGGCTAGGCCGAAGGACCAGACGGATACACCTTCCGGTGGAGAGACGAGAGTGAGGGACGACTGGAGCTAGGGCTCGACGGTCGAAGGCGATGAGGGAGAGAGTTTACTGAGGAACTTAGACTGAGAGATTCGAGGGGTATGAACCTAGTCGAGATTCTGGATGAGGTACCTACTACAAATTGAGATAGTACTTATAGTAACTACCGGCGGGGAATCTACGGGCGAATCGAGACGAAATGACGAAGTCCAAGAGAGAAAGAATAAGTCGAGAATCAGAACAAGAAAGACGAAATAATACACAAGGAAATCTAGAGTACTCGAGAACAACTACGACGACCAATCGTAACCCGGCGGATAAAATCCAGGCAAGAATGTTTGTACGAAAAAGTCATCTGAGCAAACTGGAAATCAAGTGTAAAGAAATAGAAGCAAGAAGAATAACGACCACGGCGGAACAAGGGATAGAAGAATGACAGAATACAGACATACTTCGAATACACAATACGAAACCCGTTTGACAGCTTGCCCAGCGCGCGCCTAAAGTCCACAAGATTATCCGGCGGATCCGAGAGTTCCGGCATAGCCGCGAGGCCGCGCGCGCGCGCCAGTCGTGACCTTTCCCACGCTCCGCGAACGTTGCGCGTCAAAGTCAAGAGAGGAACCGGCGGGCTGAAATGAAGTGGGTGTAACAAATAAAATATATAAAAGAAAATATGAATAATAATATCGAATGGTGTTGAGGGTATAGGAAGGGTGTAGTCGTACGTATCGAGACCCGGCGGTTGCACGAGCCCTGACATAGCCACTAGTTAGCCTCACATAACTCTCTACCTGGTAAAGTCTTAGAGTAGACCACCTTAGCTAGATAGTGTTTGCTTGACAGACATCTAGGTCGTCGGAGCTCCTGTTTCTCCTGAAAAGACCCACTGGTGCTGCAAGTGCTTCAACGGAGTCGGGTGGTAACACCAACACAGTTATTGAACCTGCTCCGGTTACCTTCATATCCCAGTCAGCTGTAGGTATAGAATGATATCTGTAAGTAACCAACTTACTCGCCCGCAGGACAAGCTCTGGTCGAACGCTTCCTTGAACCATGTTGATGGCTTAAGACGGTCGCTGGAATTATTTCCAGTTTCTGATGCTTGGTATGAGGGGCCTGAAATCTTGACCTCCAAGCAGAGGGAAAAACTTTGTCTAAGTAACCCCATAGCAGCTGCAAAATTCTTCAATGTTCTTGTGGAATTGTTTATCAAACATGTGCTAGGTGTTGGTACTGACCATGACAGTTTATATGGCAAGACAAATGGCTATTATGGGACAGTAGAGCAACAAGGCCGGATAAGAGAACCAAGAAAGGCAATGTGTAAGAAGTGTAAAAATAGAACGATAGTCAAGATTACAGAAGTCTTTTCAGTACCGGTCCTGTTAAGTTTTGTCATGGAAGGTAAAAAGATTATTCCTAGTGAAACTTTGACTGTGAAAGTGAATGGTCATTGCCGCTTTGTGAACCGATGTAACAGGATTTGGTACCACGATGGTATGGCTAGAAAGGATGAAGGCTACTATGAAGGTGACATAACCACTGACTTTGATCTCAAAGTACTTCAAAAAGCTGGAAGAAAATCATTGATTGTATGTATCTAAGCAAAGTCTGACATTTTCTGAAACGTTTGAGTGAAAGTGTTTCCAGCGGAGCCTTATTTAAGCTGAGTCACTGCCATGCATATGCATTGGCCCGTATACTAGTTTTGGGTCAGATATGGGTCGTGATTCCCAGACCTGTAAACTTCAAAACAAGCTGTAAATTGGAGGATCTAAACCTCAACCCATGCGGAAAGCCTGTCAGGTTCCGCGTAGGGTCAAACCACAGGTGGGGTCCACTTCCAAAGCCCGGGTTAACCCCTGGTAGAAGTCTGCCAATTCCTTTTCTAATATGTGCAATGCTAAATTTCTGTCAGCTTATTTGCCGTAATTCAAGTATATGACTTTATTTTACTGGTTCTGAGGCCTTGTGGTCTTGGGTTCTGTTGGGAGGATGGGTTTGGGACGCCGAGGTTTCAACCTTGATTTCAACATGTGACCTTCACGTGATTTGTAACATGTGATGTGGCTGCATTTCCGCGCACATGTGTTAGAAAACTTTAACAGCACGGTGTCAGCACCAGCAACTCGCGATAAACCAACTGAGCCAAAAAGTTTAAAGGCTGTTATCACTGGTCAAGGTGATAGGTTGCTGGCACTATATAGAGCTGATCATTTGTCGCCTACTGATGAACGGAAAACGGATAAACAGATAAATAGATATGGGATGGACGGAATGACAGGCCCCTGGGGCCTGTCAACATGGAGATGTGAGATGGTGATGGCTTCTGGATCAAACAAGGACAAGCTGTAGGGCTGCAGGCTAAAAGGCCTCGGAATGTTTGCCATTCACTGGCCTGCAACCTACTAGTTGGACACCTAGAACTTGAAAAATACTGGACCAGGCACCAGAATGGACTCGTACCTGCCATGCAAAGCATTGGCCCACACATACTAGTTCTCCATTGAGGTATGCATTGGAGATATCGATGGATTCAATGAATTTGCCGTTCATGGCAGCTTGTGCAAGGATTGCTCTGATGGTGGCAAGGCGGGAGGTTGGAGCGAAGACTTGATCATAGTCGATTCCTGGTGCTTGGGCAAATCCTTTAGCGATGAGGTGTGCTTTGTACCGGTCAATGGTGCCATCAGACTTTCGCTTGATCAGGAAGACCCAGCGTGATCCAATTGCTTTGCGTCCTTGTGGGAGTTGGACGAGTTCCCAGGTGCCGTTGGCAATGAGGGCATCAATTTCCGCGCGAGCAGCACTGATCCACTTGTCTCTGTCTGGTCGGGCCATTGCTTCCTTCCAGTTGCGTGGCGAGTTCTCTGGTCGTGTGGCCGCTCTGAGTGCTTTTTCCTTCACCTTGTCAAGAACCATTTCGAGTGCCATTTCACATGCTTCAGCCATTGTGAGGTACTCTCCACTCATCCCATAGACGTGCAGGATGGAGTCGAGGACTGGTGTTGCTTTGAAAGCTGAGTGGAAGTTGGGTTCGTCCTCCTCATTGATGTCGTCGGCTGTGATGGGTGGTAGATTATCCTCTCTTGCACCCCCTTGATCTACTACCTGATCTGAGATCACCCCCTTGGTCCTGGTTTGGTGGATGACCATCTTCCTCTGTGGTTCGTCTTGGGACAGGTGCAGTGCCCCTGCGTGAGTGTCCAGCTAAGGTGTAGTAATCTGTGACTCTTGCCGTGGAACATATCGGGCGAGGGTTTCGGGATGGCTGTGGAGGTGGTTTTGGCTTGGTTGCTCTTCCCTGCCCGAAGTTTGGTGCAGGGAGGAGCAGGATTCTCTACCAGTGGTTCTGGTGACGATGGTGGGACAGGTGGTTGTGATCGGCCTTGTGGTGTGGGAGAGGCTTCCTCTTCTCGATGATAAGGTGTGTGGCGTGCAACTGGAGGTTTTGCTGTTGGGGTAGAAGGGGTTACTAATTCCTCTTTCACTTGTGGAGTGTCTGTTCCAGAGTGTTCTTTCTTGACCCAAGGTTTTGGCATGTATGGAGGAGTGCCGTCGTCATCGGAATCAGAGTCTGACTTGTGCATGGTTGTGCTCGGAGCGTCCCCCGTACTCCTAAAGCCTGCTGGGGGAGCTGGCGGATCAGGTGGTGCTCCCGGACCATGTGGTGCTGTATCCCATTTGTCGTCATCGTCGTATGGCCAGATGTCTCGGATGCCGACTGGTTTGACTGGAGCTGTGGTTGTCTTTGTGGATAGGCCAGGAAAAAGAGAACACTTGGGAATTGGAATGTCCGGCAGTCCGTCAGTCCGGGCGTCTGGCAGGAGGTGGTCTGGCAGTCTGGCCAGGCTGAAGAGAGAAGGAAATGGGAGAGACGCCAGGGTACCTTCGAGCTAAGAGTAGGTATGAGGTAACCAAGCCGTTATTTAGGGACAGGAACCAATGGCAGAGGCTTGGAAGGTGCTGGACCAGTCAGCGCGGATGTCAGGGCTCGTACACTTAGCAGAACTCTGATATGCACTCGCGCCTTCCCTAGACTCGGCTTAGACTTCGACACTTCGACTTCACATCTCGACGTCTCGAATTTCGCTTCCAGCCATACTCGAACCCTCGACTTCCGCAACGTCTTCAGCTGCACCGCCACCTAGACTCCGGTCGCGTCAACGCCTACTGATTTAGACTTCACCGGATCAGGCAAGACGCGCGAACTTCGGACAACAACGAAGAACGGAGACGTCTAGAAAGGGAACATTCTTCCAAGGAACAATACAGAGTCGAAGACTTCGAAATACCAAGCGCGCGCCTAAAGTCCACTAGGCTTCCGGAGGATCCGAGATCACGGAAGGAGCCGAGTCGTCATATCTCGACTTTCCTGATTTATCGATGTTATTATCTTTCATTTCTTTGGCTTATCTTTCCTCATCACATGTCCTTTGCTCAAGACTTGTCTTTGACCTTTTCCACTTCATGTCTTCGCTCTAGACTTTCTTATCATGTTGTGATTGGTTCGTAGATAGCTTCTTCGACTCTCTGTGTTTCTTCTGGGACCGATTCGCCTTCATGTCGTTTGTATTTCTCATTCTTACATCTTAGTCTTGCCTTCAGGTTTCTCCATCATTTCTCCGCTCTTCTCTTGTTGTAGATTCTCTAGACGTGTCGACTATAAGTACTGTATGGTTTTGTAGTAGATACCTCATCCGGAATCTCGACTAGGACTCGTTTTCCCCTTCTTCATCGACTAGGATTCAACGCCCTCTTCTGCAACGACTAGGACTCGCTTTCCCCTCCTTCATCGATTAGGACCCCAACTCCTTTCTCTCATCGAATCCTCTGTCCGAATTCCTAAGTCTAACTTAACTCTCTCAACGTCTTCGACCGTCGAGCCTTTAGCTCCAGTCGTCCCTCCACATCGTGCTCTCGCTGCAAGGCGTCCGTCCGGTCCGTCGGCCTAGCCAGCCATAGGAACCTTGACGAAGGGTACACGTTCTTATAACGTGAGACCAAGGCTAACCTCCGACCCCGAAGTCTCCCCTCCATCTCAGACTTCGCTTCACCTCACTTCACACGCCAACCCCTGACAGCGGATTCAAGGGGCGAATTCGAGGTTCCACGGATCCAGGGCGTACATTGTGAGCAAGGCTTGCCTAGCCGTGCCTCCTTGGGCCTGTCCGACATAGTTTTAACGGTACGGAGGCCTCCCAGTGGGTGCTAATCGAATTTACCTGGAGCGGTCGGGACTGACTAATCAGCCAGCCGCTCCGCGGCACACGATCATGCCATCGCAGGCGCTAAACCGAGGGGTAGTATGTATCGGTGCTATATGCGTTGTTTTTTCTAGTCTATTAAGCGCTGGGTACACATTTGATGGCGTTCTGGCTAAGTAGACGGCCCCAGCCGCAGAGAAACGCGTTGGAAACGTTGCTAGACCGACCGTGGCCGGACGGCCGGACTCATGGACGCTGCCGTTCTGCCGGACTTCCGGCAACGCCGGACATTCCAACTCAGTAGTATTCTGAGGAAAAAGGGTTTCATCGAAGACAACATCTCGAGAAATGATGAATTTCTTTGACTGTGGGTCAAAACATTTCCATCCTTTGTATCCTGGCTCAAAACCGACAAAAATGCAACGGGTCGTATGGGAGTCAAGGTTCCGTCTATCCTTTTGCTGGATGTTGACATATGCTCTACATCCAAAGGTTCTGATCATAGACAAGTCTGGTTTCCGACCTTCCCATACTTCGTAGGAAGTTGTGTTGGAGACCGATGCCAATGGTGTAAGGGCAACCCTAGCCGCACCGGTGGACACTCACACACGGGTCTGACAGGGGAGAATCCAAAGTCTATTGAACCACTGAAAAACCGCGACAAATACAAGGGCCTACCTGACAGGGGAGAATCCAAAGACAAAAGCCTAAGGAACCCTGTCAGTGCGGAGCAACGATGATCGACTACTAGAGACCGTGGGACTAAACTATACAGTTGATGCAGCCACCCATGTTGTGGAGCATCTGAGACACATCAGTGGAGCGAGCCGTGTCGGAAAGGTTTTGGA